TTTTAAATGCAATTTATAAAATAAAAACTCATAAAACATTTACCTGTTCTTTACCACCTACTGGAACCAAATTTTTCAGTTTTGACATGACATTTGGATATTTTTATTCCATGGCTTACTGTATACTAAAAAATTCATTAAAGCTTTTTAATCTAAAGCATTAAAGAAAATTAAAATATCTAAAAAGTGATCTTTGATTAAAAATTATTTTAAAATGAAAACCTAATTGTAGATTTTGAATTACCTAGACATGTAATATATATTCTAAATAGAAGCACGGCTACTTATAAGTTACGTTAAAAAACGTTCTATAAAAACACAAAATTGCGATTCATAATATGCACTAATTTTTCTGTTATACAAAACCGATTTGAAGATGTTTAGTTTTCATTTAGTTAATAAATAAAAAAATAAAGTTAATTGAAATTATATAAAATAATTTTGTTAAATTTACCTTATAATAAACTAAAGAGACACACTGAACTGATCTTTTTTATTGGAATGACAAGATATTTAGATATTTTGTTACCAAAGCCTACTTTGTTTTGTACTTAAATGGACGTTGGAGGCAAATTTTTAAGACTTGAAAAATATATAATATTAAAATTGTTTACAATGATTTAGAACAAAAAATCATTAAAAAAGGAATATTCTGTAACATGACATAAAATAATTACAGTGTGTTGTATCCCACGCGTTGGAACGAAGGATTTCTCAGTTTTCTTATGACAAATAGCTTTCGGTCAAATTTGGTGAATTTGAGATACCTAGGTACGTTGCAGTTTTTGACTTCCTATGGGCTCAAGTACTTCTAGGACTAGTTTTTGAACTTGTGAATTGTCATTTTGCTGATGTTCATATAGGTAAGTCGGTGCTATATGGAAAACTTTTTACTTTCCTATCTGTATACAGATAAGGAAAGTATATAGGAATCATGATATTTTATGGAATATATTAGTTATTTTTGTTTGCAGAAGAAAATTGTTTATATAAAAGTTACTTCTTATATTATTCTCTATAATTTTTGTTCTATAAAAATTTTTTCTAAAATGGTCTGTATTCGAGAAATTTTACAAAATATAAAATTTCCCATTTTTAAGAAAATTGTTCAACTAAAACTTTTGTTTGTAATACCATTCTTGTCCCATACATAATTTGTCTAAAATGGACCGTATTCGAGATTTTTGTGAAAAAGTGTAAATTTTGAAGAAAACTCAAAAACGGATAAAGAAAAAACCTTAAATATTAAACTGCTTATGCTTTATTCCAACCTGAGGTTAACTGATTAGATTTTGGGCATTGTCGGAACATCTGGGGGGTACTTTATAGGGGGACATTTTTATATTTTATGAAATAAACCTCTTATTTACGTTTGGAGAAGAAAATTCTTTGAATAAAAGTTACTTTTAATATTATTCTCTATAATTTTTGTTCTATACAAAATTTTGCTAAAATGGTCCGTATTCGAGAAATTTTTCAAATGTAAAAAATTCTGGTTTGCAAGAAAATTGTTGAACTAAAAGATGTTTGCGATATCGATCTCTATAATTTTTGTTTTTTACATGATTTCTCTAAAATGGACCGTAATAGAAAAATTGGAAAAAAAAAGTATAAAATTTAAATCATTTTCGTTGGCAATGAGTGTTTCCGAACTTGTCGTCCAAATTTGTAGGGGTAGTAGTTCGCATAATTTGAGACCGATTCGCAGATTTCATTATTCCAAAATATTTAAAATAAAAATAATTAAAAATTATAAACAGGTACGGTCCTGCACAGCGATAGGAGCGCCTCGACTCGCGCGCGCTACGCTTAGAATCGACAAAATTGCAAATCGCATCTGTTTTTGAGGACTATTGCGCTACGCGCTCAGGGTAGGACCTGCTCTTTGATTTTTTTTATAATGGCTCTATTTTGTTTATTATATATTTTTTTAGAAAAATGAAATCTGCCAATCGCTCTCAAATTATGCGAACTACCACCCCTACAAATTTGGACGACAAGTTCGGAAACACCCTGCATAAAAAAATGTTTCGAGTTAGATGTATGTGGAAAATTTATATATTATTAACCTCTAAATATTTACAGAGGTGCTACAATAGGTTGTACAAAATAACCGAAACTTGATAGGAAAGTCATGTGTTGGGCACATCAGATTTTTTAATGAAAAAAGTTATTCTTCATAAAAAGTTCTGCATGGTCTAAAATTCAAAATAGGACTATCAGATACCAAATTTTATGAGACATGTATGAGGTTTGTTGAAAAATATGAATTTTATGTAAGATGAGTCAAGTACCTACCTTTATTACTTTCCTATCTGTATACAGATATAAGGAAAGTATAGGAATCATGATTTTTTTCGACCTCCGGTTTTCGACGGATTTTTACGTTTTGGGGTCCCCTGAATCCGTTTTGACTATTTTCGGGATGATGTCTGTGTGTGTCTGTATCCATCATAACTCATGAACCGATACAAAGGAAAACACGAAATTTTAAACTTAAGCTTTATTCCAGCCTGCGGTGAACTGATTAGATTTTGGACAGATTCGGAACATTTGGGGGGTACTTTATTGGTGGTCATTTTTATATTTTATGGAATATATTCGTTATTTACGTTTGGAGAAGAAAATTCTTCAAATAAACGTTACCTACAATATTATTATCTATAATTTTTGTTCTATATAAAATTTTCCTAATATTCAAGAAATTTGACAAAATGTAAAAAAAATAATTTTTTATAAAAATTGTTCATATAAAAGTTGTTTGTAATATAATTCTCTATAATTTTTATCCCATACATAATTTCTCTAAAATGGTCCGTATTCGAGATATTTGAGTTTAATTTTGGCCTGAGGTGAAATGATTAGATTTTGGACGAAGGCGGAACATCTTGGGGGGGGGGGGTACTTTATGGGAGGCCGTTTTTATATGTTATGGAATATATATTATAGAAAAATGTGTTGAGTTAGATGTATGTGGAAAATGTATATATTTAGTTTATCCTCTTAACATTTATAGAGGTGCTGCAATAGGTTGTACAAAACACACTAAACTTCAAAATACCAATTAAAATGTATAAAATATAGGGGGTGGTTTAAGTCTGGACTTGCAAATCCAAGGATCTGCATTTCGAATCCCACTGTTAGCCGGGATTTTTTAAATTTATATATGTAAAAATAATTATGACACATAGATAGGATTCTCCACTCAAGGGCGGCTCCAGGGGGGGGGGGGGGCATGGGAGCCATGGCCCACCCTCGAGATGAACATTCTTCCGATTCAAAAAAATATGCTAAAAAGGGAATGGCTAAAGGCAATGACCCCCCACCCCCCTCCCTCCCGAAAATTCGTCTTGGAGCCGCCTTTGTGACTCCACTCCGTTCATTCGCTGTTGGGTTCTAATTAACAGTGCTGTTCCTAAAGTGGCGCTGGGAAACAGCACTCTTGCTAGTACTCCATAACCTATATAGAGAATAAATATAAAATACAAGCGAAGGATAGTTAACCGTTATAAATTCTGATAAAACTTCTTAATAATAATTTTCTAGTTTTACTTTTGCAAAAAATTCATATTTTTCGACAATCTCATACATGACTGAAAAAATTTGATGTGATGGTTGTATTTCGTTTTAGACCATGCAGAACTTTATAATATGACCAATAACGTGATATTGCATAAAACCAACAATAAAAAAGTTATTTAGATTGAAAGTTGTAGTTTAACTTCCTAAGTTATTTGTAACTACCAAAATACGATACCAAACTTTTTGGAAAACAACTATATAGGGTAATTTTTTAAATTAAAAAATCTACATATTCAAAAAATCGTTGAATAAGTGTGTTAGGGTGACCATATATACATCATTTTGCTGTATTATACAGCATTTTCAAAGTCTATCCAGCAAAGTATTATACAATTTACTGAAACGTAACAAATAAGACTTGAGCAGCTAAAAAAGGTCCTCTACTCCTCTACGTGACTTCTCGATTTTCTGTTTTTGTATTTTTATCTTTGGGAAACTAAAAAAAATGTTTCTCTCCAAAATTCATCAATATTGCATTCGTGTTCAGCGTCCAGCAATGGGTCAAAAGAAATCTGGTCACCCTAGTGTGTGTATAAGAGTCGCTTTTTTACAATATATTTATACATATTATTATATTGTATATATTATATTATACCTATACAATATTTCGTAATGTGCCCCATACAAACCTATCCACACCAGTATCACATCAACAAAAATACAGGGTGTCCCGAAATTTGACGGTTATATTTTAACAGCGTAATAATCTACATCTTAAAATAAAAGTAAAAGTTCATGTAAACATAGGTCCGAAAACGTTTCGTTTTCGAGATACAGGGTGTTAAAAGTGAAGTCCTGATGACACATTTTTGTAAATATTTTCTAAAATTTCTTTAGTCACCAGTTTTCTAAAGTTAAAAAAAAATTTTTGATTCAATAAGCCTACTAATAATTGTTTACACTTTACACAACAAAAGTAGCTTTATTATAAAGAAAATATTGGTTTTCCAAATTTTGTAGTCAACAATCTTAAAAACAGTCAACAAAAAAAAATTAGGACAATTTAACACTAAGCCCTCCCCAATTTAACCACCTATGAAGATGATCAAAAACTGGCGTTTAGTCCATTAAATAGGACGTACAAAGTTTAGCATTTGTACCAAATTTCACTTAGTTATCTTTAAAATTTAAGAAAATATTTACATAAATGTGTCATCAGGACTTTACTTTTAACACCCCGTATCTCGGAAACAAAACGTGTTCGGACCTGTTTATATAAACTTTTACTCCTATTTTAGGATGTAGATTACGCTGTTAAAACATGACTGTCTAATTTCGGGACACCGTGTATATACTTCGGACATCACATACGGAGAGTAAACAATTATTATTATATAAAATTGAAATATACAAAACTTCCTGTAGAGAAATAATCAATCGATTAAATCTAGTATGAATTTAATAATTAAAATAAATGTTAACAAGTATATTTTCACAAGTTAATCCTATTACTATTTTTTTTTTTTTTTTTTTTTTTTAGTGTTGGATCAGTTTTATTACTGTCTTCTGATGATTTTTTTGTAAGTTAACTTAAATATTAATTTCAAGCAACATTTATTAGTTCATGTGTGTTGGGTCATTGTTTCAAAAACAATTTACGAATTTTAGAACGTTTATTACATTACAAATTGTTACTAATACTAAGTTAGCTTACAAAAATAAAAATGATCTCGTACAGAAAAAACTAATCATAGGAACATGGATTAATTGTGAAAATAAATTTGGTAACACTGTTGTTTTCATATATCAAAATCATAATTAATTTGGAGTTTTGTCAAAAATGCCAATTTTTGTATATTTTTTACTCTCCCTGTATGTGATGTCCGGGATATTATATTGCACAAATTAGGATATACAAAGATTGTAAAATAACAACACTCACTGAATCAACTTTTTGATTAGCCACATATACCTGTATTTTTTAAAATAATAAAGTGTCATTTTCAAACATTTATACAGCATATATAAATAATTCATTTATTCTCATTATTTTAGACTTTATAATTAACTTTTTAAATATAGTTTTTCATTAAATTAAAATATTACTCACTTTATATAGTTGTTTTCCAAAAAGGTTGGAACTTTATTCTGGTAGTCACAAATATCTTAGAAACTCAACAGTAACTTCTAATAGTATGATGTTATGTTATGAATGGGGTGTTAATACACTGCGACCTAAAAGATCTATTGTGCCCCCTTCTGTCGCCAATGCACTCAATGTCTATAGCGACCCTTCCAACCCTATTTTCTCGAGGAAGTGTAGGATTTGAAGTGGCTTCAAGTATGATTATCAGCAACATAATGTTTACATCTTAAATTATTATTTTTGAAAATTATGAGAATTCACACTTTCAACATCATGTATCTCAAAAACTAGGCGTATGAAAAATTATGATCCCATTGATACTTTTAAAACTGCAAAATATAGTAGATTTAGCAAGTTGGACTGAAAGCTATTTGCCAGAAGGAAACTGTAGTCATTTGTAATTTCATTTAGTCATCACTTTTTAATAAATCAAAATAAAAGAATTAATAGATATAATTTTCTTTTCCTCGATTTTCTTACATACTGTTTTTATGATTTTTACAGTATTACAAAATACAGAGTTTTAGACTGAAAGTATTGCTTTTTTTTTTTTCATATTTACGAGAAAATATAACTACAAACTACTGATGAAGAAGTATTATTTTATTATCAAGTTTTTTCATTGAACAACGATACAATGTTGAATTAAGACTATACAGAAATATTAATCAAATGTGTTCTACCAATTCAGATCCTATTTTATAATAAAAATTCCTTAAGTCTTTCTGTTATTTCTAAAAACCACCCCTAAGAATAATTTACACTTACAGAGGTCAAAACGTTTACTACTGCAACAAAAGATCAATTTAAAAAAATTTATAACATTGTAGGATTTATAATTTTCTTATATATTAAAGACTAGTTTTCTTAATTTTAGAAACTAGAATTCAGTCAGAGAAACATGACAAATATGCTCTATATTTAGTAAGCACTGCCAAACTTAATTTGTTTGCTAGACTACAAACTATTTTAGAACAAAACTGTAGTCATTCTATTTAAAATAAAGAAAATGGTTCTAGAAATAAGGAAAAGTCTTAAAAATACAGATCCTGTCCATTATTTTAAATAGTACTTGAGGCAAACCCATCATAATACCATTAAAAGCTAATTTTTGATATAATTGTAATATTTCTATTTACTTTCCAATTCCAAAGATTTTATAATTATGTAAATCACAGCACCAACTTCTTTCTATTAGGTATCTGAATGTGTTAGTAAATGAAAATGTACAGCATTGAAAAACAAGTTTTTAGCTCAACGGCCAAAACATATTTCTAAATACATATTCTCAGAAATTTTTTAAATAGGTACCTTACTTGAGAAACGACATTATCATCTACTTACTTCAGATACTCTTTACAAAAGTTAAAAATGATTTTTTTTTTCTTAAAACTGCTAAGAATTTTCTATAAATCCTAGTTCAATAAAAATTACTTAATTTATAAAAAGTAAAAAATCCTAGTGATTGTTCTGACAAAGTTAAAAACTAATAAAATATGAAAAAATGTGTAACAGACAATAACACCAATATTTAAATTTTAGCTAATGAAAAGTGATAGAAACAGAATTAAATTTTAAAACATGCACACAATAAAACATCAGAAGAAATATTTTAACAATACAATTGATAAAAAATAATTAAATTAGTTTTTTATTTAATTGAAGATTTTTAACCTCTACCGTCAAGACAATAAAATTTATTAAAAAACATTTAAATAAGACACTATAGACACATTATATTACTATATACTATTAGACACTTAGCATTTTTTATAGCAAAATATTTTGCTAAAAATCATTCACTAAATTACATTGACTATCACTTTTCAACAGTCTTAGAGGACAAATCGTAAAAATTCAATTGAATAAAAAAGTTAAATTATGACCAGCACGAAAATAATTTTAAAATTTTTCATATTCATATTACTCCAAATAAGAACAAACAATGAAAAATTACTTTTTACTGATAGGAGAACCAGAACGTGATCTAGACTTTGATTTTTCCTTCTTAGAATCACCTACATCGCCCCAATCTGACAAATCATACTTTGACAAATCTCCATCATCGTCGTCATCATCCTCTTCCTCGTCCTCCTCTTCTACAACTTTTTTTTCCTTAATTTCTTCTTTGTTATAGCTATCAGAATCTGAAAGAGTCCTTCTCTTTTTCTTTCTACCAAATTCGTCATATTCATCATCAGAATCCTCCCGTTCCTTATATTCAACTACACCTCTGTCATTATACCCTCCTCCAAATCCGGTTCTTTCCTCAACGTCGCCGAATTTGGGAGCATTACAAACATTACAAGACTGTCTGCGGGCCCAATTAACGTTACCACATTTGTTACATTGCCAGTCATCAGCACTGAAAAGTCCTTTACTTTTTTCAGCTGCAGCTTTACCTATTTCAGTACCCAATTTGCGCTTTGCAGCCGCTACACTATGGGCTTTGCTCTTTTCACACCTATTGCAGTTATTTCTTCTAGCAAAATTTACATTACCACAATCATCACATGTCCAATCCCCATCATTTGAGCTTCTTAAACTTGGTGGTGGAGGAGCTTGCAACTCTGAATCGGACATAATCTAAAACAAAAAGTAATTACTAGAGTTATGCGTTATCAGTTAAATTGCCTAAACAAATTTCTACTGGTATAAACAGCAAATAACATTAAGCATTGAAAGAAATTATTCGGATTTTAAAGATACGGATCTAGTTTATAATTCATTATTCCAATCAAGTGATCACTAAATCTTCCTTGAAGAACCTTATACCTTTACAAAACACAAATGTTAAAAAATTTTTAGCTAAATTTAGCTTAAAAATTATAATTTTGCCCAATGCAGCAAAATGACGGAATTGACGGATGCATAACTGTCAACTGAGTGACAGATGGCAACTGACATAAGTTGTCACTTAAGGTCTTTTCCTTTGCATCGAAAGTGTAGCACTGAGCTACACCACTTCTGAAAATATCGTTCCATTTATACAAATTGTATGGATGGAACAATATTTTCAGAAGTGACGTAGCTCAGTGCTACACTGTCGATGCAAAGGAAAAGACCTTTAGGATATAAGGATTAGATACTATTAAACAGGATAGCCTAGTTTCTCAAATCTGTTTGTAAAGTGCGCTATTGCCAAATGTCGACTTATGATATCCGCAGAACCTCTCAAACATTTAAATGCATTGATTAATGCACATATATTCAAAAAATGATTCTATTGTTTTTAATTAAAAATGAATATAACTCTAAAAATTATCTTTAGCATATTTGGATATGGTAATATCACAATAAATGCATTTAAAATAAAAAATAAGCAAAGTTTTATACAAATAGGGTAAGTGCATACATTCTAGAAAAAAATATTCTTGGTAAATAGATTTGTCCGACTTAGAAATCCATAATCGATGTACCAATAAAAACTCCCAGGCCGAATATTTTGGAAAGGAATAGTGGTATTTTAATTCTGAAAAAATACAAATTGTTATAGTAGTAGATATCATTGTAAAAGCAATATCGTTTTCAATATATGGGTTAGTACGATTTATTTGTTTGAAAAAAGCAATGTGTGGACTTAAATATATATTGAAAATGACTATTTTTAGTTCGTAGAATAAAATCTGCTTGAAAATGCATTTTCTACAAGATGAGTTATATTTGTAAGATCCTTACATCGCAAAAAATATAGTTTCAAAAACTGAAGCTGTCTTAGTTCTCTGCATACTGGTTTTTACCGAATTATGGTATCTCTATTCCTTTTCAAAATATCCGGCCTGGCAATTTTATTGGTACACTCTATTTTACAAATCTTATGCTTCATTATGGATTTCCAAAGTGATTAAAAATAATTTTGTGAAAATAGTTTTTTCTCATTTATATAAAATTTCTTGGGACTCTATATAGAACAATTTTTTTACATAACTCATGATTTAAGTTAAAAATATAATTTTCAATTTATGTTTATTGAAAAATAAAAATACATATTTTTAAAATTTGAATCTAAATAAAAAATAAAAAAAATTCATTTAATAGTTTTTCGCAGATTAAAAAATTGGTGCCAGTTGTCAAGGTCAGTTGATAGTCTTATAACTCAAAAAAACGTCAAAACCCTTTTACTACAAAGAAATGTTCTGTAGACGTTTACTATTTGTGTTTTATTTTATTACTAATATTATTATATCTGTCGCTTATATCTTTTTATATATACCTATACTTGTACTTTGACTTGTTCTCTCTGTAATATTCATATGAAAATAAAGATAATAATTGTTATTATTATTAATTTTATCATAAAAAACGGCACATCTTCGTACTGCGAAGGCTACGTATTACCTATCTTATTTTGTGTAGGGTTCAACTGCTTTAACAATTTTTCTATTAATTTATAGCACAGCTTACCAATTCTGTAAGCTGTTTTTACAGTATGATAAAATTATAAATAAAATTAAAACTTCTCTGAATTTGCTTATCCTTTTAAATTTATTTGCACTGTTTTAATATGCCAAGAGTCCAACAACATTTATTTCAATTAAAATCAATAGAAACATTCTTTCAGTATTTATAAAAGAAAGGCGAGGTTCTGTGTGACGAAAGAAATCGACATTTGGCAATAGCGCTTTTCACAGACAGATATGAGAAACCAGCCTATCCTGTTTCATGGCATATCTATTCCCTTGGTATGCTAAGGAAGAGAAGAAGGAAGTAGATTAAATTAACCTCAATTTTTCGCTTGCCGCTTCGCTTGGTTTGGTTAGTAAATTATTAAAAAAAACGTTTGTTGTACGATATTAATTTAATTACAATAAAAATATGTCTAAAGCACATCCTCCAGAGTTGAAAAAGTAAGTTTTATTTTAATTATTCTTCTAAATTTATTCTATTTCATTAATTCTAGATTTATGGACAAAAAACTTTGTCTCAAACTAAACGGAGGTAGACAAGTAACTGGCATTTTACGTGGTTTTGATCCTTTTATGAATTTAGTGGTAGACGAATCTATAGAAGAATGCAAAGATGGATCGAAAAATAATATTGGCATGGTGGTAAGTAGATGTAAAAACAAAAGTAAAGCAAAACCATATCACAGCATATAATGCTGAGACCATATAATATGTCCATTTTTAGTCATTTAAACATATACATTTCACCTGCTGTATTTTATGCACTTCTATGAGTTGGCAAAACTAAATGTGAATACCTTTCCTGCATGCATATTCAAAACCACATATAACTTATTTTCAGTATTTTGAAATGGACAAAATCACAAATATTGCTTACTTATTTTTACCTTTTTCAACATCATATTTGCCAACAGAATTTCAGTCTAATAAAACATTTTTTTGTTGATTTTTAGGTTATACGAGGAAATAGTATTGTGATGTTGGAAGCACTGGATAGAATTTAGTAACTAGTCTAATTTGTGATGGTTTATATTTAAGTAGACTACCTATTACTCGGAAGTGGAAATGCTAATTCATATTAAAAATCTCCAATAATATTTAACTGTTTTTTGTACCTACATCTATTAAAATGTATATAGTGGCAAAAAAATTGAGTGACTACCAACGACTAGTTTGTAAATGTTTTCAAACTTATTAAATCCTTTTACCATTGTTTCAATTTAAATGAGTGTATTTCTTAAGTGTGACATATAATGCTGTTTCCAATTAAAATTAAATTTTTATAAAAGGGCCATAATTTAACTTATCTCTATTATACCATTTGATAGCTCATATTATTAAACTGTAGTCACTTTCATAATTTTAAGTGGAAATAAATTTAGATACCTATTCCTTATTTTTTTTTTTTTCTAACAAAGTGGATATGGGATCATGGAAATATTCTTTATTAGTTTTTTCATACTATTTAAAGTAGTGGCGGCTGGTGAATAAATGCTGCAGAACTGCCAAAAAAAGGCAAGTATCTCATCTATATTTCACAGAAATTATTTTAGACATTCTAAAATATACGTAAAATAGATTTTATGGATAATCTCATTAATTTTAATTAATAGTGTGTGTTTTAAAGTAAAGGATATGACGAGCGCGGGCGGCCAAGCAGTGCACACACTTTTAATAATTAAAATTAATGACATTACCCATAAAATGTAATTTACATATGTTTAAGAATGTCTAAACTAATTTCTGTGAAATGTAGATGGGATACTTACATTTTTTTTGGCAATTCTATGGCTCTACCACATTTATGCCATTTATACAACAGTAAAAGTCCATGAAACAAAGTAACAATAAAGACTGGTTAAATGGCTATAAATATCTGAAGCTAGTAAATTAAAGGAAAGGTGATGAAATCACAAGTATTATGAATTGCAGAATCTGTAAACTTTCATTTTGACAGATTTATAGTTTTGCTGTAAGAATTATTTTTTTGAAATTGTAAATTTAATATATCACAAATCGAAATCGGAGAAGGTCAGAATTATCTGAAATAAGTTTTTAAATAATTTGAAAATTCGGAAAAAATTAAAAAATCACCTTACGAACTATTAAGACCATCCCAGGACCCCAAACGTGAAAACAAATACTTGTAGATTTGAAACGGAAATTTGTACTTCAAAATTTTCACATACCACCTTTTACATATGGCACTTTTCAATTAGTACTTTCAAGCATGTGATTTCGATCATCTGTTCTAATTTCGAACTTTTTTGAAATTTATTATGTCCCCAGTATAATAAACCTTTTTTTGTTTTAAAATCAATAATATACAATTTTATTGACAGTTTATATTAAAGAAGGCAGGTTGACTCATAAAATTCGAATTTGGTTAAACTTACAACCTAGTAATAATGTTGTTTTGGTCCTTATTTTCCATTCTAAATCAGCACAAAATAAAACACAATAAGTCATTGAGAATAAATATTCTAAATGTTGTGGATAAGTATAATATATACATGGGCGGTGTTGACTCACCTTCACGACAATGGAGTAGCCAAGTATAGAATAAATCGTCGGCTTACTGCCAAAACAAGATTACATTTTTGCGTTAACCGACAAGTGTTGGATAATGGAAAATACTGAAAAATGTAGGCTTGTTTTGGCAATAATTTATTTTGCTCAAATCCTGTACAGCTAAAACAAGTTAAGTGCACATTTAACGAAAAGTAAGAATTTCATATGGAAATAATTCTTCTGGAAAAACAGGTTAAGTGCCATTTATAACTTATTTTGGCTTTTGAAGTTTGGAAGATTGTTAATTATCTCGTTTTTTCAATATATTTTATAGTTACATTAGCATGCTTTAGAGTGCAAAACTAAATAAGTGTCACTTATCTTTTTTCCTGAATTCCTAATTTCAGCCAAAATAGGTTAAGTACAGAAAAAAATGGTCCTACTGGTTATTCATTTGCTAATTATTATTTTTTTTTATTTCTTGTAATAATTATGTTTATAGTACCACAATCTATGTTATTTTACCACTTAATAAATGTTTTCTTTCATTGAAGTTGTTTTAGTGTAGGTTAAAACTTTTAAACTTAATTTACTCAAAACTAACAAAATGGAACTTATCTTGTTTTGGCAGTAAGCCGACGAAATATAAATGGAAAAAAATAGTGGACCATTATTCAGAAACAAAATCGACATTATAGAAAATTCATGGAAAATTAATAACATTACACAAGTTAATAAAAATTTCGCAGCTAGAATTTAGATCATACATTGTTTTGTGCTTACTGAAAGTAAAAATAACGCAAATAAAAATTAGCAAATCCGTTAGATAAACTATCAAGTGAAATACCACGAGATAAACACAGTAGAATATGACAATGTCATAGCCAGACAATTTATACATGCGTAGTTCATAGCATTGACTGACTGGTGCTTTCGCAACCAGGGTTGGCATATAATTTCCCCATGTTATAAAGCCCAGTGGGTTTTTCGTGTTTTTTCAATTGATAAAATCTACTACTATAGGAATTTTTTGGGTTTTTTCAAAAATAGCAAATTTCAAGTTCAATGAACGTCATATACATATATTTATTTCTGAATAAAAACAAAAACTAGCATAAATAACATAAAGTAAAAGTAGTAGGTGAATACAAAACGAGAGAAACTGAAATTAAACTAACAAAACACCTATTTTAAATATGGTATATAGAGAAATAAAAAAAATAAACAAGTTTTTTTATTAAACAAAGCATATTAGTTATCAGGAAAATCAGAATCTCTATTTTCGTCACAATCCCAATCCTTAGACTTGGTTCTTAAATGATTATATATTTTTACCAAATTTGCAGCTCTATCGGCACCTAATCGGCTGCGAAGCTTAGTCCATATTAATCCATATGAAGAGAAAATCCGCTCAATAGATGAAGCTGGAGATGAGAAAAAAGATAACATATAAGTACAAAATTCATCTGGTATTTTATTTGTTTTTTTTATGTTTTATTGATATTAGCTTCTACCATTTCTTTGTTGAGAATTTTTGACAAATTCTTCTTTGAAAAGTGTTGCGGGGAACATATCTGTATCCTTAATCTTGAACGATAACATCACTGCCAAAAACTCATCAGAAAGATTCGATGCAACCAATTGTTCGACTGCTTCCTCTTCTTCCCATGGAATCCATAGTAATTGCAAAAAAGGTGAAATGGTTGAATGGCAAAATCATATCTTCTTTCTATTTCTTGACAGGTGCTGGCACTAATGCTAAATGTATTTATTTATGTCAAGTTGCTTGCTTTATTTTGTAAGCATGTTTTATTTTATTATTTTTGCAATAAGTCATAATTTTTGTAAAATAGAGCAGAAACTATATCAAATCTAAAGAAAAAACTGAAAATGTCCAAAAACCCGCAAACCCATAAAAACACAAAAAAAACTCGTTGGACTTTTTAAAAAAAACCGGGTTTTTTCCAACCCTGTTTTTTGTAACGTATATATTTCAATGTTTTTTTATTGTTATTTTTTTTATTCTAATGAAGGTATTTTAATAAAAGTTTCATAAAAATTGAATTATCTTATTTCTTTTACAGGTTGGTTATTAATGGGTTAATAATTTTTTTGAGTCTGTTTTCAGGTATATCAGAAATTATTCGAGGCGCTATGAAATTAGATGATCGTTTTTTTTTAGCTCTATTTTAGGATGTTTGTTTTGTTTATATCATGTTTAGGGATTGCTTACAAAACTATTGTTTTTGTAATGAAAAATAACTATTTAATAAAGAAAATAACCGTCTTACTCCTGATTCCACAGAGTCCTGAAATATTTTGTCTGTGTAGGGTTAGTTCTTTTTCTTTGGTAAATAATTTTTAAGTTGTAAATATTTGAATTTGTTTTAGGCTTCAATCATGTTCCTTACCAACCTGTTATTCCATATTGTAATGCAAGCACTTGTCAATTTTCACTTAGGATATTTAATGATTTTTCTCATGAATATTTTTATTGAAGGTAAATTACTTTTTTTTATCAAAATGTATGAGTCATTTCATCAAACCATGATTTAATATTTTGGTCATATCAACTGTTTTTTTTTTATTTCTTTCCAAGTATTCCCGCTGAACTGGATGGCAGCGAATGATGAAATCAGTCCTTCAGATTTATAGGACAAAAGTGCAAAACAGTATCGGACTAAGCATAGTGCCTATACACCATAAGTTATAAGGACAGTTCTCTTATAACTTCATTTACTTTAACATAATGCTTTCTGTTGTTTAAATTTTAAAGATGTCAAGAATATAAAGTTTATTGTGTTCTATAAAAAATGCTTTTTAGAATTCAAATTGTCAGATAATAAATTATATTTTTCTAAATATGTAGTCTTTACTACTTATTCAATAGTTCTAGACAGGTTCAAAATTAGGGATAGCGATATTTTGCACTTCTTTTTTTCAATAATGGTTTAAAAATGCCTATTTTAAAGCATGATGAAAAATAACAGTTAACGGTTTTTTTTATATTAATTTAAGTATTTCTGTTCTAATCATATCCAGAACTTTTATTAGCTTAAGTTAATTTTATGAGTTCTATAATTTATATTGAATTGGTTCTGGTTCATTTTTGAAGTAAAACATTTTTGTTCCAATTTCGGTGTAATATTTATTAGAAGTATTTGCTAAATCTTTTATATACTAACCTCTCTGACAAAAGGAAGAGAATTATCACCCATTTTTAAGACGAAAATGTGGTATAAATTTTTTTAGAATGTAGTTTCGTTTTCGAAAATTTAAAGTTTTTTTATATTAAATCAATGGCAATCGATATTCCAGTCATATTTGATATGCATAATAAGGGGTTTTAGTACTTTATTTTGTGTCCATTTTAAACTTTTCAATTAGTTCACTGGTGGAGATTCAGGTAACCAGCACCATAATTTAGCAAAACTAAATAATCTAAAACGAAGCGACATTCTAATTTTTTTTTATACATTTTCGTCTTAAAATTAGGTGAGAATTCTCCTCCTTCTTTTTGTCAGAGGTTAGGAAATAACCTGTATATATTTTATTGCGTAAAAGAGGTATGTATGAGTTAAAATCACTTGAATATATTTTAAATGTATTTATTTTTTAAAATCATTACTAATGAAACTCCCTGCGGTATATAATTACAATAATTTACAAAAAGTCATGTTTTTAAAACTTAAAATGAATTTATTACCATAGAATTGTACAGCAGCTAAGATTTAAAAAAATTCTCTAATTAAATACTTTGTACGGATAATAAATAACAAAATTGATATCAAAATAATAATTACAAAATAAAATTTCATTCATACATATATTCACAAAACTAACTTTCTTTTTTAAATATATATTTACAATAGTATTTTTCTTTGAGACTTCAAGCAGATCGCTAAACTTTTAATAATTAGAAATATACCAAAAAAAAATTAATACAAAATAATAAAGCTGAGATCGTTCCAGACCTGCTGAAAGTCCTGGCAAACCTTAAACGCTAATAAAAAAATCTCTTAAATTTAAAATACGTTTCACTTATTGTTCTCGAACAACTTGTCTCGCAAGCATTTGATTTTGTTAACGAAGTAGGCTTCTAGCGATTCCGCGCATTTATAAAAAGGTGATTCTTTCGGATTGTAATATCTACAGTTGTCGAATATTTTGGTCATATCTCCGATGAACTCGCTTAATTTTGTGTACACCTGATCGTTTATCTTGCCTTCAATCATTTGTAGATCTGAAAGGAACAAAACAAAAATTCTTATTGGAAACAATAAAAAGTTTATGGAAACAAAAAACATATCTAAGTAGGTTTTTAGGTTTAAAAATTATTATTTATAAAGTTATACAAAAAATATAAGCAAAACAAAAAAATTATTAAAAAGTCACAATATGCATATAAAAAAGAGTAAAAATAATTCGTTTTTTTTTTTTTAATTGTTACTCTCACTAATATGAATAAATTCATCAGTGGTTAAAATAACCTGAGTCATAAATTAAGAAAGGAAAATTGTGAACTCTAAAAAAGTATCTTAAAAAAACTAAAATTGATAAGTTTTCACTTATATGTAAAAAAACCCCTGCCGGGTGTCCCGATTGTTTTTTTTATAACACTTACCCATAGGCTCTTTGATGACTTTATAGTAATCTGGAGCTTCGGTTGGATCAACTGGTTCCATAAACGGCCAAGCGCTCTTGTGGACCTAAAAACCACAACAGATGTTTAAAAATACTTTTAAATGTATTTAAATAAGAAACTGTTAATAAAATTTAGAGCAAAATTAAATTATCCAGTTGTCATATTCTATTTTTAAAGAAACAATAATAGACCATCTTCTTATTGATTTACTCATGCGCAAATCCTAGTGTATCAATGGACTGCAAAAAGGCATCGGAATTTTGAATCATATTTATGCAAAAACAATGAATAAAGATCTTAATTTTTTTTAAAACCTTCATTTATCCTGTTAATCAGCAAGAATAGCCACAGGCTAAACCTCGCCCTTGCTAATTGTACAAAAATGTTATTATTTTGTGCAAATAAAGACCTATTATTATTGAGAAGACAATTTATATTAAAAAACTGTTAAGACTCGACAATTTTTTAAAACAATGATGATCAAACCCAACAGTTGTAGATAGGGTAACTATAAGAGAGATAGAAAATTAGATGTTTGGAAATTCCGTTTCACTTTTTCACACACGAGTAATGCAAAATGTTAAAATAAAGTGAAAGGTGTAGTTTAATTGATATATATTTTAATTAATCTAATATCTACCTGTAATTGTTTGATTAACTTCCTCAACCCTTCGAAGTCCTTGGCTGTCAAGTCCTTCATATTAGCAAAATTGACAGAATTATTCCTTTGACAACGTGGGCAAATGTATTCATCAATATTGTCCGCCTCTGATTGCAATATGCCCACACATCGACCATGGAACCAATCTTGACATCGATCACAACAAATATAAAATCTGAAATAATTATTTTGTTTTTAATAATCCAAGATAGTTATGAAAAACATTGTTTTTTTAGAAATACTGTATAACTTGTAAGTCTTATTCTATAAAGTTGCATGTTGTAAAAAGTATGCATTAACTTAGAATAAACTTACTGTGATTCATCGTAAGGTTGTTGACACAAACAATACAACTTATGAGTGTCTCGAGCCTGTTTGCATTCATTGCAGATAAACTCTGTTAAAGTTTTACTGCTTTCCTCCGTTATGCCTACACAATCGCCATGGAACCAATTGTTACACAAATCGCAACCAACATAAAACTTGGTTTCATCATAGGTTGTCCTGCATATACAATAGACCTAAAAGAAAAAAAAATTATATATAAAAAAACTATAAATAACTTGAATGCACAAAGTTGTATTAAAGGTAGTTCAACCAAAAACTGACCTTTTCACGTTTGTTGTGACCCTTTGAAGGCGTCGTGGCACCAGGTGGAGAACTTCCAGGCGGCCCCTTGTGTTGATTTCTCTTGTGCCTCGAATTGGTCTTTGGCTGTGGAGCAGGAATGGCAGGCGTGGTAGCGGTGGCAGCAGATTTTCTTTTACTGCTTCCGGTACGGACTTCATCCTGTTTCGTCCTTTCAATTTTCGTGCGAGCTGCCAATTCTTCGGCTACTTCACGCTGAAAATGTCCCAATAAAACGGACGATATAATGATTTTGTATACCTTATAATTTGATTAGAATAATGGCAGAATATTGTCAGAACATCATGTATCCCTCATCGTTTTTCAGACGGGAAAAGAAGACAAAAAAATGTAAATTCATCATTATACCAAAAAAGAATTATATGGTGTGACAATTTAAAAACTTACACAAAAATGCTTAAAACTGTTTCTAGGATAGGAAGGGGGAACTAAAATGATATAAAAGAAAACTCACCCCCATCAACCCCCTAGGTTCCACCTACCTCAACTAAAAAATAAACTAAAAACTGTTATGTAATAATTAACTAACAGGGCCTATTTAAAACTTTATTTTCACAAAACTAAATTTGACAAAAAAATGTCAAACCTAATGTGTAGTGTATTTGAAACACAGGTCAATGTCCCCTTTTCTTTCTGATATTTCTTCTTATTTTTATCCGTCATTCTTACCCTTATTAGTATTAATAACACCAGTATAAACGGGAAATTATTTTAAGCTTAAGACTATTACTATTACTAAAACGACTATAAATGAACCCTTAATCTTTTAAACGCCTTATGATCCGAAAAAAGTGTAGGTGTAGACCAAGACTGATCAACAGATATGAGTTATACTTGAGATAATTACACTCATCTGAATATTAAAAATAAGAATAGTAAACTCCGATTAGCGATTTTTACTTAACCTATTTTAGCAACATTTTTTTATCACTCAGTAGCTTTGTTTATGGATAAAACAGAATATGCTGCATTATTGTGACGTAACTTGTATGCAAAATTGCTGTATAGGTGTAAACGAGAAGTAAAATCACCATCTTGTTAAGATTTACTAACGTCACTTCACAACCCTCAAATTCGCATCGCAAAAGTTATTTTGCTTCTCATTTACCTCTATACAGTGACCAAACAAAAACTATTATGTCATTAATTTAGAGATATGCTTCCAAAAGTTTGTAGAACTCTGTTCTTGTAGGCACTTTTTATTCAGTAGTTTTATCACATTAGTCATAAAGTAGACCATTTTTTTGTGTCATCAGCATCAACTGCTACGGTTATTAGCCTCGTGTTCTGTGTAGGCTTTGTTACTGTTTCCTAGCGCCACTTTAGGAACAGCACTGTTAATTAGTACCTAACAGTGAATGTGGACCATTTTATTATTTTTTTTTTCACGAAAATCCAGGGTGAATGAAAAGCTTAATTTATTTTTGTGAACTTTTTTATGTAAAATATCTACTTAAATAAAATGTTAAAATAATTCTTAAAGTATGTCTTAACACCAGTGTAAAATTTGAATTCCAAAATTACCCTGTAACCACTGTTGTTGGGGTTTGGGTCTTGGAGCTAGGGCAGTTCAGGTCGAGATATTGAGACCAAACTTGGCATAAAGATCCCAAATATGAAAATTGCATAAAAAATTCGCCCACCCCATAGCTGATAGAGGGGCGTCACCTTCAAAAAATAAAGTTATGATTTTTTTTAATAAAACAGTTGGAATCTACGATTTTTTCTACATAGAAACCCAAAAAACATTTTTTTAAAAATATTTTTGACTTTTTGACCTGGACTGTCATAGTTCGGATGTGGGGTCTGGACATTTAAAAATAGTCACAGATGAGATAAAAATCTAAGTTTTGGCACATTTACAATAGATCGTTTTTGCATAAAAATCAGTTGAAATCTACGATTTTCTCTACATACCTACCCAAAAATATTTTTAATTTTATCAAAAAAAAATTAATTTTTGGATTTCTATGCAGAAAAAATCCCAGCAATCTATACTTATTTTTGGACATTTTATTACCCTTAGAAATACTATTCCATTTTTAAACACCTTGTATGCATATCAAAAAGATAACAAAATTGGCACTTCCTTTAACAAAGTGAAGAATGTTTTTAAGAAAAATTGTATGTTAGAACACAAAAATAAATGAACAATATTTAAGCAAACAATCAAAAAGTTTAAAGTAATTTTTTTTATTATTTAATAAAAATGATCAGACATTGCTAGTTTCCTAAAATCATAATCTGAACTCAGCATCACGGTCACGTGTTTTTATGACTTAAAATTATTGCAAAAACGTTTTACAATGAAACACATTTCAAATAAGTCTAGTATTTTTTTGATACATAAATAATATCTCATAAAAATTAATAAAATAAACCTAAAGCCAACTTACCACGTGTGTTCATAACCTCAAATGTTCGAATGTTCGTCTATTAAATTGGAAAATTTATTGCTAAATATTTAAATTTTGAAAATATTTTTTTGCTAAAGGCAAAGGCACAACTCATTTTTGCAAAATAATCAAAATAATACATTTTAAAAATATAATGAAAAAAACCGTCGAGAACTCTATTTCTCTGCGTGAACTCTCAAATTTAAAAAGAAATCAAATGCTTGATGTAAATCTATAAATAGCAAGGAGGTCTAGCCTATGTTGCCAAGTGAATATTTTTAAAGTCTTTGAACTTAAAATGCTTTATGTAAAATTTAATTTATTGGCAAAACAAGAAAATGAAATGCATAATATTAAAATTTAGTAGGTATTTGAAAAGGTTATATAATATAGGTAGGTACCTATTTAAGTAATAAAATAATTTCAAGAAACTATTTTTAAATTAAAAATAAAACAATGTAAGGAAAAAATAAATAGGTATAAAATAATAACAAAAAATGCTCTTTATACAATCTCGGTCCTATAAGTTTATTGCAAAAAAATTAAATTAGAAAAAAATGTATATTACATTTCATGGTTTTTGAATGCTTTACAGATTTTTGAAAGTATATGGCAACCCTGTAGGGACTGGAGTCTACCTGAGTATCTATCTAAACAATCCGACGCAGGCGATAAGAAATACGAAAGTGAAAATAGAATGTTTTACATTACTGAATTTAGAATTTATTTTTGTTTGTCTACTGCCGAAAATTTTAAAATTAAAGTACCGTAAAGTCGAGTGACTTTGACCCGCATGGGTGACTTTAGCTCAAATCAGTTATTTCTGTTCACAAAAAATTATACGTCCAATTTTTAAAATAAAACTCACGCTGGTTGAACTGTAAGGTATTAAAACTACCCAAAACACTTTATTTAAAGACAATTGGACGCTTACGCTTTTTGTAGTATAAAAAATTTAACTTGTTGCAAAATAATCGAAATTGAAAGGTGATAAAATTTGTATGCAACCAACAATACTGTTGTTTGTAATATTTTTTGTTATTATCTTTACCGTAAGCAATAAAAAATATTTTTTTAATGATAAAATGTGTTTTACTATCAACTGTGATCAGTGGCTTTAAACCAGCAAGTATTATTATAGAAAAAACAATGTAAAATGATGGGTGAGTCAAAGTCACACTCTACCTGCGGGTGGCTTTGCACACCCCTTTTTTATTTTTTATTTGAAAAATTAGACCTTTTGAGATATTTTTGCTTAATAATTCTTAAAATATAACTGAAGACTAAATTATGGCGAAAATGCGAATTTGGATTTGCTTTTATTTAACAATTGAAACTAGGTTTAAATTTTAACAGTGAGTCAAAGTCACCCGACTTTATGGTAACCAAAATTATTAAAACTTATTTTTTACATTGTTCACTGAAAGGTTATTCATATTTGTAATGAAGTAGGTACCTATAATCCATAAAGGAAAGAAAAATCTAAATTATTTAATGTTAGACAATGGCAAGGCCACTTAGTTTTGATTATTGGTGGTCATTGTGAGACCTAAAAGAAGGCATTTCTTAGATACAGGGAAACAATACCTTGGTACCTATATACCTATTTCTTGATTAAACTCATATTTCCCCGTAGTTAGTATTCCTATTTTTGTTAAGGTTTAGATTATAAGATGAATAACGTTTAAAATAGGGCATTGTGCAGAACCCCCTGTAATATAACCATTACTTATGCTAATTTGTTCCTAAACAGATTTCAACTCGGGTCAATTCTGGGAATTGTTTCAAATAAATATAATTTTAAAGGGAAAAATGAAACCCAAAAGACTCATCTTCAGGCACAATAATTTTTTTTTAAAAATTAATGACAGTGGTATTGTATAGTGATAGTGTGTAAAGTCTCGGAAATACCCCCAAGTCCATTGACTGTATTTATTGTTTAAATGTAAAATGGATGAAACAAAAAGTTACTAGATTTTGGCACGTAGCAGATTAATTACATTATGTTATTATTGCAGGTGGCAGTTATCAAAATAATTTTGAATTTGTCAATTTCTTAAAAAAAAAATTATCGCTTTTAAAATGTTCACTTTTTCAATTATATTTGCCAATGCTGGTGTCTGGACCACATACTTATAATAGGATCCAGAAGAGCCGTGCAGGTTTCTAAACGCACTCCAGGTGATGTGACGTTTGTGTACTAGTTTACTGCGATTGTTAATTTTATAATAGTGACATGATATACTGTAAAGTGTCAGTACATTTGAAGAAAATATATATTTTTAATATTTAGTTTTTGAGTTTCTTCTGATAATGGATTGTATTAATTTAGATGATATGAAGCGTCTAGATGCAAAATCAGACATCCGACATTTTTAACACAAATGAGTTAGGCATGGATTTCCATTGTAACAGCAATATATGAATAACTGACCCTCAGGACCATTATCAGACGTTTAAATGTAGTTTTTGTGGTTGAAATTTCTGCCTTAGATACAAAAGCAGACAATTACACACACACAAGTTAGTTGCAAACAGATATTTTGTCTTTGACCAATCCGGTTCCCGAATTCGACACACGTGATTGTACGAAACGTGATGAGGTTGTTTGTTTTGATCGAGTCTGCATGATAATGAAGGAAATTACTTGATAGTTTAGTTACCTATGTCAGTTTTGTTAACATTTCTACATACTTCTTAAAAACAGTTAAAAAATAATATTTTTTTCAATTTTGAGATTGGAAGGCTTGTTTACTTATGAACAATATTTTTTTTGTTAAAATATGGATTCACTTCAAAACAGAATTTTTTCCAAAACTTTCATGCTAAACGTAGTTTCCTATTTTAAGAGACACAAATCTATTTGCGAGGCTCTTGGAAAGAGGTACAATCAAATGGCTGCAGAGGCATTAAATATTATGCAGAAAACTATTTATAGACAGTAAACCAACAAATTCTGATACAGGGTATGTGAAAATAATGTTTAAAAAGTAAGCCAAAGTAAAACAAAAGTCAAATATTTAATATTAAGTGAGTTATAGATAGGATGTACTAAGGTGCAATGAAATCGTTACATAAACGATTTTAGAAACAAACGCCTGATGTGAAATGTTCTGCATGGTCAATTAATACATGGATTTAAAAAATTGGCTTTCGCTTTAAAAGAAGTAACAACAGACAGTTTTTATTGGAACGAGTTTAAAAAAATGTAGTTTTTGAAAAATTTTTAACAATGAGCTAGAGCTGGGTAACTGTAAGCCTGTATTTATAGATGAGACGTGAGTATATAGCAAGGGAACTGACAAAAAAGTTGGGAAGATGGAACGATGGCTACTGCAAGTAAAGAAAAAAAAAACAGTAAATGGAATTCGATATATAATTGTCCATGGTGGCGACGAAGAAGGGTTTATAAAAATGCAGACCTCATATTTAAAAGTCAAACAAAAAGTGGGGATTACCATTATAATATGAACACAGAAAATTTTGAAAAATGGTTTAAGACGAAATTTATACCAAGTCTGGAACGTCCTTCTTTGATTATAATCGATAATGCCATCATAATCATTCGCGGTATCTGGAACCAATTCCATGTTATAGTTGGACAAAAGAGAAAATTGTTGCAGGAAAAGATCATTAATTATCCAATCAATGGTATGAAATATCAGATTTGGGAAGTTGTACGTCAAAATCTACCACGAAAAGAATTCCACCTAGATAGATATATTGAAGAATATGGGCATAACATTTAAGAACTCCTCCATATCACTGCCAGTACAATGCGATAGAGATGGTGTGGTCACAGGGCAAACGGTTTTATGACGGAAAAAGTCGTCACACTGGGAGATATATTTTAGACTTGGTCAGAAGCTTTGAATAATACTCAGTGGGACAATTACGTAAGACACACTAAAAACATAATTGTTTATGATTGGGAAAATGCAAAATACAAGCAATTATATGTGTCTGATCTAGAACCAATTAATTCATGTATAACGGCAAGTAGCGATGAGTCTGAATCAGAAACCAGTTGCGAAGAAAATTATATTGATTAAAAAAATTTATATAAGTTATCCAATAAATATTTTCTGTGCCTCTTGTTATAATACATTTTTTTAACAAAGAAACTGTTTCACGAATTTGCACCTGTTTTGGATTATCTTTGAAAACTCCAAAAACGCTAAAAACCAATGTCCAGCCGGGTAATTTATTTATAAAGTACGAAAGTAAATTGTTCTAGTATTTGTAGATAAAATGTAAAACGTAATCTTAATTTTTTCAAAGTCACTTCTTGCATTCCTGCAAACCTAACTTAATAAAGTTTACGCTGCTAAGCAATAACAAAGCGCAACTGAAATAAGAAAACACTTGCAAACTGTAATTAAAAATGAGATACTCTTTTGTAACAGGACTTGGGGTATTTCTATCACTTTACAAGACATAGGGATGTGTGTGGTGTTGAACGCCGTAGTTCATTAATTTCGTAGTTTTTTTTCCTAATACCACACACACGTCAATTTCTTGTAAACACTTGTAAACAATATCGTGATTCTTCAACACCATTTTTATGTTTTACATTTTTATATTTTTTTTATGTCTTTATACAGTTGAAACTATTCGCACGTAACTTTTGTTTTTAAGAATATTAAAAAATTATTATATAGCATTGATTTTGGTATTCATTATTTTCTTTTAGAAAATTGACCACACTTGAGATTATTAATTTTACTATTATCTGCATAACTGTTCTGAAACAACAAAATGTTAACTTATTTTTTTTTGACTTACCTGAATCTCGTATTGCAATTCTTTCTCCAAGAGAGCTCGTTTCCTTAAAATATCCTTTTTCAAAAGTTCTTTGTGCCTAAACAGAGTGACCAAAATTTTTGTTCTCATGGTAACTTTCCGTTCAGACTCCGAAACTTCTTTTATTTTGACTTTACTCCTGGGCGAAACAATTTTTTCTTTGACCGGTTCATGACTGCAAAGAAAATCGATTCATGAACGTGTTGTTTTAGAACGATTTTTTAGTTCTTTTATTAGTAATATTGGTCAGTAATATTGTTTCTCTCATTAACTTCTCGGACGGGAAAAGAAGACAAAGTATATAAACTCATCATGAATAAAAGGCGATTTAAAGGGTAATTTTAACACAGTTCATGATACGAATCCTAGGGGTCTATTCTGTAAAAATTTGGTTAAAATTAACTGTAGATTATAAAACTAATTAATTAATTTTGTATCATGTATTGTTTGGTTAAATTACGTATTACGTATCATTATTTTTAATGCTGCGTTGGGCTTAATTTGAATGAACTTTTAGGCATATGCCGCGTTTGAGAATCCACATCGGATGCATTTTTTACATCTCGAGCGTTTTTTTATCCACATCGGACACATCTGTTCCATTACATTTACGTATACTGAATCACATGATCAAAGATTTACTACATCTCAGATGCATCCGATGTGGATTCTCAAACGCGACAATAGTCGTCACGGAAATCTAACCTCGAATATAAAGGTATAACTAATGTGGCAACGTTTTTTAAGTCACCCGAATACTGTAAAACCACCACCATCTACCCGATCAGATTAGGGGTTGTTTACAGGATCGTACTTCAACATGTAATTGGGGTGGAAAACGATTACGTTAAATATTTTCCAATATTAAATAAATCAATTGTAAATTTAGAAAAGACGAATTAAAAGTAATGTGTGATAATATTAATATTGTTTTTTGACACATTAGATAAATTAAGTATATATTAAAAAACTCTAATACACAAAAGTCAAGTAAAAATACTGCGTTTCAGATTAATACTTATAAAAAACACACGATTTTTACCAATACATACCAAAATTAACCTAACAAAAATTGTCTTATCTCTATATTGATTTATGGTTACAGATTAGGTAAATAAACCCTCTTAAATTGACTGTAGCCAAATCTCACCGAAATACGTTTTTACTATATTACGAGGGTAAATAAAATATAAACGGTAATTTTACTATTTCGTTTAGCACGTAATTCCGACCTAGATGATGCGATGCGCGATTGATGGGTTGGTTTATCAGGAGTGGGGAGCCGGCTTGTTTAGCGGCCGCGCTCGGTTCTGTCCTGTCCCTGTCCTCAGTACAGCCATGACTGAGTAGGAGGTACATTCGTCTGTTGCACAACGCATCATCATAAAGTTTTTAACCAACGAAGGCGTTAAACCGTCCGAAATTTTTACTCGTTTAAAGGCACAGTTTGGGGATGATACACTGTCTCAGAACTGAGTGTAAACGTGGGCCAGAGAATTTAAGGGTGGGCGAGAACGTGTCGAAAATCAAAGTCACGATGACAACATCCGTGCCGTTCGAGAGCTTGTTGAAGGCGATCGCCGGTCAACAGTTGAAGAAATTTCGTCAAAAGTGGGTATCAGCTATGGGAGTGCTCAATCCATTATCACTGATCAGCTTGGCTTCAGAAAAATTAGTGCTCGATGGGTTCCAAGGTTACTGACCGAAAATCGAAAACAGGTCAGGTCGGAGATCAGTGAAAGACTTCTGAATCGATTTCGACAAGAAGGGGAGGATTTTGAGACGCATCGTCACATGTGATGAGACATGGGTCCACCATTACACTCCCGAGTCAAAAATAGCGAGTAAGGAGTGGCGAAGAAAGGATGAAGGCTGCCCAGTGAAGGCCAAAACCCGTCTCTCAGCCGGAAAAGTTCTTGCAACGGTTTTCTTTGACTCAAGGGGAGTTTTGTTCGTTGATTTTCTTTACGATCAACGAACAGTGAATGCGGCTTACTATTGCCAGTTGTTAGAGTCGACAAAAATCGCCTATCGAAACAAAAGACGAGTATGCCCATTAGAGACGTCATCCTTCTTCACAACGCGAGACCACACACCGCGGTTTTGACAAGGAATAAACTGGAAGTACTGGGCTGGGAAACCCTCGAACACCCTCCCTTTGTCACATTATCTCAGAACTTAAAAACTTTAAAAGTTTCGCCTGTATAAAAATAAGGAAATGAAAATATTTCAGAAAACTATTGGCCTATCTCAATAGTATCTATATTATCAAAGACTATTAAAAAAGCATTTATATTTTCTTAAAAAAAAAAAAATATTAAATTTTCAATTTTGTATTAAATAATTTTCACCTTTTAATACATTGACTCCATGACTTTCCATTTAGGTGAGCCTAATAAAGTAATCACTTTGTGAGAAATAAAGGACCTTTCTTTACACCTTTGTACTCAATTCCAACCACTCATACTTATTAGGACTTAAAATAATTTTAACGTAAACTGTCTAAGTTGATGTCATCAAAGTCTTTTTATGTAAATATAAATTTATGAATTTTATTTTGAACATCTTGCGATTTGTGCTTATTTAGTCAAATTAAGTATATTATACTCTATCCGTAGGTACGCAAAAAGAACGCATTGCTTTTAAGGTCACCCAAAAATTAAAGAATTTTCAAAACTAAAATTCGAATTACTTTAAAATACTACTTACTGTGTTTCGACCTCGACCTTCTTCACATCGCCCGTCCTATTAGGCCTGCTTCTTTTCGGCGTCTCCATCACCCAATCGGCGTCATCGTTTTTGGAAGTACTTAGCGGCCTCTTACGTGGCGCGCTAGGATGGCGGGAATTAACGATGGGTTGACTGAGCTTCGTAACTGGAGACGGTACTTCAGGTTCGTGTTTCATCTGTCGCTCCTGGTACCGTTGGAGTTGCAAGAGTTTTTCCTCGATTTCAGGGTTCAGGTTCTCTTGTTTTAACGCAGTTTTGATTGCTGAAGAGGCAAATGTTTTATGGTTTTCTATACGCGCACGTAACAATGATTAATCTAGCATTAGTAACGTCCCTTATCTCACCATGTAGAACGTTAAAATTTAATTTTGATTGTTAATGCAATGTTGTAGAAATAAAATGATTAGTTTTTAGTTGTAGTAAAAAAGAAATATTTAATGTTGGGTTGTTTTTGACTTTATTTATATAGAAAATGAAATATTTGAAAAGAAAAATGAAAGTAGTTGTTTTGAAATCGACTTTTGGGAAGAAATGCTAGGAAATGTTTTTATATACAGTTAATCTTTTATACCTATGTAAGAAAACATTGTTAAGCGAGTTTTGTTTTGAATGTAGAAGGCAAATTTAATGCTACACCTTACAGAACACGTTGGGGACAGGAATGAAAACGCAAGAAATTATAGAATTTGCCTCAGTTGATCGAAAATCTGTCTACAACAGCCATTCATAGAATGTTAATCTTAAAATTGTAAGTAGAACTTAAAAAACACTATAACTTATGCAGAATATTCAATTCCATGTTATATTTGAAGTAAAAAAAGCCAATGGAAATCTGAGAATCTGCTTAAGCACCTATATTGGTTCATATTCTTCAATCCATATACAAACGATTAACCAACAACATATTACATACAAACGCTTTCTATATATGTTGATGAAGCTATGACAGCAGAAGGGAGATATTATAAAGACGTGGAGAAAAGTTGGAACCAGAACTTATGAGGGGGTCTTAATTCTATCAAAAGAACTCCCTTGGATCCAATTATTCATAGTATCGAGTCATGATGTCGACTTTAATTCTCTCTGGTCGATTTAAATCCCGAAATATGTTTAATAAAATATGTCCTCGAAGAACTATCAGTTAATTTCCAACCCATACAAGAGATTCCTTACAGCGCTGCATTTGAAAAATAACTCAGAGCGTTTTAGTCTCTCATCTGATTGCAAAGAGTGGCACGTCGTGTAATTTGGGTACGTGAGTACAGGGGAGAGGGGGGAACAACTACTTATGTACCGGTGGTGGGAGCTGTCATATGACCTGTCAAATTCAAAGTAAAGTTGCTTATCAATTTTTTTTTGTAGCTGAATATGAAATATATGCTTCTAGACCTCTGTAACAATAACAAAATCCCGTTGCAAGCGTTTTCTGTCGACCGGTTTTGTTACTTCCGGTGTAGGGATATCGGCCACATGACTGAATATTTACGTTTTCAACGAATATAACTTCATAGTCCTAGAGCCAACGTGCATATTTGTGACTTATTTTCTTATGGATGAATTTATTATTAAATTGTACTATGATACGTGTCCAACAAGTTCAAAAAACGACGACGTACAAAAACTTGACTTATTTTCTTAACATTTTCGTTATGCTCATTCGACAATAAGTGCCCACCAACAAGATATATTAATAAATCATACCACTTGTAAAGTCCATAGCTACCTAAGCGATCCAGTCTGAACGTCGCGCTTTCGTCAATTCGTTGGACACGTATCATAGTACAATTTAATAATAAATTCAGCCGAAAATAAGTCAGAATTCGGCACGCTGGCTTTAGGACTAAAAACACATTTTTTCTGAGCTGAAAATGATATTGTAAGCTTTTTTTTTGTGTCGGCGAAAGGACTGATATGAAAAAAAAATTACAATCTGGCGAAAAGTGACCTGTGGTTTATCTCAAAATATTTGTATGACTCGCAACTAAGAGTATTGACCTTGCAAACATTTTTTAAGCTATTGCATAGATTTTATCGCGGGCTTTGAGCGCGGCGACCGAATCAAGAAATTCCGTAACCCGTAACGAAAAAAAAAAAAAACCTAACACCCCCATTCCGACCGGCACAGCGGTGCGACGTTAAACAATATTAACTTTTCATTTATTCAATAAAAGAAAATCGAAAAACCAAAAAATCGAAAAATCAAAAAAATCAAAACAGAAATTCCGTAACGAAAATAAACCGCCCACTCCGAGCGGCACAGCGGTGCGGCGTTGAAAGCCGTGCATCGTCTAACGTCGTTTCACTTCGGCAGACTTCAGCACGGTGTTTGTGTGCGTGCGACTAGACGTATGCGTGTAGACTAGCTGCTAACTGCTCATAACTGATTCTCTTTTAGACACAATTTCGGAAAAATTTAATTTGAAAATGAATAATCATCCACAAGAATCCACAACAAAATATGGGACCACCATTGACGCGATATTTTCCAGATTTTTAGAGGATATTAAGTCTCAAACTTATGTTTCTTATTTCAGTTACCATAAACCTATAGTTTCAATGATAAAAATTCCTGAATAACCTACATGTATTGTAAGATAATAAAAATATTTTAAACAATATTAACTTCTCATTTATTCAATAAAAGAAAAACAAATTGTTTTCTTATCGGTCACCACGCTCAAAAAGTGTAACTTGAATTAATATCAAAGAAAAAACTTGAATATCAAAGAAAAAACTTGAATATCAAAGAAAAAAAAAAATACTGCATAAATAAAATAAATAAATAATTATAATTGCATGAGTTGATAAAAAATGGTATGCAATAGCTTTACCGCGGCAGTCCCCGAGTGCCACAAGTATTTTTTTATTCAGTAAATCTACCCCATTCGCCATTAATTAGACTATTTTCGCATTTTTTCTAGAAAAACCAGGGCGAATAGAAAAGGTTTAATTCCTTTCAAAATTTTGTAAGATTCTCAACTAAGAGAATGGTCCTTTATTTAGTAGTTCAACTTACACCTAAATAATACGTTTATACCAATAAATATAGGAGTAAAATACCTTGGACTTCATTTAGATGAAAAAACTTACTTGGAAATCACATTTTTAAGCTAAACGACGGCACCTCGACCTAAAAGTTAAAAATATGAGCTGGCTAATCAACAGAAGATCGAAACTTTCATTAGAAAACAAACTAACCATCTAATAAAAAATATTAGTTTGGTCGTTAATTCAAGCTCTATTCACTCTATAAACTCCAAACGACCATTTTAATGTTTGTTTATTCCAATTCGAATCACCAAAAAAATGCTTGCAATATCATCTTAAGTTCAAAAAAACTGCGTTTAAGCTATATCCAGAACTTCATTGAAAAACGTAAACATCCGATCACGTAGCCGAATTCACTACACCGGAAGTAGCAAAACCGGACGACAGAAAATGCTTGCAAGGGAATTTTATTGTAATAAACGTCTAGAATCATATATTTCATTTGCAGCAAAAAAAATACTAAAAAATCCATCGATGAGCAACTTTACTTTCAATTTGATAGGTTACGCGACAGCTCCCACCACCGGAACATAGTACATAGTTCATTCAACAGTACCCAATTACAAATAGCAAGTAATAAAAACGACGTGCCACGTTTTGCAGTCAGATGAGGGAGTATTTAATCAGTTGACTAAAAGAACTCCTACTTATGTTAAAAATAAGGCCGGATGCATTTTTTGGGAAAATTTTAAAGGATATTAAAACATTGACAAAGGAGGATAAAATAGGAGACGATGTATGAAAAATATGAGCAATTAAAAACCGACATATGACAACAAAAATTTGACAGTGACAATATTAGGAACATCTTCTAATGTGCCCAAATTGTCCTAATGTTTGGCTAACCAGTCATAAAAATAAATTTGTTCTGAAATAAAACCGTTTGTAATACTAATCACTTTGGTCATTGTATAAGTAGATGGGTATGGAGGGATGTAATAAGTCAAATTTACCAAATATAAAAAAGGAGATATTAAAAAAAAAAATAAAGTTTTAACCTATTTTACTTGGCTTAAAATTGTCTGCTATTAATAATTTAATATTATTCACTTAAAATGTTCTAAAAAAAGCAATTTCAAACTATAAATACAGTACTTATTTTTTGTCTACAATTGCTAAACATAGTTGCATTTTTCCCACAGTTTACTTGTATTATTGTTCTTAAATTTATTGTAATAGCTCCCTTCCTAAATAAACTTCAAAATACCTCCATAGATAATAATTTAACATAGTTACCTCTGACTTTTATGTGACTAGAATGAAGATATATAATATATTGCTTGGCATACTTTTTATAGATTAACAGATCCCTTAACCCCCATTTTTAAACATTTTTTCAGAATCAATAGGCTTCATCCCCTTATAGAGCTTTATTTTTCCTAAAGATTTCAAGTTGATATTATTTTTCATTTTTGGCTTATCGTGCGAAAAAAAAAAACGTGACATCGAACGGACATTTTGACAGTTGTTTAAAATTTCATGAGAAGGATTTTGGTACAAAAATTTTAAAATTTTAATCAATAGTAAAAATGTTGGTTTCTTGAAAGCAAGCCTATAATACTCTATAGATTACTGGGCGAAGAGTATAATAAAGGCGTCAAAAATTAGTACATCTAATTGAAGTAAAAGTGAATAGTTGTAATTCAAAGCAACTATGGCTGACGCGAAATACCTGTTCGAACTTTTTGTTTTAATTTTTATTAAATCATTATTTTTAATAGAGATCGAAAATTTAGAGATATACAAAATAACTATATAAAATTGTTTACCTAAAAAATGTATTGATATATTTTTATGTTTATAACAATCGTAAAAAAAATTAAGTGTGCAACATGTTCGAAAAACCCTTTTCCCACTCGCCTAAGTTGTGCGCTCCTGGGAAAATGTCGTTTTTCTCACTTATTGCACAAACTACTATTTCCTGTCTGGCATAGTCACACATTTAAAGACAACAGCATTATCATTTACCACCAAGTTCTACACGAAGCACAATCAATCGATGTGCCTTTGCTAATAATTATCCTTTACATTATAACAATATAATAGCATGGCAACCAGACAAAAATAAGTACTGTATGTGGATTAATAAAGCCTCAAAACTCACTTCCATAAATTTCTGCTTTTTTAGCTTCAACGCGGTATAAAAAATGTAATGATAAAAAATAACATAAAATAAAGAGGATGAAAAAATATAAAAAACCCAAAGCAAAACGATCGAAAATAAAAATAAATACGGAGTGCAAGGGTTTCGACACAAAAAAACTCCATTGGTATTGTTTGAACGACTTTATTATAAATTTTTGAATACAGTCTGGTAAGTTACATTAATGATTATGTAACTACTGGTCAAAACGACCGTATCAAACCTAAAAAAGTTGGGAAATTAAAAACAAAATATTTCTCCGATTGTGTTCTTACTAAATATTATTTGCCATTACGTATAATTTATTAAGTAACTATCTTCCCAATTTTTTTAAGCTCATTTTTTAATAAGAACGTTTCAATTGAAAGAAAAAAATCAGTCTTTGACGTCAGTTCTAATCTATTTTTCCTCGTTTGTGTATTTAGATATTAAAAATTTGTTAACTATTTAATAATTTAAAATATTTTACTTACTGAAATAATTAAATATGATGCAAAACTGAAGAATCTCTAGGAACTGAAAAATTATTAATATAATTGAAAATATTGTTTTTAAAAAATAATTTCCGAAAATTGAAAAAATAGACCTCCTATTAATATATTTTAACTAGATTTTGCTACATTCTTCGTAATTTTCAAAGAAAATGTAATTGCTAATACTGCTTTTAATACTGGTAATTCAAAAACGTTCTCATAAAAATATAAACACATTAAAATGAATAAAAAAACAATTCAGTCTTCATTCTAAAAGAATGAAAATATCACAGAAAAAAATTCAATAAAAACAAAAATGTAAAAACCCTTGCTGTTCCGCAACAAATGTATTGACTAGAGTGGAAAAAGTGTCATATTTTAATTGTCTATTTTTAATAAATAATGCATATACCGGGTAAAAAAGCGATATAGGGCCCGCCTCACATCCTTTCAAATTTTTTTACAAAAATATATGTTGTTATTACTTAAAGGTCGTATTGCAAAGGTACGTAATTAAATTATTTTTAATAATAGTAATAGTAAGGTTTTAAATTGTCACTTATCCTATAATGTTATTTATTGTTTTATAGAATTGATTACTTTTGGCTCATGTGTTACATCATTACTAGTACACAAGTAAATAAAAATTTAAATTTTTTCCAACATTTTTTAAATAGAAATTTATTTTTGCTGGCTATTAGATGGTACTTAAATTATATTTATATTTTCTAAGAATTTTTAACAAAATATTAATCAACTTTTCATATTTGCACACAAAACAGATATTGACATTCTTAGTTGGATGGCACATATTTAAATAAAAGAAACATTTTCACATAGGTATTTTTCCCTTATTTTAGTAAAAATTCAACATACAATAATTTTTTATTTTCCATCATCAAATAAATTATGTGATGTTTCATTGTTTTATGGACTTTTTATTAAGGTTTTTTTTTTCATTTGTACACACTGCATAATCATTTGAAATTTGAGAGTGTTATCTTTAAATTTTAAGTCAAAATAAACCTTACAACATTTTTATCAAAAACCCTTAATAGAGACTATGAAGTAATTCTAAAAAAAGGTTTATAAAGTTGGCCATGGAAAAAATAATGCATGAAGGAGCATACAATGATTTTTCTTGTTTAAATGACAGATTAGACACTTATACAAATATCAGTAGGAAAAACCCCGATTTTTTGTTTATTTTTATTGGACTAATAAATAATTTAACAAATTTGACTAGAAACGATTCAAAATCATTGGCAAAGTACGAAAAAAAAATACTTCTTCTCTTTATATTGCACATTTAACATTACTTACTCCAAATAAATACAATGGAAAAAAAATTAGTTGTATAAACTTATTTTTTTATAAAGAATATAAGGGATATTTAACCTAAATCAATAATTATTCCTTGAAATATTATCAAAAAATATGAAGACGCATGCGATATTTATAGATCTGGAAAAGGCATAAGACTCAGTCTCAATTTTTTTTAGGGCCATGGAAAAAGCTAATACAAACAATAAATTATTAACAACCCTAAAATTATATATACAAAGTACTGTAAAAATTTGATCTCAAAATGTATCAAGTTACAGATGAGTAAACTGTAATGGATATCTAAATAGTTGGGCGATATATCATACTGTTATTTAATTACTGATTAAGAATGGGACACAAAACAACTGAATATTCTCTGATTAAAAATAGGACGATTAAATAAAATATTATTCATTTCCAAAAAAGGTGTTAAAGTTGAAAATTCAATAAATAATTAAATATGTATTTCTGTAGCACGGGGATAAAGGACGCCATGTTACTTTTTTAATTTACAGAAGTTTAAAATTTATGTGCAGTATATCTGTTCATATATTCCTATTCAAAATGAAAAATTATAAAAATAATTAAAAAAAAACCAACTTCAAAATCGTGCAGATGCCATTAAAAATTGTTTTTTTTTTTCTCATAGATCCCATTATCAGATCCTGACCAAATAATATACATGGGACCACCACCAATGGTATCCCCTTTATAAGAAAAAACAAAAAGGAAAAATCATAGAAATCAGAAAACATGGTAAAGAATTATTGCTGAAAATATATAAAAAAAATATGAGTGATGGTTTTTTCATGGACCCCATTACTAGATCTTAACCAAATTTATATGGGACCACCTCAGGTACTCTTAAAAAAAAAAAAAAAAGGGAAATCTTACCTATGCATCACAGAATTATTTTTAAATAATTACATAAAAAAAATCCCGGAAAACGGTGGGATTCCAACCGCGGACCCTTGGATTCGCAAGCCCAGACTCTACCACTGAGCCACCCACCCCATCTTTTGAAGTCACTTTTTTCCGGGAAAACGAGGAATAAAGTAATTTCATAAAAAGTGACATTTTGTTATTTGACAAGAGATATTAAATATCAAACTTATTTCCCGTCACAGAAAATAAAATATTGTTATTAATTTTTGAATTTTCAACTTTATCACCCTGTACTTCGGAAACCAGTAATATTTTATCTAAACATGTTTCGTTTTTAATCGTCAAATTTTTGTTGTTCTTATATAAATAATCTGGTATTTTTTACACATGTTCTTTTACCGATTTCATTAATGTTTAAAAAAAAAATTAAGGGATATTTAGTTGGTTAATGAATTGAGGAAACAACTTCATTTATTTGAAATCGACTCATCACAGTAACGGTTCCTTATTAATCACAGCAATGGTTCAGTGTGTTTGAATAATCACGATATCGCCCAACTCTTCCTTTTCTCCGAATTGACATTTCTCTCTTAAAAGATTTATATGTAGATAAATATTTACAGACCTTTGTGAATACGGATAGTAATATCCTTATATTGTATATGGACAATAAAATGGCAACATTGCACGTACTTATTATAAGAAATTAGCACCATTATAGAATTTCTTCATTGTAATGCAAGAATATGGCTAATGAAATGAATATGGCTAATCAAATTAATATGACAAAGAAAGACCTGAGACATAAGCCCTGAAAACTAAATTTGTCATAAGTATACATTTAAAGCCGCTTCCAAGAATGCCCATTAAAATTTATGAGACTGGTAAACGTCAAACTATCAAGTCTGAATGACAACTTTCAAATAATCAGTCTATCAGGCTAGTAAAGTTTGATGAACGTTCTTCCAACTGCATGTTAATGTTTTATTTAATAAATGCACGAAGATTTTGGCTAAGAAAATAAATTATAGATTTTTTATACTTGAAAATTATCGCTTATTTTATTTCCTATCTCTAGTTCTATCAGAATCTTTTTTATTGCTAGGCAAGTAACTGAAATCCTCGTTACTGTTAACATTCATTAAAAAAATATTTACGCGAAATTTTTTCCCTAAAACAAACCGAAACGAATTCATTTAAAATAACACATAACATTATTCCGCTTCGAATAAAAAAATAACACTTTTATCCACATATTCCACTTTCAATAATTAATTTAAAGTTCATCTTTTGTGAAAGTGCGCAGCTAAATCGTTTTGCAATGGGTATAAACAGTTAGGATTGTAAACTATAACGGATGGTTGAAAAAGAAACATACTTTGCTGAATATAATCTGGAGTGACAACAAACTGCTTCTGGGCATCAGAAGTCGCCGTCGTCTGTTGTTGTTGGTGCTGCTGCTGTTGCTGCTGCGGCGGTTGTTGGGGATTCTGTTGGACCAATTGGGGTTGGACTGGGTTTTCTGATGTTGGTTTAATAGCTTGCAGAAGTGCTGACGTTTGAGATTGTTGACCGTTAACTAGTATCTGACGTACCGGCGTTGGATTGTCAGTAGTCTGCAATTAAAGGATTTGAATAAGGACAATTGTTCCAAAGGAAGATCCAGTTTATGTAAACATTGATCTGAATTATAAATGAATTGATAATTAGTGAAATGAAAAAATATATTAACTACTTACTACTACTATGAAGTATGAAATTATATCACTAGGATAACAATGAAGTGAAAACTTTTTTATTCCTTTAATATTTTGAGAATATTCCATTTAATGAAAAAATGGAATTATAGTTATCATGTGATGGGTCTAGTTTCAAAGTTTACAATCTCCAATTTTAAAGAATTTGGGGTAAGGTTTATTTTTTTATAATTTTTCTCGCCGAATTCAAATCTAGCATCAGTTTGTAGCAAAACGTACAATAACATATGCATTTTAGTGTAAAAAATCTAATTTAGTACAATCTCCACTAAATAAAGCTTCTAATAATGGATAGTATACTTCAAATAAGCAATAAAAAATCGAAATCTTTCTATTTATTTAAGTTTGTGGAGGTTCCTGAAAAATGTGCTTATTTGGAGAGTGTACACTTTAAAACTAGACACTTCATGTATAGAACATGTAGTGGCCAAAGAAATACTCCTTGTGGATTATCTAAAATTTTACAAATCTTAGTTACCAAAATATGCACGATTTGTGAAAATAATACCAATTTGCTATGAAAAAAGATATACAGATATGATCACTGTTTAAATCTTCATAGGGACATTTCTCTGTGCCTAAGGCATTCACCTCTACTTACATAAACCACGCCCTTGACAGACACGAACGAATAACAACATTTCTCATCAGTCAGAGTTGCAGAGGTTGTATTCCATATGAATGAAAAAACGGTAATCAGATCAGTATATAGTCGCAAAATATTGATTTTCTATAAGTATTTTACTAATTCACTAATTTCTATTATTCATTTGATTTTTTTCGGACAAAGGAATTCTTATAAATACAAAAAAAGTAAATAAATGCTAAAATGAATCATGCTGTAGTAATAAAAACGAATTAAATTATACATCTGTTCTTTTGACAATTTTATAATAGTCCCTCATCTGACTGCTAAAAGTGGCACATCATGCTTTTTGCTTGCTGTTTGTAGTTGGGTACAGTGGAGTCGGGTGAACAACATGTACTATGTCCCGGTGGTGGGAGCTGTCGTGTAACCTCTCAAATTCAAAATTGCATATCGATGAATTTTTTCGTTTTTATGTCAAAATAATATGCATTTTTTGTGTCCGGTTTTGCTACTTTCGGTGTAAGTGTAGGGATTTTCCTACATCAGCAATATTAATTAGAATTTGACAGGTTACACAATAGCTACTACCACCAAGACATAGTATATGTTGTGTTATAGTATAAGGATTACGTTTTTCATTTTGACAATTTAATAGGTTGTGTTAATTTTACTAATAAAATTTTCATTCATCCCATGCTTGTTAGATTTTAATAAAACAAACAATAAAGGCCGATATGGAGGTTAAGCAAAACAAATTATTAATTAAAACAAAATAATTTTATTGAAATGAAAGTGTAGTTACATATACCGAGAGTGTCAGTTGACTAACAAATATGTAAGTAAAAAATACTAAAACATGAACTACTACATTCAGACAAACGTGCAATGTTGCTATAAAATATATATTTTGTTAAAATTATTTAAATCTTTGATTTCAGCATATCTGCGTTTTCACAATAAAATTCAATGTATTATATATTTACAAGTCGAAATTACGTTTCTATTTGCAGCTTTTTTGAAAAATCGACATAATAAATTAATTCAGACTAGTTATTTAAACATTTTCTTCTATGAAATCTTTGTAAAAACAAGTTTTTACTTGTCTTTAAAATCTTGAAATATAAATAATAAAAAATCATATTTAAAACATAAATACTCTAGGTAGTTTAAAGTATTTTTTTTTAAGTACATTAATATGTAGTAAAATATTAGTTGTTAAATAAAATTAGATTTAAAAACCGAATGACTTTTGAGATGATGGTTAGGTACAAAAAGCAGTAAAGTAGGAAATTAAGGATCGAAACCAATGTTAAGGGAACATGTATCAAATTGCATAAAAAAGAACTATAGGAATCACATTTTGTATTAAATACACTGCTCAACATTCTTATAGCCCACAGAAATAAAGCAGAATTTGTTAGATATTTTTAATAATTGAATTTTAACAATTAATAGTTTTTTAGATATGAAAAATTGTAATACTATTGTTTTTATGCACTGAATACTAATATTAAAATAAAGGACTTCTATACAAGAGAAGTGCAGCCAACTTAACAAAATAAAATTGACACTAATGACATAAGAAATCGGGTCACATAAAGAGACTGTTTTTTAGTGTACTTTTTCGTTTTTCTTATATACTTTTATGCCATTTACGTACCATATTGTACCTGTAGGGTAAAAAAGACTTTTTAATTTAGGGTATTTTACATCTAAAGGTTGAAAAAAAAATTGTCTGTGTCAGCTGTCAATTATGTTGTTGGTAGAACACAGGCGTAACCATAGATGGGCATAATGTAACTAGTATTGTATATGGTTGTAAAGTGTATGGAACTTGTATTTGTAGCAGCAGCATTTTTGCAGTTGACATAAATACATAAAATTAAATGAAAAAAGTGTTAAAAGAAACCGGGAGAAACACAAATAGACTAATAACCATAAAAAAATAAATCGCAATGCTACGCTTATGTTTTGACATTTATCGACAGCTGATATTGATAAATGTCTTCAACCTTTAAATATAAAATATCCTAAAATAAAGTCTTTTTTAAGTTACAGGTACAACATGGTATGTAAATGGCAAAAAAATAGATAAGAAAAACCAAAAATTGAACAAAAAAACAGCCTCTTTATGTGACCTGTTTTGTTATGTCATTAGTGTCAATTTTATTTTGTCAAGTTGGTTGCACTTCCCTTGTATATAGAAGCCCTCTATTGAGTTTTAATATAATGTGGAAAGCAAGGATACTTAGCTTCTCTATTAGGATTGGCCAATCCCATATAGTATGTACGTTTCACTGTGTTATGTCATTGTCGGACCAGATATTTATAAATTTGTGTTTTTTATACGTTTGTCCATGGTTTTTAGCATTTTTTGAATTGTTTTAACTTTTTAATTGACTGGACTGTAAGTTCTACAGTAGCAAAAGTAATTGTTTTTAACTAATTATAGTGTTATTTTTTTAGGATTTGAATGTGCCAGACATATGGTGGCCAGTAATTGTAACAACGGCCGTATGAAATAAAATTAGATAACCCAGATATAATTTATCTTGATTGTCCATTGGGGAAAGATTTTGTTTCACATGGAATAAAACAAGAGTGGATTCGGAGGTGCCGTAGAGCCGATAAATGAAATCCCACGACAAGCCAGATTTGTTCTGTCCATTTTATCGACAATGATTATGAAAGAGATCTTCATAATGAATTGGAGGTATCAGAAGTCATTCAGTGTAAGTCATCGTTTTACTGAAAATGACTTGTCACAGTTTTTGTGTTAATACATAATACAAAGTTAATTTTTAAACTATTTAAAGAAAATGTATGACTTTTCAATAAAAAAATGTTATAAAGTTCTAATAATCATTTGTATTTATTTGTGTTATACTAAAGTTCCATTTACCTTCTGACTTGCACTGAATGGCTTCTGGACCCCTCCAATTATTGGGTAATTGGGTTTGTCAGTGAGGAGGCGATTAAAGAAAACTGCAGTCGCTACTTTAATTCTTGGGACTAATGATAGTGAAGAGAAAACTTTTAAAAAGAAATAACGGGAAAGTCTAATCTTGAAAAGAGAACAGAAAAATAGGGTGCATGATTGTTTAAAAGAATATGATCTCATGTGACACCTTTTATTTTAGCTCATCGACCTAATTTTAATTTGTGTACTTTTTATGTACTACATGTACAATGTGTAGGTACTAGGGTACAACATTAATTTCAATGATTGGTGTAGTAAAAATTGAATAATTAATGCTGTGACAATATCATGAAGACAGTACACATAAATTGTCAATTACGTTTAAGTTTTGTTTGTATATTTATTTTTATATTCAAATATTTTGACTTGTCCCATAAAGGATCAATAAAAAATTATAATTGTCAATTTGTGATACTTGTATTTTTTGTATATATGTAGGTATTTCATTGAGAATTTAATAAAGATATGAATGTTTTTTAATATGTGTGCTATTAGAAATGTTCTGAAATATATTGTTCCATCACCGCCCACAATTGCTTGTATTGTAACGTGGTCGTTGAAAGCAAATATACCTATGTATTGTTGTTACGTGAATTCCAATAATAAAGATTTTTTTTATCCTGTCCCATTTAATTCGATAAAGGTACCTACCTCAAACGGTTTATATTTAAAAAAAAAATCGTTTATTACAACATTCACTATTGCTATTCTTCTTTTACACGAAATATAAACCAGAGCAATTTATAATCATGTTCATTTTTAAATTCGCTCATTCGATAGTCCGACTACTACGTCATTTTCCCGAATACTTCCGATGATACACGATGCATTGAACAATCCTATAGAGTCAAGTATCCTTGGTGGAAAGCATAAATAAATAAATAAGGTTGAAGTGAGGAAACACAGTGATTTCAATAATTTATGATAGCAATGTGGTTTCTATCCCTTTTCCTCTGAACACCAGCACAAATCCCCAACACAGAATCAAAAAGAAAGCAAAGAATCTATTTGCTGCACAACAACTTTGGGTTTTTGAGGTGATTTGCATACCTGTTGTGTCGTTTGCTTGATGGGAGTCTTGGATATCAAAGCGGCGACCGCATTCTGGGTGATGACTTGCTGGTTGACAACTGGTTGGGGTTGGTGCTGAACTGGTGCGAGAGGTGGAGGATTGGTGGATGTAGTTTCAGTCGACTGGTCTGAATTGCTTGGTTGAACAGCCAGATATATTTTCGTGGGTCCGAGGACACCTTGTTTACCCGTTGAAGCTTGAGCTAGAAAGAAAAACGAAAGTTAATATGACCGCTGGTTGAAAGCCAAGAAAGACGACTAAAATATCTGGCAGCAAATAAAAAAAAGTAACTGATTTATGAGCATGGTGAAAGTTGTCAGATGTTTAGTGAGTAATATAAAGTTCATATCATTTAAACATATCACATTCTGGAGCTCTATTAGTTTATCAGACTCATAAACCCTAATGAACTAGCAACTACCTGTTAATAGACCATTAAGTATGTCACCAGACTTTAAGGTGTTGTTCCTTATTCAATTTTAAGACAAGAAATTCGTATAGTATTTTAGGTATTAGAAATCCAAATCAATTGTTTTTTAAATAATTTAACCAGTAGTTTTTTGTTAGTAATTGAGGAGCCTTTCAAGCAACAATTGACATTAGTGGATATGTATATGTGCACATCTACATAAGCTCATGTGGCATTACCTACATAGTTTATTTTTTAAAAATGGATGTGGGAGCGCTCAAGTATTACTTAACGCAATTTTTGGAGATTTTTAACCCCCCCTTCCCCCATGTAACGCGCCGTAACGTTTTTGTGAAGGTAAAAAAAGGTCAAAATGGTCACTTGAAATTTTGAGAAAAAGAAACGTTTTAAAAAATGCGTGAGAGAAACTCTCTACGCGACTTTTCTGAAGGGTTAAAAAATAATAATGTTGCGTAACGCATAGTTCAAACGCTCCTGTAACGCATCGTAACGTTTTACAAAAACCCCCCTCCCCCCCAAATTCGTTACGTAATACTTGAACGCTCCCTGTACCGATATTTTGTTATAAGTGATTTTATTATTTAATTTTAAGGAAATGTTTTAGAAACATTTTTAAAATTATTTTAATCATTGATATATTTTTAATCGGTGCTTAAATAGTTTTTTTTTTTGAAACTTCAACAATATTCAAAACCCACATGGAGTTACAAGAAAATTGCCAAAGATTAATTGTCTGCATGTTTACATGAAGAACAAACTAACTTAATTTACTATTGCTTAAATTTTAAATAGAATACATTATGTGATGATGTTGAATTTTAATTGTGTGTGCTAAAAATTTCGAATGTTTGAGTTGCATTGATATTCTATTGATGGTGAGATTTGTCACTGGGACACAAATTACGTCATCACTAATGTAGCCTATTGAATTTACGTTTCTGTCCGTCAATTGTCAAAATCATCACTATTAATACTGGAATTATTACTCTACAAATGTGGGTACTAAACGGATTAAAATTTTAATTAAATTTCCTGCGCACGCCACTGGTAGATCAAGAAAATTATTTTGTTTGTAATACAAATTTCCACAAAGTTTCAAGTTGATATTAATTCTCTTTTAGTTATTTAGGCGTTTTCTCTTAATTTTTCACCAACTTGTATTTAAAAAAAAATTGTTTGGGACATATGTTTACAAGAACTTTTTGTCCTAAAAATGAGCAAGGAAAAACACCTAAAAGTTTGGTAACATACTTAATGATCACCCTGTATATTTAATTAAAATTATATACAAAATTAACTACTTATGCAATCGGTTACGAAATGCCTTATTTTATGTAACGAGTGAATATTTGCGTGACGAGAAGAGCGAAGTCCTGCAACATGTTACATAAAACGGCATTTCGTAACTTGTAAAATACAATATTTTTTCTAATTTTGACATAAATTATTTATAAAATTGTGTAACCGCGCAGATGTCAGTGCTTTGTCTGCATTGATTCCTACATAAATTAACATCTGCGCGACCTCCATCCGCCACGGTTCGCGGCTCGTGCGTTCTTCACCTTCACAAGAAGAATTTGCAATCAGCAATTCCTCAATACCATTTTTTTATAAATAAGTTTAATAAAATTGAGCCTGGAGATTTCTCTTAAGTAGCTCTTTAGCCACTGAGTTAACCAATTTGGAATAAATTTACTAAGTAATAAATCACTTAAACCTAAAATTTTTGGACAATAATATTATTAAGTTAGTGCCAACAACTAAGAATGACAAATTTTAAAAAGACGATATATTGGAAATGCATATCAATAGTATAATAAAAATAATAAATTGTTGTCTGAAACAAACCTTTTAGCAACTGTTGCTTGACCTGTTGTTGAACAGCAGCCAACTGTTGTGGTGTAAAATCAGCTCCTTGCAAACCTTGCAAAACGATCCTGGGACCTTGCTGTGTCTGTATAACTTGTGCAGTAACACACTTAATCACTGTACCGGGCGGTTGTCCAGCCAACAATTGGTCCATAGTCGCTTTATCAATCTGATTGTCTTGTACAGTCTTCGGAGGACTCTGCAAAGCCTGCTGGATTGCTTGATTGGCCGGTTGCTGCTGTTGTTGTTGTTGCTGCTGCTGCTGCTGCTGCGGCTGCTGTTGTTGAACATTTTGTGGCTGCAAAACTTGTTGCTGAACTACTTGTTGTTGTGATTCGGGTTGGCGTACGACTTGCTTGGCTGGTGTTTGAACTGGTTGTAAGGACTGGGTGATGGGTCCAGGAGTTAGTTGAGCTACAACTTGTGCTTGGTTGTTACCAGTAGGGCGGATGAGAACTTGCTGACCATTTATGGTAGCAACTTGGACTTTTCCCGTAGCCAATTGTTGAGCAAGGGATTGATTGTTAACGACTATTTGGTTTGTTATAACCTGAAAATTAAAAAAAAAAAAAAATAATACTAATAAAGCTGATTTTGTATCGCACTGAATATGAACAACCTTTGTCAAAAAAGCCAGTCTCATAGACATATAGGGTGAATCAATGAAACGATTTTATGAGATCATTACATATTTACAGCGAAACTGTTTTATTAACATTAAATATTTTTCCCTTTAAAAATGATACACCTATGAATGTTTTCAATACACAAGACAGCGGTCACATTCTACTAATTTCATTGTTTCTCTCACTCCTATTTAGAGATGGCATGTTTTTGATGTTGGCTTTAAAATAAATACAGTTTTATGATTAAGTAGTTGGGGATGTGGCCACTCTGGGTTCAGAAATAACAGGGTAAGGAATACCTCATGATGATAATAACGTTTAAATTATATCAATTATACATTTTTAGTTTCTACAGCTTGTAAATTCGATTTTCTTTTTTGTATAATTTTTCTAAAGAAATAGTACGGATAGTGTTCAAAAAAAAAAAAATTACTAAGTTTTCCAGTTTTAGAAAAAAAAATTAAATAATGTAAATAAATAAGTGAATGAAACCCCACAAACTATCTCAAATTTCACTGTAATATGGTGTTCCAGAAATAAATTTTTAACAACCATATTTTACAATTTATTAATATTTGGAGTCATAAAAAAATTAGAGCAATAAACAAATTGTTATTTATACGTACTTGTTGACCATTTTGGTTTGAAGTAATGACTTGGTTTGTGCTCAAAAGCACCTGCTGCTGCAATACTTGTCCACCTGGCGTCAAAACCATGCCTCCTTGATTAACCTTCTGGACTAACGGTTGGCCCGACTGCTGCTTCAAAATAATCTGTTGCTGCTGCGGCTGAGCCTGCTGTTGGACCTGCACCTGTTGTGGCTTCGTCACCTGTGGACTCTGCACCTGTGGCTGACCAATAACAGCCTGCTTGACAATGGGACTGCCCTGGACGAGCGCCCTAGTACCTGCAGATGTATGTATAGCCTGTTTAATGATAGCTTTAGGATTAGGCGACTGAACCGGTGTTTTGGCAGTCGCCAGACCTGAAGATTGAATCTGAGACGTCGTGAGGACCTGGAGCTTACCGTCCGGATACTGGACGAGCTGTTGGCCGGGCAGAAGACCCTTGACAGTGATGCGGCCATCCGGGGTGCGCATTATTTGTACGCGTTGAGGCGTTTCCTTTTGAGCTGGCGATTGCGCTTGGTTGGTTAAGGTAGGAGTTGATGTAGCTGCGTGATTAAAAGAAGGTCGCGTAAAAACAAAATATTTGTCGAAATTTTGAAAAGAACAAAAAAAAATAGTTGCGAATCAATAAATATTTGAAAAGTCAATATTTTTAAACCAACTTCTTTAACAAGAAATTATGGTCAACTTAAATAGAAATCTCCAAAATTGTTTCATACTTTTATTACTAAAAAAATAAAACATTTAAAATGTAAAATTATTTTTTTAATGGCAGTCTTTATAATAAATATTGCAATTTTTCTAAAAAATATCCCAAAACTAAAAGTAATTTTTAGCGCTTATCTTTATTCAAACTTGGTTCGAGCCGAAATACATCAAAAAACTTGTTTTTTTTTTATCAATATTGTTGCATAGTCTGGTTCCTAGCACCTTAGGATTGAATTACCAGGATACATGCCTGAAAAGCTAAATATGAATTATTGTATTTATATAAACCTTGGGGTCAGAGATCAGTAACAATTCTGGAAATACAAAAAGGCATTAGAACCGCGCAGAAAACTCTAATCACATTTACAAAGAAGACACAACTGCTGTTATTTAAGACCAGATCTTCCACAGTGCCGTCTTCTCAACATTACTTTATCCCTTACACTCCCCACCATAAAAAAAATTGAAAATCTTTAAATTTTTTAGGTATGGTTTTCTTTCAGTTTTATCAGAACAAGTTATTTTTTGGAATTTTTAATGTGATATATTACACCGTAATGAAAATGATACATACACAACTGTACACAGGAAAGACAAATTTAAATAAAATACTTAGTAGTGTGGACACACAAAAGCAACTGAAGGCGTGAAAAACTGACAACTCATCAATTACTGACAATCACTGCCAATCATAGTCGATCACCAACAAATAGGCCCTTCACACGATGGTACTCGCCTATGATCGCTCATGATGGCCGATTGTGTATAGAAGCCATCACAATCATGCTAGATCAGAATAAACAAACGAAAATATTATTTTATACTTTAGGACACATAAATAAGACCCATACAATTTTGAGGACCTGGAGCATAAGGGTACTGTTACTGAAACTTCTAATCCTAAGTCAAATATTGTTTTATCAAAGAATGTTACAAGAATAATTGAAGGAAAAGAAAACTGTAAAAGTTATCTGGGCGAGTGGTTCAAATCACTGAAATCAGTTATTTACTTACCACAACTAATAAATAAAGATCCGATAAGAAGAAGACATCCTCAGTACCATCAAGAGACAACTATAAATTGCAAATGTTTCAAGTGACTTCCAATTGTGGTACTTTTTAATAAGATATTTTAGTTATTCATTGATTTTTAATTGAATGTACTTACTAGAATGTTAGAATGTTTTTATTATTGTTTGTTAATGTATTTGCCTCAACACCAATGGACTAATTGAAATACCATGTTATTAGAAAAGTTCTAATTTTTTAATCAAGAAATACCACAATGAAAAAATGGTTTCACAATTAGACCAAAGTTGCATTAAATATGTCGCTAAAAACCACCTGTAAACAAAATGTGAATTCAAAACCATACTAACTTGGCTGTTGACCCTGAACGGGCGTCTGGACCTGTTGTCCCGAGACAACGGTCTGAGTTTTGATCAGACTCTGTTGGGTCGTTGGTAGATTTTTAGGTAGGATATTTGACGTGCCTGTAATGACCCTGGTCGTACCGTCCGGACCTTTTGTCATCAATATCCGTCGACCAGCCAACTTAGTAGTATTCGAAGTTAGTAATGAAGTTAGGGTATGTTTACCGCTGACTATGGCTTGATTCGGCACCACAACGTTCTTCACTATCTTCATCTGACCATCTACTGTTGTCGTCACTAATAGAAGAAATACACTCATGAGTTATTTCAAACGATTTAAAAATAGTACGTACTACAGAAAAACAAAAATAAAAAAAATGCAACAAAACTATGCTTGTCGAGTTATGAATATACTGATGAAAATTTGAAGATTAAAAAGTATAACATATATTTTTTTTTTAATCTTCCGCTAAGTATCTGAATTAAGTAATAAAGAAAAGTATTACAAAACAATTGCTAAAATAAAACATTTTTTTTTTCAATATACAGGGTAGTCAATTTAAAACAAAAATGAGAAAAGGATATATTTGAGTTTTGTTGTGAATTGACAAGTATTACAAATTAAAAATTTAAAAAAACCGACTTCAAAAACGTGCAGATGCCATCACCACATCTTAACCAAATTTATATAAAACCACCCCTGAGGTACCCCCTTACTAACAAAAAAAGAATCGTATAAATCGGACAAGGACATGGATACAATTATTAGATTTTGACCAAATTTATATGGGACCACCCCTAAAGTAGCCCCTTTCTAACAAAATAAGAATTATTGAAATCGGACACCGTGTTAAAGAATAATCGCTGAACATACATAAAAAAAAATATCGCGATGAATTGATAACCTCCTCCTTTTTTGAAGTCTGTTAAAAAGTAATGCGCCAGTATAAAATTGTTAGTGCAGAAAAATTGGTTTTCGATTATTTCTTTTGGTTTCATCTTGTGAAATACTGTGCACCCCATACTATTTGGTATTCTTATAATGGAGAAGGTGAGGGTGACACAAACATAAAATAAAATACATGGTGACCTGTTTAATAAGACAAGTTTGTTCAAGACTTAAGTTATTGAACTATATTCAAAAACAATTTTAAAATATATGAAGTTGTCTACCGTTTTGTAAATATTTTTATACAGGGTGTCCCATTAACTAAAGATTCTCCGATTAAAAATAGAACGATTTAACAAAACATGCTTAGTTAAAATGCTACTTGTAAAAATTATTTATGGTTATATTTTTTTATTACTCGGTAGAATTTTACTAAATTCGGAATACATTTTTGATGTGATAAGATACACCTATCAACAAAAAATAATTTAAATAAACTTTATCAGTGGCGAACGGCATGGGTAAGTAACACGTTCATTCCTTCTAAATTTTACTACACTGTCCAAAAATATAGTAGAAACCATACAATATAATACAATGGATAATTTAAAAACAGCTGAAAAATAAAGTTTAAGAAATAAGTTTCTGTGAGAGTAGATTATTCTTTAATATTTTGTGTTGAAAATTAATTTCTATCTCTGCTGTTTTTCCTTCGGATGTAATTCAATGCCTGTTGTGGTATTAGCCAAAGGAGTAGTTGTTTTTTTGAAGGGGAAACGGTCGTTGTATTTTATGTGATATTTTGGTTTTGAGCTAAATTCATTTTATTTCATATTATAAAGAAGCTTTAAAGGCCATTGGTTAAGATGTTTTGAGCATCTATATAAATAGCTGATTTTAAATAGTAACATATAGTCAACTATGACACCCAGATATTTAAATTTTTTAACAACTTCAATATTACTATTTTCTATACTCTTACTTTTAGGTTACTAATATTATATTCTTGATAGTTTATGTCATTTCCTATAATCATGAACTTAGTTTCATTGTTATTAATTTTTAAAGAATTAAAACAGCACCATTGAAATATTTCTTTTAGTGTGTTATTTATATTTTAAATTATTTCACGTAACTTGTCTGAAGCAAAATAGATCAAAGTGTCATCCACAAAAAAGATAATGTAACAGTTTCCTGCGACACGTGCGATATCATCAATGTACAAGAGGAACAATAATGGTCCTTAACACACTTCCTTGCGGAACACCTTGTTCATTTTGGATTTCATCTGATGTAATGTTGTTAAACTTTAGCTTCTGTTTTCTGCTATCTAAATAATTTATTAACCACTGTAATGCATCATCAACTATTCCAAAACTTTCTAATTTACTAATAAGTAATGTATGATCTACAGTTTCGAATGCTCTTTGTAAATCAAGAAATAGAGCACCAGTAATTAATTTATTATTTTTATTTTGCTTGAAGTGATCTAGGACATATTGTATTGTTGTTTCACAACTATGCTTTCCTCGAAAACCAGACTGTATACCATTAAATAGATTATTTTCCTCTAAGTAATGAATAAGTTGATTATAAACAAATTTTTCTAATACTTTATCTATTGTACTTAGCATATTAATTGGTCTTAAGTCTGCTGCTCTATTTGAATTTGAGACTTTAGGGATTGGTATGATAACTGAAGTTTTCAAGGCTGTAGGAACTATATTCATTTCTAAGGAGGTGTTTATATTAAGCAATGGCAACGCTATGATTGCAAAACAGTTTTTTTAAAAAGGACGCATTTATTTCATCCGAACTTCCTTTATTGGGTAAGTCAAAAATAATTTCTCTCATTGTGTCAATGTCAATGAAGTTAAATTTCTTAAAAAACACATGATTATTCTTAAGTGCTACAGGAAGATTTATATTATTACGATTTATATTAGAAATAATTTCTTTTATACTATCAATATAAAAGTTGTTAAGGGCATTGGGGATCTCAATTATATCTTTTATTATTAGATTATCATTTATCTCTATTTCCGTTAAGCTATTTTGTTTATTTTTAGGCAAAAGGTCTTTCATAAATTTCCAAAGTTTAATAGAATTTTGTTTATTTTCACTTATTTGCCGTTCATAATATTTACTTTTTTTCTTTTCTAATAACTCTAACTGCTATGTTTCGATTTTGTTTGTATAATTGCCTATTTTCTTCAGTTTTGTTAGATACATACCTTTTATAACTATCATCCCTATTCCTGATAGCATTTCTGACTTCCTGATTCCACCAGTCATTAAATTTTGGTAGAAGTTAATATATCTCTCATTAATATTGATAGTATTATTCCAATTGACCTGAGACAACTTATAATTTATTTTTTCAAAATCAATTACTCTACCTTGACTTTCTATTATTTGATACTCCTTATTGATTGAAAATCTCTATACACCTCGACATTAAAATGGGTACTTATTTTAGGAGTGAGACAAATTTCAGTCCTTATATTTAAACAGTTGGTTATTACTAAGTCAATAAGTGTGCCTCCATTGTCATTGTTAACAGGATGGGTAATTTGAGATACCACATTTCTAAAATCTATATCACTAATACAGTTTCTTAGTCTATAACTATATGAGTTATCAGATAGCCAATCTATATTAAAATTCCCCATTACATTTATCTTATAGCTACTATCACATAAAAAAACTAACTGAAAATTTTTCAAAAAAATCCAAAAAATCTGAATATATACTGTTAGGTGATCTGTATAACTATTTTATACTCAAAGGTGGATGATACTCATTTTTAAATTTTGTAATTTTGAATTTTTTTCTTAATTCCCAACAAGAGTACACGTTTTATTAAAAAAACATCAAAAACCAAAAATTATTGTCCAAATAAGGTTTTGGACAGAGATGTAAAACTTAGAAGGGGCGAAAGAGCCATACGTCACTGACAAAGTTTATTTAACTGATTTTTTAGTTGAAAGGGTATCTTATGACACCAAAAACATTTACCAAATTAAGTAAAATTATACTGGGTAAAACAAAATTATAGCCATTAATAATTTTTGAATGTTCAACATTTGACCTAAGCATGTTTCATTTAATCATCTCATTTTTAATCAGAGATAATTTAGTTGTTCTATATCACATTCTTAATGTGCCCGAGATATTGGCCGTTTTCACACTAATGAATTACCGTATAGAGTTTCGCGCTTTGTATCTGAAACTGGCTGGAATTAAATATTTATGGAATTATTTAATATCAATATTTATTGAATTAAAGCCTAATGTATTACCTGTTTTGTTATGTTTGTTAAAATATGTTCATTTTTACAAATTATTTCTAAGAGGAGTGACTTTTTAGAAAATAATTTGAATATATTAAATTAAATGTAGAAAAACTTACACAATAGAACTTATGTTGAACTGTCTCACTATCAATATCATTTCAAAATATTCATTCTCAATTTCTATCTTTTGTGCAATAAAAACTTTTTTTTAGTGCAATTTTGGAAACCGAAATAGAATCAACCTTAGGGTACAAACACAGAGAATGCTGGTTTTGTCAGTGCTGGTCTTCCCTTCTATTCTCTCTCAACTAGTTTAAATGTAAATGACAAAGCGAGCCGATCAGCGAGGACCTGCTTTGTCTGTGTGCGAGGACATTTAAAATCATTGTAAATTGCCAGCGCTTATAAGCGCTGGTAATCAACCAGCGTTCTCTGTGTTAGTTCCCTTACACCGAATCAAAAATAGATGGGATTTATATGCCATATCGATTTTGACTACCTTAAAAATTTAAAACGGATAAAGGTATAAATAGAATAAAAAGGTGTTCACAAAAAATGGAAGCAAAATATAAATATCCTTAAAAACAATCTACCGTTTTATCAACACGAGACAAAAAATTGCGATGATTCATTGGAGTTTGGAGAAATGTAATTTTCAGTTTCAACAATGGGTATTTGAAAAAATAGTTATTTGATTGGATAATAATTAAATTTATTTTCGTTTTTTGACAGAGCTTAGTTTATCAACAAATTCATATCGAGAGATTGGTAAAATTTAACGGAAACAATATGTATGTTTGTAACATTTTTTAAGCGGTTTAAAAAGAATAAAAACTAACGGAAATTCAAGCAGTATCGGCAGCTCAACGAGGTTGTATTTTTAAACAAAATTTTCTTAATTTAAAATAATGGTTTTTCTCAACTTAATAATTAATATTAACAAATAATTACGACAGGTATCTATTGAATTGTTTTACCGTTTTTGTACTCATTAAATATTATTTCCGCGTAATCGGAGTTTTTTTAATTTTATTATTCGACTTAACGTCAGTCTGAATGCAATAAATTGCATTACAATACAAATAATTGTTGAATTACAACAAGCAATAAAATTTATAAACATATCCTCACAACTTATTCAATACCAGCTACTTGGCACTAAATGGAAGGTTAGTGCATTGCCTGCCGCGCATTTGGCGGGGTAGTCAAACATTCAGTGGGGACTAGAATGAAGACAGAAGTTGGGCAGGCTTTTCGCAGTTCCCCCACTTCATACACAGGATTTGATAGTTTCTGTTGCGGAGGAAACCAAAGTGAACACGATACATTGGCGCGTAGAAAAATATTTTATAGATTCTAATTACAATGTCGCGTATGCGTGTAAGTAGTTTAATAAATTTTGAATAGCTGTGGAAATTTTGTAAAATTAAGATTAGGGATGTTAAGATTGGGATATTATGTTTAAATACTTATTTCTAGCCCATAAATCGAAAATTCTACGACACTAAAAGAAGCCGTCTTTATCACGGGAGACTTCAACTACCCTGAAATCACCTAGGACAAGCTAGAAATTCATCCACACAACCAGTGTAGTTATGACTTCTTGGGGAGTTACAAAAACCACAGAGGACATTAACATATTGATTTCCTAACAAGAATTAGAAATGGCCAACAATAACTAGACTAGACTTACTTATAACAAATGAGAAGAAACTAATTTTTAATATCCAACAACATACTCTACTGGGAAAAACTGATCACATAGTCTTCACAGCCAAAACGCAACTCCAAGTTATAACCCAGTAAACTCGCAAAGTTTATAAGAGACAGTTCTGGAAAGCAGACTATGATGCTGTCAACAACTCACTTCAGCAAGAATTACATAAGATAGCCAGTCAAACAAATATTGACACATTCTACGAGGCAATAAACAGAACAATTAACGTACATGTATAAATAAGACATCAAGAAGTTAACAAGCAAAAACCATGGCTGACCAAGTAAAGAGATTCAGCAGAAAAGGAATATGTGGCACAAATATATCAAACATCCAAATGTGAAGAAAACTATCAAATATATCAACAACAAAATAACAAAACCAAAGCGTACCTAGTGACGGTAAGAGGTATGTTACAACAACGATCAGAAATCAGTCACTGACACCAAGATTCTGCGCAGTAGATTATTGGGACAGCCAAATAATTTACTGCGCAGAACCCTGGTGTCAGTGACTGGTTTGTGATCGTTGTTGAAACATACCTAAGGAAAACTTATGAACACAATCTACTAGCAAATAGCAAACAATTCTATGCTTACATAAATCACACCCTCAACTCCAAGCATAACAACTTTTACATAATAATTGAAGCAACCCAACAACCATTCGAAACAAACAAAGAAGTTGCAGAATAATTTGAAAGTGTATAATACACAGTATTAGATCTGAACACAATCAAACCTACACTTCTTTTAGATGCCTACTCCAGGATTGAAATAAACATCATATTCACAGCAGAAAAAGTAGATCACTAAAACCAAACTCTAGCCCAGGTCTGGATGAAATCACAGTTTTTCTCAAGAAATGCGTATAAGTACTGAAAGAGCCAATGACAACACACTTAACAACATAATGAGTACAGGAGAGTTCCCTGCAGCTTGGAAAAAAGCAGTGGTAACACCAATATACAAAAAAGTAAACAAACAACATGCAGAAAACTATAGACCAATCAGCCCAAGAAGAGCACTACGTAAAAATTTTGACAAACCTCCTAACTAGACTAAATGAGTAGACCCTAGCTGTTGACAACTATGAACCAATTGATGTCAGTTACCTTGATTTTAAAAAAGCGTTAAACAAAGAGCGTTTGCTTTATAAATTAGAACATTTTGAAATTGTTAGAGGGGTTCCTCACTGAATACGTGTAGATTCGTAACTTTCAAAGGGTTGACTTTTTCTGTTGCTGCCGTTTTACAAAACCTGTGTATCCCAGGGTGTTCAGCGGTCCCTCGTCTCTTCCACAGAGGTTCATCAATATTTTCTTGCAGGTATTTCCTACTTCTTCCTAGTTGGAGATTCGATTAAGGAAAAGGCTGGCGAGGTATATCCAGTGTTTTTTTTAAGGACATTGCTGTAGGATGGAGTTAAACTTATTTAATTATTGCAATATTTTATAAATTTATTCGACAATTTTGAATCTAGTAATTTTGAAGCCACATTTTGCCATCTCTCTTATCCTCGCCTTACAACTGTTGGTTTGGCTACCGAAATTTACCCGTCATCGTTACTTTAAATAACTGTCATCGATTATATATAGTAGGGAGCCAGTGAAACTTTTTTGGTACACATTTAAACAAGGCTAAATTATAAATGTATTGTTAATCCTTACCCTGGAGAGAAGATGGAAATACTTTGCTGAAATCGATATAGCAGTGAAATGGAATGTCAGCAAGCAAGCAAGAAGGTTCTGTGAACTTTTATAACAGCATTTTCTACACAGGCTTTTATAAAACGTAATCGTCGAGGGCTCCATCGTTGCGCAGCACTGCTTGCTGAAACACCTTCATGTGATGGGATTACACAATGATCCCTCTGCATGGAAGAGGAAGAAACCTCATACCATGTGATCTTCAAATGTGAAGCTCTTACTAGGCGACGTTTCATCCTTTTCGACATAGAACCGGAAAAAACGCCCCAGAAACACTTGGTAGGGAATCTATTAAAACTAACCAAAGACACATGACTATTCCAAAGATAGAACCTGAATACGGGGAAAGCAGGGGAATACAATAGACCCAAGAGGCCGAAATATTCTGGGCCAAACCTAACCCTACCTGCTTACAACCGACAAAGAAAGATTTCCATGTTCTACAAGGTAAGAATGAACTAAATATTTGTAATTTTACCTTTCGCAAATAACTCACCTAAAAGTGTCACTGGCTCCCCTACGGTGTATTCATGAATACAGGGCGAAAGGAGAAATATTTAAAAAGAAATCGGCGATAACTCGTAAACAGGCTAATCAAAAATATCTAAAGTTCTTTTTCTCTAAAATAATTAGAGAAGCCAATATTTGACCTCATTTAAAATTATATGGGATTTCCTATGTCCTGCTCGACGATGCAACACCCGGTATATGTTTATTTGAAATCATATTTTACATCTAAAATGTTGTTTATCATATGTTCACGATTATTTGTTTACTGTATGTTACATCTAAAATGTTAAATTCGCATTCTTGTACTTTTTTTAAGAAATACTGTTTACATCAATTTCCCAAAATCTGATGTATTAGTATTTTTTCGTTTTTGAGATAATTATGAGGCCCATGTTTTAGAATAAAATTAAAGCTAATTAAATTCATTGCAAATTCTTTTGTCATGACTTTTCTCTAGGACAACATATGAGAAGCATATAAAGCAATTGGCAACGCTGCAAAAATCACGCACAGGCGCTAATGCGCTAGATCAGTGATGATGTAATTATGGTTCCACTGACAATTAAAGTGACAGCAGATTTTTTGAGTGCGTTTTGTTCGTTTTGTTTACCTAAATTATATCGTTTTTTCACTTTTATAAATATATTCCTAAAGTAAGTAGATAGCATGTATCAAATATACAATCGTTTAGTTACCAATTACATGCCATTAAACTATTTTTTATGACCTGTAAACAATATTTTGAAATAAAATAAAAACAGTAAATACGTATGTTTTTGTTAAAAGTTTGGTTAGAATTAAATGTCAGTGGAACCAAAATGACATCACACTGAACTAGCGCATTGGTAATTACATCAATCATATTGTTTACCACCACAGAAAATTAATACTGATAGGTAGAAAAAGAAGAAAAAAACTAAACTACTAAAAAGAATCCTATCTTATTTCTAATCCTAACTTATTACATGAATTTGAAATATTTAAGATTGTAACATCATCTAGTGAGTAGGGCCCAATATCAATTAAGATATTTCTAATGGCTGACTTAAATCTGCCTACATTTTTAATATTTTTTTATATAGCGTGGAAACATATTATATTATATGGAAGTTGCAAGTAAATTTAACTTTAAACTGAATGTGGTTCATTTAAATTTAAAAACCTGTACACCGCTGTTTAGAGAATTCAATGGGCTTTCAAACGACGTGCAACTCAACCTCTATTCCCAGCGGAAGTGTTGAAGTAACGATACTGCAGGAAGGAGAAAATATTGCCCCTTTCCATACAAAAATCGATGTGTCTGAGCGTTTTCTAACATCTACTATATTATTAACCAAAACATCCATGTAAAGTTTTCGATGTATAAAAAAATCATGGATACTTGTGTTTGCGATGTTTGTCTTTTTTGTGTAGTTATTAATTGTCCTATGACGAAGTCGTCCGACGGAGTTTGACGTTTACCACCTCACCACCTACCAAAACCCTGTTCCAACTTCTGTCCCTGTGACTTCAAAAGTAGAGTTGGTAGTTTGCAGGAGCATATTCAGTAAATTTAGAAATGTTTTGGAACTGTAACGAGTATTAAAACAAGATGAAATAGAATTTTGAAAAAGTCTTGATTATTTTTCCATAACATTTTTGTTAATAAGGTGAACACATCAAGGCTGCCTTGAAATTTTTTTATGGGAGTTCGGCAGCAGTCTGGAAATAAGTGAATCCTAGGCCAATTCAATTTATGAGATATTTAAGAAACTTATTTGTCTGTAGGTATATAATGTATTCAGGCACAAAAAACTGGAAAATCGATACTACTGAAATTTTGTTAAAAATGTCATATTTACCATTAAACGTTGAAGACCGGTTTGAACCTGAAACACAAACGTCTGCTGTCAGTGTTGAGAAAAGATTTGTTAATACGGATTATCTCAGCAATGATATATTAGAGAAAAAGTTTGTTAAATATGTATGTGTACTTAATAATAAAAAAAATGTTTAGCTAAACGAACATGTAATTGTTGCATAAATTACGCAAATCCAAATAGTAAGGAAATTAATGACACTGCTATACTCTGCCTGTATAAGGCTTATATGCATACATATTTAGAGCAGTCTCTATATGCCCCATACTGATTTAGTTTCTTTTTACCACATTTCTGGAAATTGTTAAAAAAATGCACACAAAATGATTTATGCCAAAAATTTGTTCACATCTACTTTCTAATTTGTTGAATTTATACCCATGAATAAGAATTTATTATACAATAAAATATGCAAACAGGAATTTTAATAGACTATAAAAAATGGAAATAAATAATATGGAAAAATTGATAATTCAATATCTTTTTTTTTATTAAATAAATATTATCCTATCCTGATTTTTGTGTATATGTTTAATTATACCTTTCAACATACTATCGCTCAATACAAATACAATAAATAAAAAATGCAGTGAATATAACCCTGAGGTATAAATAGTTATGACGAATTCGAGATCCTAATTCCTAGTTTTTTTTTTGTGCGAGATGCAAATGTCTACCTAAAGCCTTTTGACTTTCGAAGTATAAAGATGAGTCGCTGGTATTGAATAAGCTATGATCGTTTTCATTGTTAAAAAATAAAACATTTATTGAAGGTTAATAAGGAAAAACATTGCTTGTCCTTTTTTGGCGGCGTTTTTTTTTTTAATATGTACGTTTGTGTTCAAATTTTATAGAATTTAATTACTGACAAAATAGCACAAATATTCTTACTGAATAAATTAATACAAATACATCAGAAGGAATTAAAGTCCGAAAATGATAAAATTAAGCTAAATAGTACAAAAAAAAAAAAAAATTAAAAATACACCTACACTAATGATATAAATTAATGATTATAAAATTTGTAATAACAATTCAATTTTTTGTGATGACCAAAAAATTGTAAATATTTTGCATGCAGAATTACAACAAAAATTGTTTTTTAATGAAATCATCGTTTGCAAAACGTGCAATTATTTTAAAAATAAAAAATATGTATTGAATTAAATTACTGCTTTAAAAGCAGATGAAAAAAACACAGCAGGACAAATTACTCTGTCATAAATTATAAAATTCAGAAAACAAAAAATATTAATTTCTATATGAAAAATTATATTAAAATTACACTTAGATAATGTCCCAAATTGAGGAAGTATGTTTTTTGTTAATATAAGTCAGATTCAGTTAAGGGGGGATTTTTTTGAGTAATTTTATAAACATTTAAATATTGAAGGAACTAATTTCTTGGACTTTTTTAAAAACTAAAATTCCATATAAATTCAGAGTGGTAGTGAAAAAAAAAATCTGTTTTTCATTAACATCCCGTTTTTGATTACATTTGGCAGGTTTGTTTGTAGTACTAGAGTATGATTTAAACCTGATAAGATTAAAATTAATAAGTCCAGTGGCATTCCAGAGGGAAACATAATTGATATTTTTAAGGCCTTACAAAAAAATAGAAATTTAGAGCACGTTTATATGAAATTTTAGTCATAAAATAAGGCATGGAATTATCTTCTTCAATATTGACATGATATTAAGGAGCGCCATGTACACTAAATGTCTAAAAATTGTAAAACATTAAAGTCATGCATAATAAAATCTTTACAAATATTCAAAATATGCACCATAGGTACTTTTTTAAGATTTTAGAGAGAAAGTATAAAAATTTGCTATTGAAAATCTGCTATTATTACTCAAAACTTGTAATAGAAATAAGAGAAAAAATACAAAGTTAGGAGTTTTCATGATTATTTAGCTTTTAGTTCTAGCTTCAATTTGGAACATCCTGTGTATTGCAAAAAAAATTGCACTGCACTTGTATTCATGCCTCTAAAAATGTTAACAAACAACAAAAAATAGATTGCTAACACCCTCAAATGAATAGCAACGACCAAATGCCTACCTTTCGGTTGTATTGGTTGCAATGAAGCATTACTTGTAGATGTAGTTGGTTTGGAAGTTGTTACTGTAGATGTACTAGCAGATGAAGCTTTGTAATAAACGTAACAAAAATATAGATTCAATATAGGGAAGTTACAGTTCCAGGAATGACGTCATATTTCAGAAACATATCTGACCTGTAGCTAAAAGGCACATTACCATAATATAACGTTTGACGATTTATGTTTGTGCGTTTTTTGTTGATAGTAACAAAGAATTTGGAAACAGTTTAATTTTGATGTAGCTGTCCCTCTAATTTCAAAATATTGTACAGTTTTTGACTGGGTAGTATTACTAGATTTGGCAGCTACAGTTGATTGCTATCTCGGTATTTGAACTGGGTCAGAAAGTATGAAAGTTTCACGGACATGTTTCCTGGAACTAGTTCTTTTCAAAAAAGGAATCTTTTTATGTTCGTTTCGTAAAAGCCTCTTTTTTTAATAAATATGCAATTTTGATTATTTTCAATAAAAACCATGGCGGTGAACAATACTAATTCTCCGATAATGCGATAATTAACTGCTGTTCATATATTTTTTATCTACGACCACTTATGGCTTTTTAAATGGGATTTTATTTATTAAAAGATAATTGGCCAAAATCATCTTATAATTATGCATTTTAGTGACACGTTCCCAATTTGGCAAACAAGAATATTTACGGCGTTTTACTCAGAGAATACGACGTATGGCTAAAAATAAAATTTCCGGACATACCTAATGGAAATTCCGGACAAAAGAATAAAAGTTCAACTCATGAAATAATAAGATACTAAACGTTTTATTAAAAAAAGGAATAAATTGTCAAAAAGTATATTTCAAAAATTAACGAAGTTATGCCGATGTAAATTTTAACGGACAAAACAGATAATACGGGATTGTAAGTATAACACCTTAATACGTTTGATGATTTTCCTGAAAATTCCGGACAAAATACCAAAATTCCGGACATGTCGACTTTTCCTGTCCCTACGTATTGCGTACCCGACAAGAGAAGATGCCATTACGTCATGATACGCACGTGTCCGTTGTTATCGATCACCTTGGTAACATCATCTTGATCAGACTCAGTAGCGCCGCACTGGTGAATTGGGTTGTTGTGATCACACGTCGATGCGTGAAATGTGACAAAAGTAAAATGTCGAAAATTATTCATCATGCAAAGTTAACACTTAATAAAAATAAACTGTTGATATTGTATTTTTCCTAAAATAAAGGGTCGTAGATAAATTATTATATGAAAAAGGCTTATCGCATCTGTTCACATGCAAGTATAACAAAGTACCTAGCCATTCTAATTTATTATTGTAACAAATGCAGTTAAACTAAAAGATTTTTCAAATCATAAATTTAAAACCATATGCCTAATTAGCAAGAATCATTTTATACCAATTACTACTCTGCTTTAGTTTTTTCATTAATTTCACAAATTTTAATTGGTTTCTTCTTTCTATTTGTTACTCTTGAACCATCATTATTTAATGTTGAAGTTTAGTTTATTACATGCTAGTTTGCTAATTACTGCTGTTTAAATAAATTTTAAAAAATAAAGAAACTCACCTTGAGTGCTCACCATCTCCATAACACTAGCCTTCTTGATTTCGAGTGCTCTCTTCTGTTGATGAGCCGCCCTCTGCAACCTTAGCTGCTGCTCCATCTTCTCCTTGATCTCCTCGGCAGATGCTTTACCGCTGACGGCCACCTTGAGATCGGGGGCTTCGATGATCGGTTTGGGAGGCGGCAAATGGCCCGTGCGACTCCTAGTTATAGGATTATTGGGCTGATTAGCCTTTTCCAGCCTGCAGACGAAATCACACAACACAAGCGGTTAGGAGGTTGGCATGCGGATTTAATTTGGAAATATGAAACACTTGTTTAGCCACTCAATACCAAATAAAAAGCGAATTATTTTACATGTAGACTGTGGTGTTGGGTGAGATTTTCGAAAATTACTATATCTGTCCATGGTGTGAGGGTTGAAAGTGAAATGGTAAAAGATATTAAATTCAGATAGTTTTATGAGAAGGATGTCAAATTCGGAGTGAGCTTCTAAAAAACATATTCTTCACATAAAGTATCATATTTGAGGAGTCAACAATGTTAGATTTAAATGACAGCAGAGTATTTAAAAATTAAATGACTAAGCACCAAATACTCATTATAAAGTACTCTCAGACATGCGTGATTTTTCATGGCCTATTTTATAAACATTTTTTTTGTATCACTCCATAAATTTAAAACGTTTTTTATATAATTTTCGGAAAAATAAACCCATTTAAAAAAATAAAATGGGAAAATCTTAAAAAAAACACTGCCCGTAAACGGTATAAGACTAAAGCGTAGAGAGACAAGGCGTAAGAAATTAGCGTGGTTGCATAAGAATGATTTAATTTATCTTTAGTACAGCAGTAAGTAAAAACTTATGTATTAATAACCTACAATAGTAGTTTGTTTAACAAGAGTGGACATGGACAATCCCTCGAGTAGTACAACATAGTTTTTCTACGACCCACTAACGAAAACCTACAAATTTAAAAAAATAATTAATGACTTTTACTAATTTATAAAATGAACATGAAAAAAAAAACATTTAATTTAATCAGGTCCCAGTTCAGATCTGATCTGATCACATAGCAGCCAAACCCCCTGGTCTCACATCCATGGATACACTTACCATTTTAGTTTTAATACTCGTAATTAAATTAATTTCATATAGTTTGATTAAAATTTATGATTTATTTGTAAATATAGATGAAATAAAAATGCTATTATTTATCGATTCTACGTATATATATACTCTCAAGAAAACATTTTTACACACACCCATATGGATATTAGCTTACCTACCCACAGCCATTATGTTTAACTGAACGAATATATTTCATATCCATTCTACCTATTAAGAACACTGTAAAAAATAGTTTTTTGCAAAAATTAAATATGGACAATCCACTTGAGTTGTACAATATATTTTTTCTACGACCCACTAACGAAAAACTACCAATTTAAAAAATATTTTAGATTATTAAGACAAAATAACTAATTTTAAAATAATTATAAATTTTACTAATTTATATATATAAAAAAAATTAATTTTATTAGTCTCCAGCCGAGATTCGAACTCGGGTTTCTCGCGTGGAAGACAGACACTGTCTTCTCACTTCCACCGCCAGATTTGAGATTTTAGTTCTAATATTTGTAATTGAATTAGTTACAATAAAATTTTAAATTTATTTCAAGTGGACAAAACAAATAGAAATGCTATTATTTATCGATTCTACACAAAAATAACTCATTTTAATGTATATTCTCAATACTGACACATAGTTTGACAGAATTGTCATTAATTTAAAATTTTAAAAATAACATTAGTTGGGTGAACTGATTGGTGGATTTAATTTTTTTTCCGGTTCCCACTATCTAGAATGGACATGAAATATATTCATTCAGTTGAACACAATAGCATACTTTTTTGTTTTGTAGTCTGTGCGTAGATAAGCTAATATCCATTGAAGTGGTTATAAAACACAAGTGCTACGCCACTGGTAAGTGATGTGCGCGAAGTGAAGGGAAACGAGCGGGGTCGGGTGGTCGAACACCGGCAGTGGACAGTCAGGCTCGAGACGTTGTTACGAGCACCTGACGGAACAATAATTTTAGTTATAAGTTTTTATTTGTTATTTTATCATTTGATTAAACGCATTTTGAAGTTAAAATACCTCTTCTAACCCACAAACCTTCTCACCATGTGGGTGTAGAAAAATTAAATTTACCAATCACAGTTCATATTTTTGTCACCCAGCTATTAGTTTTTGAATTTTATATGAGTGATAATTCTGTCAAACTAATTGTTAGTACATTATTTAGTCATTGAGAATAAATATACATTAATATAAATTATTCTTGCATAGAATCGATAAATAATAGCATTTCTATTTTTATTTTGTCTATATTTACAAATAAACCATACATACATGCGTTAAAGTCTCGAAGATAGTGAATGAAGTTTTCCTCACCTCTAAGTCAAATAGCACATCAATCATCTTTAAGTAGCCCCGGAGCGTCACGGCAAATAATAATAACCGTCCCTTTCCCACACAACCACATGAGCTCAGTAGGCTTCAGGGGTTGAAATTCACTCATAATGGGGTGACTTAGGGAGAGTATTATTTTAATAAAACTATATGGAATCAATTTAATTAGGAGTATTGAAACTAAAATGTTGTGTAGCACTGGAGCAGAGAATAGGGCTTTAGTTGTCATGCAGAGGTCCCGGGTTTTATTCTAGGATTGGAGACTATTTAAATAATTTTTTTTCTAGTTTATTGTTATAGAATGTAGAGCTTTGATGTTGGTGCCAGTTACAGACTTACAGAATAACGAACAGATAAAAACGATTGCATGTTTTACCTTCAAGCTTCTCTTCAGGTGTAGTTTGTAGTAGGTAGCATCCAAACACTGGAAAACCGAACACGTGCCGGATACGAACATTTTTTACCTGTGCAAACCTGTTGCTATCGCGACTAGTAGCATTTAAACATTTATTTTATTTTAAAAATTAGTAAAAGTCATAAATTATTTTTAAATTAGTTACCTAAAATAATTCTTAAAATTTTTAGATTTTCTTTAGTTGGTCATAGAAAAAATACACTGTACAACTCGAGTGGATTGTTCATAACCACTCTAGTTGCACAAACTACTATAAATGGGTCACAGGCAACATTTTTTGAAAGTATTAAATTTTTATTTCCAAATTTGAAGTACAAGAAATCCTAAAATGATTTGACTGATTATATAAATGTCATCTCTGGTCCCATACTATGTCGAGCGTCTTCCTTTGACTGGCCTTAATTTTGATGTAATTGCGACGTTGCACTTAGACAATTTTTGAACTTTTGCAATTAATGAACTCTGAATTTTTTTAAAACAAAAATAGTTCGATAAGAAAAATATAAAACCTGTTTACTAGAAATATTGTACTAAAGTGTATTGTGCTCAATTAGTCAGGTACGTAAGTACTTCTAAAGAAATGTCTACCCAATCAGACAACAGAATTAATAGAAACATTTTAAGTTCAAGCCTCCAAACAAAATTTGAACCATTCATGTACTATACCAAGTATTCCATGATGTTCAAGCTTTATCAAGAGGAAAGAGAGATTGACACAGTCAAAGGCTTTTGTAAAGTCTATGTATAAGCTTATAGCTGCAGATCGATTGTTAATTGCAACTATAATCTCTTTAACAAACGTAAAGTGTGCCCTCTAGTAAATACATGCTGTGAATCATTTATCAGACTATTCCAGATAAGATAATTACTTAAACTGTGATACATGATTATCTCATACATTTTTGAAAATGTTGGAAGAAGCCTAATTAGTCTATAGTTGCAGATATCATTAGGATTATCTTTCTTAAATAAGGATAAAATAATAGTTTCCTTTAATGACTTGGGAAAAATTCCCGACTTGAAAGAAATATTAATATGTTAATGGTACTAAAACATGCCTTACGCACTTTTTAAGTAACTTACTTAAAATTTCATCAAAACCTCAAGCTGTTGAGGATTTTAAGTTAGAAATGGCCAACAAAACGTCTTCCTCGTTAACATGAGGTAAAAACATTGGATTTATTTTTTGTGGTAAAAAAAAAATTTATATATATTATTTTGACTGCAGAAATGTTGCAATAAATTATTACCTACGGATAAAAAGTAGTCATTAATTTTTTTTGCAGTGGAGGCAGGGTTAATATGCATAAACAACAATCTGGAGCTATTTCAACAATAATAAAGAAGGAATAATTGAGGAAAATACTGAAGACATAAGACATAAATATTGAAGAAGTGAATTTTAGTTAATTTTTTTGCCTGTTTTTTTTTGAGAATTTAATTTCAGTAATTTTTTGAATCTTGAAGGAACATTAATTACCAACAACTTCTGTTCATTAGGCAGTGTGGCCCAAATACATTTTTACTTACCTAGATAACTTACTGCGGTCTAAAGATAAATCAAAACAATCTTACCCACCCGGACTAATTTCTTAATCCCTAGTCTTATATCGTTAATGGACACTATACTGGTATAAAAACATGCTTCAAGCACTTTCCAAAAACGCTTTACCCAACAATGGCGTATAATTTATATTTATTAGTTTTATTTTCACTTAATGAAGGATATAATATGAAATAAATAAAAAACCTTTTGACATTCCTTTCAAAATGTAAGAATTCCTGTTCTGAATATGACATTATTAAAACCAAAACACCACATCAGGTTCATCCTTTACATCATGATACAGCACCCGCCCATTATTCTGATGCACTAAATATTTCATGGGGAGAAAATGACCCTAATCAAACAAATAAGGTTTCAGAGATAGATGTATATAGTATGGACTATGTAAAGAATGCTGATTTTTGGAGAGGTAATGGGACAGGAGGAATTTTTTCAGTGGCAACTCAGTCAGCATTCTTTGCATATTCCTAAGATTCCGTAACTCTGTCCAATATTTGCAGATTTAAGTATAGTTAATGGTTAAAAACAATCACAGACGGAAAGAGCATATTTGTTGACGACATGCCACTGAATGTTTGAGATATTGGCATTGTCTTGAATTTACACTCTTTTATCTAGTATATCATAGTAAATGAGAAGTTACGTATCTAGCTATTTTTAAGAAGAGAGATCACAGCGAAATTATAGTTCTTTTTTAATTATCCTGATATAAGTTGATTAATGACATTTTTAAGGTCACAAGAGGTAAAAGAAGCCAATTTAAAAAAAAATTCATTTGGAAAAATAGCAAAAATCAAATTTTAACTGTATTGCAAAATTGATATAAAAAAAAATAAAGAATAACACTTTGTAAAGTGACCACTGCACCCTTGTTAAACTTGATTAAGAAATTTCTTTTTTTATTTAATTAAAGCGAACAAATTGACCAAAAATGGTAAAAATTGTGTAAAAGTAACTCACTTGTCTCCATATTGTTTAATCTCCCAGAGTTCTAGTTTTTCTTCATCTACCCATTCTTCCGATACTTGAGGATCCATATTTTGAGGCGACTCTGGTCTCTTTCTCTTCCTAAGTCCGCTTCTTATAGATGTTACCTCTGAATAAGCTTTATTTAATACATAATATCCCATACAATTTTTAAATAAAATCAGATTTTAATTATTTTTTTTTAAAGAAATATCTACTAACCTCTGACTGTTTTAGGAAGTTCCAAAGGTATAACAACTTTCCTCCTCAAATACTGCGTTTTCTGCATAAACTGTCCCACATGTCTGTGTTTCAAAAGTTCTAAAGATAAAATCTCCGTTTCTGTAGTAATCTGGTGCTTGCCATCAGCATTTTGAGGCTTCACCAGCATATCATCCCATCTAAGACACGCCCACATGATCTTCAACTGAAGGGCAGCACAAGCCAAAGACCTCAAATTGACAGTTCTATAGATCCAGCATGTTTTGAACAATGGTCTGGCACAAGGGTAGGGCCAGATACTGTTATTCGCTTTGGCTAAAGTGTTAAAGCCTGGCACATAGATCCTACCCGCATTTCTTGCCAGTTTTCTAACATCATGTGGTGGTAATACCAAGAGAGAAGAACAAGACTTTGAAGTTTTAAAAGAAGAACAAGCAGGGTATTTCACTATTTGTTTATTTTTGCGCTTAGAATCTAGAGAAGGAACCTTCTTCAATACAATTTTACCCTCAGTGGATTGCGTAGAGTATATCCTTTTAGAACCATCTGCTGCATGCTCAGTCTTAACAGTTTTTTCTTCTCTTTTTACTCCAAATTTAAAAGCGCAAAATCTTCTATTCTGTTGGGCAGTATAGGCAGTGTGTTTAGCATTTAATGTTTTTATAGAACTGAAAGGTCCATCTTTTGATGAAGTTACAGTAATTGTATCTATGATTTCTTCTGAAGCAGGAACGTTTTTAACTACACCATCAATAACAGTATCATCTCTTGGACTTCCTCCCAGAATCACCTCATTGATTACTTCAGGAGATATTTCTTTCAAATCAATTTCCTGTTTCAATTCTGTTTTAGCTTTTTTAGCAGCATGCTCTTGGTCACTTTCTTTTTCAATTTTAACTTTAACTTCTGGCTCTTTTAGAGGTTTATAAACATCTGGCTGTTCATCAACCTTGATAGCTGAACTGAGTGCGGTTATTAAACCTTTACATATGCTCTCTCTTGTTGGAGGACTGCTATCTTTTTCTTTCTGAATTATCGGTAATTGTGGTGCTTTTAATGTTTGTTCCAAAATTGAAGGTTTCTTAACAATTGCACTGGTTTGTGGCAAAGTTGGTAGTTTAACAGAAGAATTGGTGGCTAAATTAGCTTTCCTCAATAGACTTAACAGATCTTTCCTCACTCTGACCCGTTGCATGCACATTGGTGAATAGCAGGTAGTTTCCAAACTATTGCCAGCCCCAGAATTGCATCCTTTGACATAACATTGGAAATCTTTGGCTAATCTTGCTATTGAAGTATACTGCGTCCTTAATGAGTGTATACGTTTAGCAATTGAGTTCAAAACTTCTTTGTTTGGTGTTGATTGTTGATTATTTGCCAGTGAAACTTTACCTGTCATCATATTATTAAGTTGTTTATCTATACCTTCTGCATTTGAGTCTTCATCTACTTCAACATCTACATCTTCATCTTTGTTAGCATCATCTGTTTTAGACATTGATATCTTGTGTTCCTCTATAGTTTTTAATTGAATTCTTCTGGCTAAAAGTGTGTCCAATTTTGTCTTTCTAGCTACCTTTGGATATAGTAATCTTCCTGGTGCAATTAAGGCTTTACTAACATTTATTTCTTCGACTTTTGTTATTGGTGGCAAAATTTCCATATTTTTGAAAGCTGCTGGTATGTCTGAATCATTTAAATTTTCTGTTTTGATAAATTTGTGATAGGCTGGATCCAAACTCATCACTTTACTTCCATTGGCATCTTTAATTTGTACCATTATTCGTTGAGGTTCAGCTAAACCAAGCTGCCTGGAATCTACATGTTGAAAATTTCTAGGAGTTCGAATCCACAACCAACCCCATCTACCATGAATTCTGTATTCTTCTCCCTTTTGCTTCCACAGTTGATGCTTAAAACTCATTGTATATTTCACATAACCACTGATTATCATTCTATTTCTTTCCTCTTCTTCTTCTCTATCTTTCTTTTCACGTTTTTCTATCTTCTTGCGCTCCTCTCTTTCTGCAGCTGTTATTCTAGCTAATTTTGTATGTCCTAACTGATCATGCCAAACATTGGCAAAAACTACAGGTTTGATACAAGCTTGCAACACTACTAAAACTTTAGCAAAGTCCTTGGGTTGTTGACAATTACCAACAATAGTCAACCAAGTTTTACGGAGGAGTGGCCAGTTGGTGTGCATAAATGGTGCTGGAAATTGTTGTTCTAATTGTAAAATTGTATGTCTTAGTGTGTTGTTGAGAAGTGTCTTAGAGCCACTAACAGCACCAATCCATTTAAATTCGGAAGCAGGGGTAAGTGAAAATTTGTGAGATAAATGACGCTTTTTGTCTCTTTCTTCATTTCTCTGTGGTTTATTTAGAGCAATTACGTTTGTAGTAAACTGATTTACATACATTTTGAAGGAGTTCTCCATGCCTAATTTAAATAGATATGTTCCATTTGCTATTTGAGTGGATTTAAGCCGTGTCATTCTTGATTCATCTTTGTCATCTTCTCTATTTAAAAGTGCTCCCAAGCTCTTTTTTCTCAGCTCTTCTAGGTTAATTGTTCTTGGTGTTGAAGACCCTGTCTTAGATCTGGTTAATACTTCTTTATTTTTATCATTGTCTTCCTCCTCTGGGGATCCAGTGGTAACTGTTTCGGTGTGTACAGCTGTAGGATCTACTGAAGAATCAAGGACACTAGTTGTTACTACTTCAGTATTTTCTATTACCATTGGTACATCATCTACAGGTTCAATGTCTTCATGCATTTTTGCTACCAAATTTTCTGCATTTTGCTTCTCTTTTTCTTTCCGTTCTTCTTCAAGTTTTTCCTCCAGTTCTTTATTAAATTTTATAATAGCAGCATTTTCAGCATCCAGATATGTCTTCTTGTTACCCTTGTATTGATTGGTGAGTTTTTCTGTTAACTCCATTTGCCTAGTAATTTCTTCAGTGTATTCTTGCAATTCTCTAGCAAGAGTGGACTCCATATCTTTGGGGTCAATTAATTTTTGTAGTTCTTTGAATTGGACACTTGTGGAATAGTAGTGGATTTCGCCATCTCGACTTTCACTATTTTAAAATAAAATAAATAAAAAGAATTAGAACAAATAATTTTCAACAAAATTAAATTTTTATAGAAATTATTTTACCAAAAACATTATTTTCTATAAAAATTATGATTTAGATAAATTCAAGAAAAATATATCATGATACTTACACAATAAGCCTTCTACAAAGAAAATAATATTTTCTTCCATGTCTATCATAACCCAGTGGCTCCTGTCGTGACAGTTGACCCTGCTTTTCCAAATCTAGTACGCAATCTACAACACCTGATACTTTGTGAGAACGACAAATTCCACACTGCCAATCTTCTTCAGGAATAGTTGTCAAGGGGGGATCCACACATTCCAAATGGTAGACTGCAGGACAAGTTTCGCAGCATAGAAGGTCCCCAAGTTTGTGGCACACTCTACAATGGTCATCATAATGCATGGGAACTGAAATAAAATATGTTGTTAAAAAACTAAAAGTGACACTAAAAGTATCATGATTTTCAATTATTAACCATTTAAATATCAGTTTGTATGTTATTTAGTATATCTGCATGATGAAAATGTTGGTTTTAGTGGAATATTTACCTCTACAGGTACAACAATAAGTTAACTTGGGGATTTTCATTATAAGAAGACAAACATTAAATATATTACTTTTGATTACTTTTTTTATATTTTCATTAGATAATTTATAATAAGTACTTGTTCATTAAATTGGAATATTTAATTCTACACTGCCTAATTACACATTAAAAACTTGGTAATATAAAAATACTAAAATTACAAACTGAATGACTCAATAACAATTGGTTGATTAGTGTTTGTGATAATGGGTAAGATGTTTAAAAAATGCAGTTTTAAAGAAAGGTGACACTAAAAATTGTTAACTTTCAATGAATCAAGCTATTCTTGACCTATTCAACAATCATTCCTCAAATTTTAAAATATCTTGTTCCTTTAAACTTTTGTCATTTTGAAGATTTTGTTTAAAAGTCTGACAATTTATTTTCCAGCTTTTCATAATTGATATAAAAAATGTATCACTATATTTCACACGTAGATACTTATATTTTTATTTTTTTTATTAACCAAGGGCCAATCTTTTCACCTCTGACTATAGTTACATGTAGGTTTACTTGATAGATTAACATGCAATAGCCCTATACTTAAATCAGCAAGTAGTTACTTTCAATTTTACTCAGAGGTGAACAAACTGGCTCTAAGTAGTATAAAACAAATATTTTTAAATCAAATAAGTAGTTAAGCTTGATACAGTGACCAAGTAGGTATATATTTGAAAACATTTTAAAGACTTATGACTTATTATTTGTGCTATTAATTTTCACTCAACATCTTTTTTTTTATTTTCACTTTGGTACTGCAATTTCCCATTACTTATACCAGAAATAAATACAACCTTTTCAGATATACCTAGGACAATCTTGGTATTTCATATGGAATACCCTGTATGTTTATATATTTAAAAAATCCAAAATGTAGCATATATAACAGTTTTTTTTTGTTTTTTTTTTATACAAATTAGAGCGATTTATTTTCCATACACTTGATCTTCCTCAAAGAAATCAATGCACCAAATCCTTTATTTGGGTTAAAGGACATAACGTAAATTTAAAAGTTGATATAGCAGCTAAAACAGCTATTTCTGTCACAATTTGTAATGTATACACCCTGCAAGACATGATCAATCATTTAAAAAAAAAACAAGTTTGATCAAATTGGGAGACTGGATAATAATACTAATTTTTATTTGCCAGTAAAAAAATATGTAGTGCAATAATAAAGTTTACATTACTACAACAACAATCCGCAAATATTATGTATTATGATTCTTCCATACCACCCTTCATTAAATTATTCTAAGCTTATTTAAAAAAAAAATATATGTATAAGACAAACTTTAAAATTCTCACATATATGGTACAGTAACAAAATGCAAAGAAAAAATATAAGAACATTACCAATACTCAGTGTAGAATAATAAAAAGAGATACAGAAATACAGAGCTGTGTAAAAGCAATAACAAAATAATAATATTGATTATTAAAAAGCTGTTTCCTGTGTTTGTTTTTAAATGCTTTAAAGGATAACTTAAAGTTAGGTATATTGAGTAGATGACTGACAGAAGCAACTTGGTAAGAGAATGAACTTTTAAACAATTGGTGTAGTAAAATAATGGTGCCTTCTTAAAGTCAAATTATATACATCAGTTCTAAATTTAATTTTGTTAAGAAGATAGGGAAGTTTTTGTTTTCACCATTTTGTAATAAAAACATAAGGCATGAAGTTTCAGTCTATTGAACATACTTAACCATTTTACTTGTTTGAGCTTGTGGAATATTCTGTTTCTACATCTTATACCAAATATTAATCTAAGGCTACTGTTTTGTACCCTATTTACATCAATTTTGCAAAGAAAAGGGCCATAGACCATGTCACAGTGGTTAAACTGGGACATAACTAAAGACTCTGTTAGTAGTTTTTTAGTTTCAATATTCAATTCCGATCTGTGATGATAAATTAATTTTAAAGAATAATAAGCCTTTCTCATTTTATCAGTAATATGTTTATTATCGAAGTTTCGAGTCTATGATTAAACCCAAATTCTTACAGTATTCTTGAACTTCAAAAGTCTGATTATTAAGTTCAATTTTTAGATTAGGCAAGACAATTGACCTTTGAAGATCATTGCAAAATAAGACATTAGATTTTTTTTTGATTAATTTTAAGAAGGTGCTTGTCTGATAGTGACACAATTGTGGCTAGATCAGTACATATTAATATTGTTAATGGGCTCACAAATTTGGATGTTTTATAAAACCTTCTATCACTCAAAAGTTCAATTTCCATCTAATATCCCCATACTATTAAGCACAGTTAATGAAAAGATTTATAATGAAAGCCAAAATAATATAACAATTTTGATAAATTTAATACAAAATTCGTAATATTGCACACAGGAAAAAAGCGATTTAAAATAATAATTTTTACATTTCTTTAGGGTAGGTAGGTAACTCCAGGGAAAACTATTAGAAATATTAATTTTAATTTGGAAAACTAAGAAAATATAAAAATAATTAGTTCAATGTGCTGAGCATTTATGGAAACACATATTTTTTTTTTTTAGTTTCTGACTACATAAAAATATACAGGGTGTTCAATAACAAAGTTGCTGTACAAAGTCAAATAAGTAGGTACCTTAAAAAAATTCAAGATGTTAAACCTAAAAAAATATTTCTTTAAGTTATAAGTTTCAAATATAATCAGTCTATTACACAAGAAGAAATAAAAGGATGTATTATCTAAACAAAGAACTTTTACATGTAAATGTTCACAGTATCTTTTTTGCTTTTAGAGTTGGTACTAATATATGTACTTTTTGTAAAGCTATCCTGATTTAAAATATATTAGTCGATCGTACCAAAAACCATAAGAAAAAATAATTTATGGATAGAATGTCCTAAAAAAATGCTATCACATTGCCTATTACTATAGATGATCCAAAAAAAAAGAATGTTCTCTTTTTTTGTTTAATTTTTATAACAGACAAAACTCTGATACTGTGTTTTAGAAAGCAATTTTTGCCATAACTCCTTAATGTTAAAAATATTTAAGTAGTTGGTGGTATACAGGGTGTGAGTATATTTGATTGACAATGCTCTACCACAGAGGGCTCTCATTAATTGATGAACCCTTAACCTTTTCGCTGCAGCAATAATACAAAAGACTATTGTCTGCTACACAATATTGTATTTTAAAAATAATTGTTTTTGTGTATTGTATCGGACTTAAATATGCGTAGGGCGCAGTTATGAGTCTCATGAAATATTTGAATGAATTTTTTTCATTTATTTTTCATATTATTCTCATTTGGCAAATTTTCCTTATTTGAATCATATAAACATTCCATCATTTCTTAAAGTGGTAACTTTTTAAATTTTTTTAAATGCATAGTTTTAGGGAGAGTATTATTATTATTGAGTTATAACCCCTTTAAGAGTCCAAGTTCCCAATCAAAATTCATCAATTAAGGAGAGCTCTCTGGGGTAGAGCATTGTCAGTCAAATATACTAAAACCCTGTATATATATTTTTTTATTTATTTACCCTTATTATAAAATGTTTTTTTTTTAAATAAAGGATTTGATGACTACTTCTTCAGATCTTATAATCAAATCTTGACCAAATTTATATGGGACTAACCCTGTGGTACCCCTTTTCTAACAGAAAAGAATCATGGAAATTGGACAACCTGGTAAAGAATTATCTCTGAACATAGGTACATAAAAAAGAAAAATATTCCGATAAATTGAGATGCTCCAATTTTTTTTTGAAAATCGATTAAAAATTATACAAAATAATTTTAATATAGTCAAAAACAGTAAGTGATTATTACACAAATACCTATGTAAAATATTTAAAAATTATTTGAATTAGTTATTGGACAACCTGGTAAAAAATTATCTCTGAACATAGGTACATAAAAAAGAAAAATATTCCGATAAATTGAGATGCTCCAATTTTTTTTTGAAAATCGATTAAAAATTATACAAAATAATTTTAATATAGTCAAAAACAGTAAGTGATTATTACACAAATACCTATGTAAAATATTTAAAAATTATTTGAATTAGTTACATGGAAATACAGATATGTTAATTATAAAACAAAATAAGCAATATTTCTAAAAAAATAATTATTATCTAGGTAAATTTAAAAGATAAAAGAAGTAATTAATGTTCACTTGTATTTTTTTTAAATAGGTAATAAGTTACAAAATATGAGATAAATACCTTCACTCAGTAGATCTTCTCTAACAGGATTTGTTGTCAAAAATTGATCAGTTAAAAACTGAAGAACTTTGATCCTATCTTCAAGAGTAGAAAAAGGATAATCTGTAGTGGATAAAATTTCCAGCACCTTTTGATCAAAACTTTTATCACTTTCTACATAAGCTCTCAATACTTCGGGGTATGTAATATAATCAAGCAGGTACAAAGATATATTGACACTGTCTTTTTGGTCTAGAGGCCCAAAATGAGTTTGTTGGGAATCTTCTTCCCTGAATAAGGCTTTCATGAGCATTATATGGATCTCGGCTAATAAACTGCTTTGGTCTTCACACATGATAGCAGCACAAAAATCTTCTAATCTAAATGGGGATAATCTTACAAGATTTCTAAAATGCCTCAAAACTTCGTAAATACTTATAACTTCTATTATTCTGTTTCTAGGTACTAGTAAATCATCAGAAGACTTAGGTAACACTAGTGGAGGTATTTCTCGGTTTTGTAGCCACAGTGGAGGCTCTGGAGTGGGTGCCCTGTTCACATTGAACCCTTTCCGAGGAGTTCCACTCATAGTACTAAAACTACTCAAAGAAAAGTCACTATCACTACTAGGCTCACCCACTGAACCCTCCGATTCGCTTTCAGACACTCCCAGTTCATCTTCGATATCACTTTTGTTATCACTAGAATCATCTCCAAAATCTGAGCCATAGTGATACTCAGATTCGTGATAGTCACTCTGAGATGTGTTGTACCCCCTTCGCTGGTATGCTGAGCCCACATAGCCAGATTTTCTACTTGCTCTATGTCCATCTTTTCCCCTTATTCTATTACTGCTTCGTCTACTGGATTCACTCTCTTGTGGGGAAGACGCTCTAGAGGCTGTTGGCGTACTCGGCTGGGAGCCTTCCCGTGGTTTATAATTTAATAAATATTTTGGCTTTTTTAGAAGGTGGTACTGAAATTTTTTGGTTCTTTCCGCAACCTGGACCTTAGGGGGACGCCCCCTCTTTTTCATGCCTCTTGTTGACATCGAGTTGGTCAACTGTCAATCAGTAGCTAAAATGCACGTGGTATATTAGGAAAACAAACCTGTATACAAATGCGAATGTCAAAATTTTACTTAGAAAAACGATTCATGGTCGTTGTCCGATCTTTTCGCCATAATAATCGGGTAGGTCACGTGACAAACAACCAAAAACGCATTTTGCACTAATGTAAGATGATTTTTATGGTTTAATCTCATATCTCATGTAATTTTCATTATGTTTTTCTAATGTTTGCGAAAGAATCACTCAATTCACCAAAAAAATCACAAAATAGTTAAATGACGCGTATCGCGAAGCGAAAAAGAACACTTCAACAACCGAAGCATCGAGCGTTTCTATTGGTCAATCACACGGCCGCCATGACAACTTGCAATTATAATTTTTAACTGAACTCAATTTATGCAAAACCACTTATTCTTACACTAGTTATTTGGTCACTTAAAATTTAAAACATAAATAAATTTATTTTTAGCACAAACACTAGAACTTCGAGCAAAAATTGATTTTCTTGGTGTGCCCTGACGTCCAATCCAAGCCTTCAGGAAATAACTCCTAATATAAATTGAAGATGTCGCTAACGTAGTCCAAACATAATGTCGATATTTTTCAGTAAAAACTCAATATTCAAGAACAGCTTATTTATTATATTGTATCAATTAAATTTTAAGATAAAACTAAACAAAAAATATTGGCATTTTCATAATATTTTTTAAAATTTTTAACTATTTCCGGTACCACCGGAAAGAGAGATAGAAAATAAAAGCCATTGCGCATAATCGACGCAACCGCAAACGGACAAATTAGGAAACAACATGGCCGATTGACACTTTCTGTCACTCACCATTATCGACTCGTTTTTAGACAAATTTAACATAATTTAATAAAAGTACCCACCTATAACTGTTAAATTTACAACAACACAGATTAACAAATTAATTTAAAAAATTCTGTTATTAATATAAGTATCAACATTGTACTGATTAGTGAAATTGAAACCTGTTTTCGGAGTTGTAAAATTTAGATTGTACCTTAAACGAACGTCTATGGACCATTATTCACCCATCAAGTTGGATGCCGAAAAAGTTAAATAAAAGAGTTTGTGAGCAAATTAGAAGGTTTCGACACTAAAAAGATGAGTGGTTCTATTAAAATGTATCGAACGACACAAATTGTGAAGCACGATTTACCGGTAAAACTGCCTAAATGCATGTATACTTTAAAAAATATCCACTCAAGAGACACCAAAGGAATGGTTGCCGAGTCTACCGATCACGTTTCCACATTGAACAAGAATTCATCGATTTTCGACCAGGTTAAACAGTTTTTAAAGGTTTTATATAGTTCCATTGATATATTAGTGTTTAAAGATTTTTTTAACCCCTTATTTGCTTCCTAAAATTATCTACTTACCTCATATTTCACAAAATTACCTGGCATGATACCACACTTATCAATTTTTGCGAACAACTGTCAAATAACTAATGAAAGCAAAGAAGGAACTATTAATGTTTTCCTGTTGACTTTTCTGTGTCCTCTGATTATTTTTTTGTATGCTTTCTCATGCTACACCTTCTAACATTATATCACAAGTTTTAAATTAATTTTAACAAATAACTACTATTAATGCTATTTAGGACATTTTTAATTTATTTAAGATTACCCATTTAGAATAATCAACACATTTCTGGCATGGCAGACTTGGTGGCCAAACAAGAAGATATCCTAAAACAACTTGGTGATCTTAAAAAGCAAATTCAATCTATTAAATTGGATCTCAAAATTAGTCCAACAAATGCAGTCAAACCACAAAATTCATTTTCAACAGCTTCAACACAAAGGGTAAGTTTATATTTTTAATATTAATATAATAATAATGGCATGCTAACAAGGTTGAACAAATAACTTTTGAATTATCTTTTTTTTATATAGATATTTAATACAATAATAGATTATATAATATTTAACAAATTTTCTGGCATAGGGTCTGTTTTTTAAATTGTTTTAACTAATAAAAAGAAAATAAATATTGTAGATATAATCATTAAAAAAATTGTTGGCAAAATGAAGGAAAATAATAATTTTCTAAAAATGGTTATTTATTATTTTGAGGCATTAAGTTTTAGGTTGTAGTCTTTGTTGTACTGTTTAAGTAGGTATACAGAAAATATGTAAAATATATTTTTTTCATATCAGTCGAAGATGATTTGAGTGTAAAACTGTTACAATTTTGTTTATATTTTCGAATTAATTAACATTTTATAAAAATCTCTTAAAAAATAAAACTACTTAACTAATTGAAGTTAGGTACCTAAGGATTTCTAAACAGATAAATTAGAAAATAAAATCAATTATGTGACATTCCTAACTATAACAGTTAGGTAAAGAAAAACTTAATTTACCTGTAATCATATCTCCTAGAAAGCAGCACTATTATATTCATCAGCTGCAATAAGTTTACTGTTTCAACCCAACCCCACATTGTATTATTATATATTTACAAATTTCAATCTATATAATAAGTAAATGTCCTAAAAATATCCGTTTTAAGTTAATAGATATCACCACTGTGATATGCAAAATATAATAAAAAAAAAGTTGAAGCAAACAAGGGAACCTATATTTTACAGTGCTTTTTGTTATTAATCTTAAAACCCAATGATGATTCTTTTAAAAAATATAAAATTGCATTGTTTTAAGTTCTTAAATGTAGTTATCCTGCAAATTTGGAAGTATTGTAAAATAATTTTATTATATTGGGCAGTTATGTTCAGGTCCTTACTTAATTTTGTCTAATAAATAACTTTTTGGCTACCTATTTTGTTGTTAGCATTAATTTTCGAAATTTGCAAAAATAATTCAAAAAAGGTCCAACAATTAATGCAAAAAATAAAATTAATTACAGGTATATTCCTCTGCTAACTCAGAAGAAAAAGTTGATATATCTATAGAAAAAGTTAATTATATAAGTGAAGCCAATACAGACTGTATCAAACCAAAAAAATGTAAAAAGCGAAAACCTTGGATGACAAATAGTATTATGAGTTTAGTTAATAAGAAATCCAAATTATATAAAAAAATGAAACTAAATCCAACTACTGAGAACACATTGGAATACACCCAACTCAGAAATAGATTGGGTAAGATAATAGATGAAAGAAAGATGTTTTACCATGAGAAACTAACTGAAGAAAAAAAATTTTTTTTAACCAACCTATGGAAAAATAAAAATAATTTAACAAAAAAATCAGAGGTAATCAAATCCGTAGTAGAAATTGTTAAAATCCCTCTATAATAAATAAATGACTAGCAAATTTGTGAAATTGGAAATAAATTAACATAAAACTTATTGCTAATATGTAAAACTTAAACAGTGTAATAGGTAAAAACAGCATAACTGAAACACTTAAAAATAAATGTGCTACAATTGGATTCATCTTCAAATAATATGCAAATGCAATTATAAAATTAGTATTTAAAAATGATTTTCAATATTTTCCTATTTCATGAATCATGAATTTCCTACAAACTTAAAAACAAAATGAGAAAAATTCCTTTTATTTTTGTATATATTTATATTTCTTTAGGTATAATTTTGTTGATATTAAAATATGTATTTAAGGATAATGTCCAGTAGAATACAAATAATTGCACACCTACTGAGACTCTGAAGGGTGTGTGTGCTTGACTTTGATCGGACTTTATAAATATTTTAGTTTTTGTAATTTTTTTTCTCCAAATTATTCTAAAAGGATAGTAGAAAAAATATGAAAATTTCTAAGTGAATATATTAGAAACTACTTAGTTTTCTCATTAATTTTCTCAGGTTATTTTGATAAGGTGTTATATAAGTACCTTTAAATCATAATGTTATGAGTCAATTAAATTTAATAGGTACTTGATAAAAATGTATTTTAATTCTTAAATTTGAAAATCATGCAAATGATGCAAAAAAATGTTGGTAAACTGTTAAGATTTGTTATTGTTAACCTCGACCTTTCTATGGCAAATGTGATTTTTGTCAGTAAATGCTTATTTCAAATATAACATGTGTATTTAGAGATTTTTGTTTTGTTTTAAAATATGTGATAAAATAAATAATTATTCGCGATTCAATTTAAGTGGTACGCCCTCTGATGGCAATTTGTAACAGGAATTTTTCCAGTGTTGCCAAAGTACTGGAATTCCGCTACGTCAGCGGATTTTAACACCTTTATAGCAGAGGAAATACCTTTTTAAGTAGCGAAATTTGTGTCTAGCAATATGTGATTATACTCTATATTTATTTAAGCCTTTTTATAAAAACGATTTAATAGATTGATTTTTTTTTAATTTCAGTTTATTAAAAATTCAACAGTTGGCAACATTGGCGTTCGTTTTTGCTGTTTATATTTTAATTTGTGAGCATTACATTTGTTTATTTCTTATAGTCTGTTTGCGAAATTTGCGAAAAAGTCTCTAGCAAATTGCATTCTATATGGTGTTAATGTCATTCAATAATTTTCAATCGTAAGTTCTAAAATTTTGCTTCTTGTGATAAATGTATACCTACAAATTCCCGTTATTAAGATTTTGCAACATTTTATATCTAGAATCAAAATGCATTCTGCATTGTGACAGTTTTATTACCGTATACATGTTTACAAAGTACCTACTACCATTCACTTCAAAATATAAGAATAGTTAGATTTTTAATTAAATTTATCAATAATAAACGTCAGGTACCTGAAATTTCCTTTAAACCACATAATAAAAGATGTCATGAGTTAAGTAAACAAATATTTCTAGATGTTTGTGCAGCATTCAGATAGGTTAATATTTCCTACAAATTAGATATAAACACATGATAAATATTATATTTATGACAAAACCATAGCAACTAAACTTAAATTAACACTAAATGAAACTCAAAAATACTATTATAACGATAATATTACCAAAAAAACAGCTAAAAACAAACACAATGTAAATAAATATCCTACCTATTGGTGACAAATGATAGGCGCGCGAAAATTAATTTGAGTCAAGAACATTATACTACTATAGGCCTAATTTTTGATGTTGTTTCTGAGGGTCTAAAAGGTAAAATTCCAAATTGGCGTATCTTGCTATAGTAATGCCGTCATCTTGCACATTTTTTCGTCTTCTTATAGAGCTTGATTTTTGCTAAACATTTCAAGTCGATATTATTTTTTGTTTTTGAGTAATTTTTTTTTGTTAATTTCAACTCCCCTAAACCCCCATTCATTTTTTAATCAGATTTTTTTCAAAATTTATAAGCTTATAGAGCATTTTTGCTAAAAATTTAAAGTTGATATCATTGTCCTTTTTTAGTTAATTTTTTTTTATATTTTAACCCACCTTAACCCCCTATTTTTTTAATATTATTATCATCGGACGGACCGACAAAGTAAACCTATAATACTCTTCACATACTACTATGTGAGGAGTATAATAACATTTTTAGTACTTGGTAGGTATATTTATTTATTAAATAACACAAGAACTATAAAAATACTGTACTTATTTGATAGGTATAGCATTATGTTTTAAGATGTGTCTACCACTTAAATTTTCATAAATAGGTATCTGTCATACAAAAATGGTCAGAACATACTAAGGCTTCTTTCATTTTCATAATGTCTTCCTCCATCACCAGGCATAGATTTTGCAGCCAAATTCTACGTTGAATAATTTCTTTAGGAAACCTGATCAGAAAATATAGAACATTATTATTTAAACAAGTGATCTAAATTAAAAATTTTAAAAAACCGACTTCAAAAACGTGCAGATGCCGTCAGCACATCTTATCCAAATTTATATGTGGCCATTCCTGAGGTACCCCATTACTAACAAAAAAGAGAATCATATAAATAGGACAAGGTCGTAAAGCATTATCGCTAAACATACATGAAAAATGAAGAATTTGAGGAATTTCTCATGGACCCAGTTATCAGATTTTGGCCAAATTTATATGGGACCACCCCTGAAGTACCCCCTTTCTAACAAAAAAGAATCATTGAAATCGGACACCGTGTTAAAGAATTATCGCTGAACATACATAAAAAATGAAGAGTTTGAGGATTTTCTCATGGACCCAATTATTATATTTTGACCAAATGTATATGGGAGCACCCCTGAAGTACCCTCTTTCTAACGAAAAAAGAATCATTGAAATCGGACACCGTATTAAAGAATTATTGCTAAACATACATAAAAAATTAAGAGTTTGAGGATTTTCTCATTGACCCAATTATTAGATTTTGACCAAATATATATGGGACCACCCCTGAAGTACCCTCTTTCTAACAAAAAAAGAATCATTGAAATCGGACACCGTGTTAAAGAATAATCGCTGAACATACATTAAAAAAAAAAAAATATCGCGACGAATTGATAACCTCCTCCTTTTTTGAAGTCGGTTAATAACAAATAACAAAGTAGATAAAATCAGAACGTTTGTGTTGTCGCGGTCACGCCTTTTATTGTTCTATTTTTAACTCAGAACTCCACTTCTTCCTTGGCTTGACGATTGATGGCGCTGTGGCTCCCGTAACTTGTGTAACGTTCATGCAGCGTTGCCGATTTTAACAAAGTCCTGGGCAGTCATCGCGTTACACATTGCAATTGTAACTTATTCAAACAGTATGTCCTTACACAACATTTCTCAAAAAGTACATTGGTGGTTGGAGAATTTTCAGAATATTTATTTTGGTAAATTTTTCACCCATTGATTTATTTGTATTTTGCTCAATTGCTCAAAAATTACAATTTTTGGCTATTTCCCAGACTACGGGAAAAATCTTAAAACACTTTATTTGTAATGGTATTTATAGGTTTTTTTGAGATATGCAATTAGTCAACCTAGGACAAAAATTTTAAACTTACATTTTTTGTTGTTACACTTTTCCTATGACCAATATGAATCGAGATAAATCAGTTTCGCCTATCCTCCCCGGCTTAAGTGCCGTAGGGCAATGTATGCTCCACACCCTGCAGATGCAGATATATTTCAAAAACCTTATTTTATTCTTTCATTGATATTATGTCAGAGACTTTTGAAAGTCTGATTCAACATTCATTGGCTTTTTTGGATATAATTTAATAAGAAATGTGTGCCATCAGCATTAGTTATTTATTATACAAGGGAAAAAGTATTAGATTCTAATAGAATCTAATATTTTTCCCGTGTATAATACACTATTTTTTTCTGTGATGGGAAAAACGACCATTTTATATTGAAAAAAATATTCTAAAATTTTACCTTTACTTATGTGTATATGTATCCGGGAAAAAAGTACTCACTTTTTTCCCGGGAAACGGGGAAAAAAGTAATTTCATAAAAAGTGACATTTTGTTACCTGCCAAAAGAGATAAAATGTCAGACTTTTTTCCTGTCACAGAAAAAAGATAATCTTTGATGTCCACTTTAGCAAAAAAGGAAAATATTTTTCCTTGATGAAATTCGATAAAGTATTTTGCAACATAAAAAATGTTTGTTCCAAACTTTTTAATATAATTTTGTTGGTAATAAAGCATTTTTAATTTAGGGAGGAATATGCCTTTGTTTTCAATAGAAATATTTATACAAGGTGGACCATAAGACATAGAGTAATCACAAATTGTTTGGATCAAATTGAGGATTGAACCAAATATGCGTTAGTAAAAATTTTGATGTGGAATAAGATACAGGGTGTCAAAATTGACGTAATTTTTTCGTCATCAAGAATCGGTGTGGGGCCCTCTATACCAAAATTTAAAATCTTAAATAAAATCATATATCTTGTCTTAAATAATGCCCTTCTGCCAAATTTAGTAACAATTTTATAAGGAGTTTGAAATTCTTTATTTTTTCACTATGGCATATTTGGTACAATCTTCATATTTGATCGAAATAATTTCTGGTTACTCTATGTGTCATTAGTTTTGATCCAGCCTGTATAAAACCAAACTGCATGTGTCTAAAACAAAATTTGTATCTCAAATGAAGATTTTAAAAATATATTATATTTTTATTTAATAAATCACGCCATCTTAAAAATTGATACCTGTTTTACATTTATTACAATGTATGTGTCCTGTTGTTCATTTTATAAAAGGTGTTTTGAAATTTTTAATGGAACATATCTTTTTAAATTATTTGAAAGTACTCTTTAAGGCAAATACAATGATATTAAAATCTAATACTGATGGGTAACTCACTTCAAAGTATTGTTCCTGATTTTGTATATATTCTCTTTCATAAATTACTACTGTTTTAACATATTACATTTTACTTCCCATTTCAAAGATACAAACTGTAAGAAACTACATGAACTACCCTGTATATTTTATTCTTCTAAAAATATATTGGTAAGGTAGAAAGAGTTATGAAATTAGGTTTTTAAGATTCAATTATAGTAGATAAATATTATTATTTTTGACTTTATTTTTTATTATAGCTTACTGGCGATCTTCCTGATTTAGTGGTAAATGCAAATCCTACACATCCACCGTTTTCTCTAGAAATTCTCCAAAAACTTCTCCAAGACTCAATAAATTTTAATGTTACTTGCTATCTGCATTCATCAGTCTCAAAATTGACAGATAATGCACAAAAATTGGAACAATCTTTACTTAGTCATAAAGAGAAATCTGGGATACCCAAAATTAATATCAGGCTGATTTGGAAAAATGGTAAGTCAAGACCCATATTAATTATTTTTTTTTGTTTAAATATATTTATATCGTTTCTGAGTATAAAAACAATTAAAACTGTATTTATTCAAAGGTTCGGTGGCCTAAGAGCTAATAAATAAGTAATTCAAGTTATTACTCAATTTCATCAGTGCACTCTGTTGAGCACACTTATTATGTTATTTCCTCCATATTTTTTACAATTGCTTTAAGCTATGATGTATTAATGATCATTACCCAACCCATCAAAAGAAAAATAATCTTAATTTGAATTTTTTGTCATTGACATTTGGAGCAGTACTTTTCATGGCGTTAATGCAACTAAGTAAATTAGCATATAATGTTCTGAGTATGCCTTATTGATGTTTTCCATCGCCACTTTAGGAACAGCACTATTAATTGGAACCCAACAGTGAATGATATTCGATTTACCTAGGTATTAATTTATTATTAATTAATTAGATGCTCCAACCATTAAAAACGGTATAATTTGGCATTATAAAAATATCTAACAACTAGCTGTTGCCCGCGACTTTGCTCGCTTGTAGTCGTGTTATTAATATAAAAAAATACATGACTTCCTTTTTAATTAATTTTTATTAGTTTGATTGATTTTCATTCATTTTTATTAATTTTTCTTTATATTTATTAACCGACTTCAAAAAAGGAGGAAATTCTCATTTCGTCGCGATATTTTTTTTATGTATGTTCAGCGATAATTCTTTAACACGGTGTCCGATTTCAATAATCCTTTTTTTGATGGAAAGGGGGTACTTCAGGGGTGGTCCCATATAAATTTGTTTAAAATCTAAAAATTGGGTCCATGAGAAAATCCTCAAACTCTTCATTTTTTTTATGTATGTTTAGCGATAATGCTTTACCACCTTGTCCGATTTATATGATTGTGGTGGGTGGTCCCATATAAATTTGGTTAAGATGTGGTGATGGCATCTGCACGTTTTTGAAGTCGTTTTTTTTTTTTAAATTTTTAATTTCTAATACTTGTTCATATTTATTTATTTTTACTCAAATTAATTATTTTTATTCATTTTTATTAATTTATTATTTTTTATTGATTTTTATTAATTTTTATTAATTTTTAATATTTTTTTTTTTTAATTTTAGTTTATTTTTATGATACTACCAGAGCACTTCAATATTTATTTATGTTACAATTATAATTTTCAAGTTCCAACGTTCAAAAAATTTATACTTCTATACAAATTTTCACCCCCGTTTTCCCCCTTTAAAATGTGAAAATCCAAAAACAATGAAACATATCATTTTTGATTTTTAATCAGTAGCTGTAATTCAAATTTTTATGTTTCAGACTTTAAATAACAAAAAAATATATACATACTATTAAACAAATTTTCATCCCCTATTTCCCCCCTTAAAATGTTAAAATGCCCAAACCCTGAAACACTTCATTATTTATTTATGATTGAGAACCTACAATTCCAATTTTCAAGTTCCTACCTTTAAAAAAAATAGATATTTCCAAATAAACTTTCACCCCTTGTTTTCCCCCCTTAAAATGTGAAAATCCAAAACCCTAAAACACGTCATTATTAATTTGTACTCATTAGCTGAAATTCCAATTTTCATGTTCCTAACTTCAAAGAACAAAGACTTTAATAAAAAGTTCCTTCCCCCCATTTCCTCACATTTACCCCCTTAAATAAAGTTCAAATTTTCAAAAATCCTTTCTTAGCGAATGCTTACGTTATAAAATAAACCTATGTTCCAAATTTCAGCTTTCTAGACTCAGTAGTTTTGCCTGTACGTTCATAGGTCAGTCAGTCAGTCCAAACAATTTTATATACAGGGTGTCCCAATGAAAATAGCCTGTTTCCAGAGCTTATAACTTTTAAGCGCCTAATCGTAGAAACGTGCGGTTTTCGCTGATATGTTATTTTGCTATAAGTTTTGGTTTAGTGACACAGAAATTATGTATTACTACAGGGTGTTTTTTAAAAATCTCTTAAATTCACCGTAACCAAATTTTATCAAATTTATTTTGTAAAACACCATGTACAAATTATACATTTTTGAAAAGTAGAAGAGTGTATCTTTCAGATGACCTAAACATATACAGGGTGTTCCATTTGATAAAATTGGGACACCCTGTATATAGATAGATATAATTAACCCAATAAAAGTTCTATTTTCACAAACTCAAACAACTTCAATTTTAAATCATCTTCTTGGAACGTAAATTTTAAGCGAAAATTGACATCGAATCCATTCTCCTTAGTTAAGTTCTGTGATACCTCTGCTGGTTTCCTATCGTAAAATTTATTTTTATTATTTACATTATAAAATAATAAAATAAAATAAACAAAATAATTTGAAGAAAAACATTAAATGTATTTTTTAGTTAGTGTCGACACAGAATTCATAGTATCCCACAGTCCAATCCAAGGAGAAGTAAATCTTTTAAGGTACTTAACCAGGGCGATCCCATGTCAACTATCTTACGATTCGTACTTCGATTGCATAGAAATCGACTCCATCTTAGACATTTGTTACCTAATAGTACGGGCAAAGACGAAAACAGAACGTGCAGGTCATCTAGTAACTCTCAACAAATATTTGGGGAAATCACAATGGCTAGGAGGAAGGAAAACGCTGGGCGTGGCCGATGTTGCTGCTTACTCTTCTTTGAAACAAGCTGCCAGTAGTAACGAAATTAATTCCAATTTAACAAAATGGTACCAGAGATGTGAAACTGTTGCATAAATTTTTTAATATTTTATTTTTACCAAACTTTTTTATTGCTTTTTATTCGATTGGAAATACTGCGAACTAAAATTTTATCTATATAATAAAATATTTTTATTTCATTTCGTATTTCATTTCTATCAAAACTCCACAAATAGCAGTTTATAACCATAAGATATTTGATAATATTATTTGGACGACAGATTGAATAGGTATGGCTTAAATCTCATTTACTGGGACACTCATATGGCTAAATGGTTATTTAACAAACAAGTGTATTAATAAGGGCGATCAACAATCGAGATAATTTGACGCGCGAGCAAAGCGAGCGCGTTAATGTTCGAGATTGTTAATCTTCATTTTAATTCACGATTTCGTTACAGAACTTTTCCGTCGACCGTACTTTTCAAAAATAAAGATATCTTTTAAGAAATAACGACTTACAATGACAGATAGTATTAACACACCTTGAATTTGGTATGTTTGGTTGCCTACATCATAGGTAACTGTCAATATAAATGTATAATAATAGTAATGTACGTTGGGTTGCATATAATAAAATTGTTGTCATTCATTAATAAACGATTTTGAGTGCGTTTTAAAATACATCATAAATGGTCGGTCGACGGAAAACGTTAGTTATTCATCTGGTTGACAGAGAAAGGTTGACATGTTCGCTGAATCAGCATGAGAAAAATTTGTGTAGACATTAATTGACTTCTTAAGATTTTACTGATATGAGCATTTAAGATTTCAATTTAAGTAAGCAAGGTGATTATAATTGTTGATTCACTTTGTGTATTCAATAGAAAATTGTTAAAAAGTACTATACTACGTTACCAGTAATAGACAGTGAGAAAATTTCAGGAATGTGAAACAGAGTTGCCATATATTGGAAGGAGAATTTTTCTTTATAAATATGCAAATAAAATGTTTAAAATATATAATTGTTCCTTAACACTATATTATATCATACTTAAGATCATTTGTCTCGGAACTAAATAATAATATTTAAATTTGAGGCACGGTATTTAAACCTTTTTTTTTTAATCAAATTAGACCCGGCTTGTACCGTTAAACAATGTACATCTGACATCCGTGCTAACCTGTTTGGTTCAATTTGTATTGCGTTGCCACATGTACTTGTTTTAGGTTATTTTTTTCAGTTTTTAGTAATAAAATGCAATAGAATACAAGTATAATACGACAAGGTATGAAATGTCATCCTCGCATTCATGGACGTACCTCTTCGTCCCTAATAGGAAACAGTGTCGTAGGTGAATGTGTTAACGGACAGATTGCGGTATTTTTATTTAGTTTTTCTTTTAATTTTTTTTAAAAAACTCAGCTGTATCAAAACCCTTCTGCGAAACGGGATCATTTTTGGAAAGCGGAATGTAACTTGATAAAAATGTATACAATGGCAGCTTTAGCCGAGGACGTTTTTCTAAAAATTTGCTACAAAAGGGAGGAGCTGGAAGATGAGGACTTTTTTATCACTAAGAAAGGATCTGATTTGCTTGAGGCTTTTTTTTTTTTAAGAAATTAACATCGAAAGGGCTTGAATTTTTATACAATGTCCCCGGGCTCCGTTAGGCTCTCCGCGACCCTGTAGGTCCGGTTTGCTCTTCTCAGAATAAGGTTGTAAATGTTTTTTGGACTGAACACTCAACATTAGTGCGTTTGTTAGCGAATTATCAGCGTGTTTTCTTTGCATCGTGCGGTAGCTTTACGACATCGTACAAATCTGACGAACCTGGGCCCGTTGTTGGCCCGGGCCCGGCCCGTTACATCTATACGCACCTTAATTAATAACTGAAATAAACAACAAAATGTAACTGTTTTTATTAACATTTTATTAAACAAAAAAGGAACTCTTTATAAAATGATATGGCAATACTGAATATAATATTCCTAATAATTTATGCTTATATCTATAAATTAATTTACACATTTTTTTAACCCTACTTTATAAAACCGACATTTTTTATCACTGGGTTATATTATTTTTCCTATAATTAATCGTTATGCTTAATTGCATAGCATTTAGAAAATTATATTGTTTGTATACAAAGACAGAATGTATAGTGAAATCATTTTACTTCTTTTAGAACTTGCCCAAAACGGTCTAAGAAAATTTCAACATGATTTTGTTGTAGAGTCAGGGACGGTCTAAATCTGATAGCATTATCACCAGATCCTCCAGAAAGAATACCTAAAAAAATACGAAATATTAGAAATGTGAATATTGTGTAATATTTCGAAATATGTATAAAAATAACGTTTTTTGTTTATATTTTCTGTTTTTGTTTTTATTTTATGTTTTAGATTATAATTTACTCATTTCTATGACGGTCTAGGTCCGCTAGTACTACTTTGAAATGAACATTTACCTTTCTTCTTTAGATTTCCAACAAGTTTGTCCCTAAGCGCAGTTGTTGAAGCGTTTACAGCCAAAAACGTCCCTCTTCCTCTAACTGAATTCAATAGCGACGGATATTCTTTTTCGTAATCGTGTAAACCAGACTTCAGTTTCGCTCCAACCGAGTTCACTTGATCTAAGAGATTCTGTTGCTTCAATACGTCTAAAAATGCTTCTAATAGAAATAGCTTGCCTGGATCTCCCAGCCATGTGTTATAAATTCTGTAGGGTTGAGCCGGTCTGGAATAAAATAGTACATAAAATATCAATAAACTAAAGTGTTTTTTTTTTCAAACTGTAGATGGAGGTTATTAAGATATCCATAGTAGTTGGTATATTGAGAATAGAGACACAACTCAAAAATTTCCATTTTTTTAAGCTTGTTAAAATGTATAGCATAATCCGAATATGTTTATGTGGAAGAAGGACATTATGTTGCTACTTCCAAAAATTACCACTGAAAAGCGTTATGACGTTCTTACCGTACTACAAAGTAGCGAGTTTATGATGATGAAGAGTAACACAAATTTAGTCGTATTCCGACAGTCAATGATACAAGATCGTATCATTTCGACTAGACTGACATAAATCAAAATATGCCAGTTTTATTAATAATAAACTAAGAACACTATTTTCAATAGTAACAAAATTCAAATTAGTACATTATTGTTGAAAATGGCATCAATATGGTGTGAAATATACTTTTCTGGAAGATCGTCAGAACTCGAAAGAGAGTTTTTTCTTAATATTATCAAAGCAATCTTATATAGTTTGAATACAAGGTCAACAATAATGATAGTTCCCAAAAAAGATTTAAACATTTTTAAAATGCAAGCTTTACAGGAAACAAAAAAGTTTAAATTGGGTGTCCTGGAAAATCTATATTTTTGAATTGCGTAACTATTTTTGTGTAACAACGTTGTGTTATGCGTCATTTAATATTGTTTAAAACTGGCCTTAAAAATCGGCTAATTTTAGTTTTATTTATTATTAACTCAAAAACTACACAACTATTAATAATTTTCAAAATAGGTCCCAGAGCGGCATCAAATTCTCTAAAACATTCCCTATTTAACCGACTTTCTATTATTTATTTTAGCAAGATACCAATATAGAGACTAGAATTTCGGACATACTGTATATTTTTGATATACAAAATGAAAGGAAATTTAAATATTAAAAATTAGGATGATTTGGAGGCTTAAAATAAAAAGTACATATAAAGTCTATTTAATTTCTAAAACTAAACAAATTAGACAACGTTGTACGCATTTCAAATTAATATATAATTAATAAATTTAACAGGAATTAATTTAGAAAAATATAAATAAAACTTTTGTGCAAAGAAAGAATAAATAAAACAAATTTCGTGTTGAAAGTTGACGACTAGATTAGACAAAGGATCTGCTGAGTAATTAAAAATAACGTTGCCTAAATTTAGTCACAATATCAACCTGAGCATTTATCGGGGTGGGTAGAATCCCACCAAATAGCCTCTTCCATTTACATAACAGCGTATATGCCTGTCGTAAAAGACGACTTAATTAATAGGGGTATTTAGAGACACCTCTCGTCGACATTATCAATCAGCAGTCTTTTTGGCAAGCTGAAAGGCAGACCCTACATGCCCCTGGAGGGTGCACAGTGTCCTAACTGGTTCTGCACCACACATATACAGAATAATTAATAATACTTGTTTGCTGTTTATAGAATGACACTCATTTGAACGTACTTCTGGTCGATATTGTGGTAAAATCCCCCAGTAATCATCTTCTTGCTGAAAGTTACAATATCTGGTGGGGTTTCTAAGTCAAAATGTTCATGGCACCACATCTTGCCCGTAGGGCCTCCGCCCGTTTGTACTTCATCTATCAGCAAACCAGCACCATACTTCTTGGCTATCCTCTGGAGTTTTTGGAAGAATTCAGGTGAGGCTTCATTATCGCCTCCCTCTGATTGAATTGGTTCTACGACTATACCAGCAACTGGACGTCCTAAAATATTATACAAAATGAACTACTGTACATAAATAAATCACTTAAAGAATGCTGCTTAATTTATGAAAAATACTGATCTATACCAGTAATCTTGTTGACTGCAATTGCCAGTAATACTACAAGATTGCATACATAGGTTACAGTGTGTGTAGAAAAAAAATACGACCAGGGCTCATAACATTTTCTTATATTTAAATATAACATTTCGCAACATGTCCATGTCCTATCCATTTGTGTTAAACCCACACATTAAAAAAATGCAAATTACCCATCCTACAAGCTAAATATATTGCCTTCAAACCATGTGAAACGTCACGTAGCCAGTTACTGATAACATCCAAACCACATTCCTTTGTATATTCTATCTCTCATATTGCAGCATTTTCTCTCTCCCACTCAACAAAGCTAAAATAATTTAACAAATTCTAGAACACTAATTGGACATGCCCTCAAAATACAAGAAATGATGAGTACCCTTCTCACCATCTCATCGCCGGCAGCGATGCAGTTATTTTCCCTACGCTTCTTTTTATTCTAGGTTATCACCACTCCAGCAACAATGCCTCAACACGCATCTCGTTACTCAGATTTTACTTTCTAGTCTACAACAAGCGAGAAGTTTCGGGGTCGACTTTTTTACCTTTGAAATTACACAATTTTGTTATCATCCACAAAGCGTGAGAGTGAAATACAAAGTGTTGTCGTGTAAACATTTATGTAAATAAGTTGCATTGTCCGTTTTTAATAATGGACCATTCCCGTTATTCGACAATTTCGCATTACTCATGCGCGAAAAAAAGGGCGGGAATATTGAATCTAGTAATTTTCCCAATTTTCCAAACAACTTATTAGCTGTTAGCTTTCTTATTGGCTACGACGATGTCGACGATTACCCCATGTCATCGTTAATTTAAACAACTGTCATCGAGTCTACATAGTAGGGGACCCAGTGATTGTTTTTTTTTACACATTTGCACAAGGCTGAATTATAATTGTATCGTTAATTCTTACCAGCTATGGAGCGCTCGATGACGACGTTTTCACAAAGCCAATATAAAAAATAAAAATAGAAAAAAGTTTGCTGCCATCTTGGTAGAGGTGGAAATCTTTCAAGTTTGAAAAATAAAACTATTATAATAATATGTTTTATTTACGCAGGGCTCATTTTTTTTGTTATAGAATAATATAATATATATTATTAATGAAAATCGTTTGCTGCAATATATCTGGCGGTGAAATGCCCTATCAGCAAGCAAGAAGGTACTGTGAATCGAATTTCAAGAAGGTACCAGCAAACTTTTTTCTATTAACTTTTGACGTAAATAAAAAAAATACGTGTGGCACTCGGGGACTGCCGCGGTAAAGCTATTGCATAGCATTTTTTATCTTATGCAATTATATTTATTTATTTATTTTATTTATGCAGTTTTTTTTTGCTTTGATATTAATTCAAGTTTTTTCTTTGATATTAATTCAAGTTACACTTTTTTTCGATTTAACGATTATTCGCTTTTTCGATTATTCGATTTTTTTGATTTTTCGATTTTTCGAAACATAAGGCGGGCAACAGTATTTAAGATAAAATGTATGAGAAGTTAAATAATGTCAAAACGTGGAATTAAAATGTATTAACAAAAATAATTAATATAATTGCGATTGTAATTTATATTTTCTTTATTTTTAGTTCAAAAGAATACAGATATTAATGATTAACCTTCGGGCAGGCGCATGTATCCCTCAGATACATCGTAATTTTCTTTTCATTTGTACTACCGCGTTTAAAGAGCAAGACCTTTCTGCTCCTACCTTCCTGGCTCCAGTGGTCCTATGTAACAGTAATAACAGTATGCCATGTGACTTCCAAGTGGTCAGCCGTTTTGAGATAATGATATTTTCTATCTCACAGTTACACACGACAGTTTATGTAAGTTATTTTTAATTCATATTTTTTTAGTTCATTTACGGTTTTTGAACGTTTGCTGCTATAATGTATAAATATGCTTGCAATATATTTTTCTATTATCATTCTATGTTACAATATAATGATAAGATATTATATGTATCTAAGAGATACATGCGCCTATGTATGTTGTATTTATGTTTTAATTTAAATGGCACCAGGAAAAAAATACAAACTAAATAACGAAAATGATTGTGAAGACTTGAAAAATCTACTGGTACTGATGTTTAATTTATTTTATACCAAAATATGGTAGTGAGATACATGCGCGCCTGTTCATGTAACTTTGTGAGCGCGCCTGCCGGAAGATTAAAACTGGTTTCTTATCAATAAGTCACAAGATTGCTTTTTAAAGCCTTTTGTATGCCTGGATAAAATTCACAATGTTTGGACGCTATATTATTAATGGACAGCTCACTGTGTACAGGATTCTCTTTTGTACTTTAGTTAGCTATCCACGTTGATATTTAGCTTCAAAATTGTTGATTTCAAATTTTTCCACTATTTTCATTTTCTAATCGGTAGTTTTTAGTGTAAGAGGCTTAATAAAGAAGAACTAACACTAGAGTCTTCGGAAAAGCGTGATGTAAGCGACGTAAGATATGGAATAAATACATTCAACCTATAATATTCTTCAACTGTATTAGCCTGAATATTATTTCTATGAGATTGTTGTCCCCTAATTCGTGGCATCTTGATTTCTAAACCTGTGATGTTACCTATTCTGTTTCCTTAAACAATTCAATCAGCACAGAGATTATTATGTGTGAACTTGCCACGTCACGTGTTGAATAGAGAGAGACATTATATAAGAATCGCAGTCTGTCGAACGATGATAGGCGTCTCGACTTATGCTGTATTGAAAGGTGAGAATCCCACTGCAGTCAAAGACTAGGTACCTAACATATTATGCGTTGCGTTTGTTATGCGTGCACGGTGACAACGAAAATATGAGCCATTGCCAGTTGTGTTAGTTCCGTAATTTTACCGTATACACCGTTGTCAAACTGTGGCACACAGTACCTATATACCTAACGAAATATCAGTAATGCATGTCTTATGCGTTGTTGATTAAGTCGTAAAAGCCAGGGAGGGGAAACTGCCCTCCCCCCAAACGACGCCCATGTACACAGGCTTTTTTAAGACGTCTTCATCGAGGGCTCCGGATTCTATTTTCGTTAAGGTAAGAATGTACGATGTAATTGTAATTTTGCCTTCCGCAAGTAACACACAAAGTGCCACTGGCTTCCCTACCATTACTATCAAAAGCAAAAACAAAACAACATTTGCGGATGTGTAATACGTTAGTTCGGTGTGATGTCATTTTGGTTCCACTGACATGTAATTCTAACCAAACTTTTAACAAAAACATTAATAAATTTGACATACGTTTTTACTGTTTTAAGTTTATTTCTAAACATTGTTTACAGGTCATAAAAAATAGTTTAAAGGTATGTAATTGGTAACTAAACGATTGTATATTTGATGCATGTTATCTACTTACTTTAGGAATATATTTATAAAAGTGAAAAAACGATATAATTTAGGTAAACAAAACGCACTCAAAAAATCTACTGTCACTTTAATTGTCAGTGGAACCATAAACCATAAATAAATCATCCACATACTTTGAATCAAAGTATGTGAAATAATCACTGAACTAGCGTATTGGAACTCAGGGTAGGAAACATAACAACAAATTTTGATGATTTTAAGCGGAAATAGAATTTGCGCATGAGTAATTTTAAGTTGTTTGAAAAATAATGTTATTTTAACGACTTCTCTTCTATACACAGTTAAAAAAGTATCAATTTAGGATTCACCCTGTATACAAACTAAATTAGGCAGGTCGCGGCTCTACATAAAAAAGGTACAAGTATACCAACCTTTTTTATTGTACTCTTCTATTAATTCCTCGACTTGAGCCAAGCACTTATCATCTTCAGCTTTATTCTCTTTAAAATGTTCTTCTAGCGGATATTTATACTTGGGAAATGAAGCAGTAGGCCAGTCAAATGCAGGTACGTCCAATTTATGTATAGCTTTGGAATGTGTCGTTGATAGCGTACCCATGGTCCTCCCATGAAATCCGCCATGGAAAGATAGAAGGGTTAAATCAGGTGCTCCTGGCGGCTGATTCACCATACAGGAAGATTTTTCTAATTCTGAGAAATCGACGTTTTCGCCTCTTTGGTGTTTCATGTAGGTCATGAATAAGCATTTGAAAGCGTTTTCATTTGAGCAAGACCCACACATCATTGTCATGACGTTGGGAAGGCCTGGCGATACGGACAAGAGTACGTCTTTGAGTTTTTTGGGCCAATATTCCCCTGGAAAGGATCCTAATGCTGGTCTGTTAACAAGAGCTTTCTGTAAAAGGAAATATTAGTTTTTATATTTGTTGTGTTTGCCCGTTTATTAATCATACCAGTCTTTTTTCATCTTTGAACACGTTTAACATTGCTGGATGGTTGTATCCAATAGGCATTGAAGAAATTTGCATGAAAATATCCAAGAATACATTTCCGTCAACATCTGTGATGTAGTTTCCAAGAGATTTTTCGTAATCGGCGAAAAATTGAACTGATGAGCTTTGCTAAAAAAAATAATTAGCTAATTTAGCTTAAATTTATATTTATCTGCTTGTTTGAAGCAAACTATATTGCTTAATTATTATTGATCAATGTGGATACATTTTATAATAAAGATTTCAGAGATTACTTAGCTATTCATTGGGCTTTAATATGCCATAATAGTCTGACGTAATTTGTGTTCCACTGACAGTTAAATTTTACCAAAAAAAAAAATATTCTTACGAATTGAGAATCTCCTCCTTTTTTGAAGACTGTCAAAAAATATTCTATCATTGAAATAGATATTGTTTTCTAAATATTGTTTGCTGGACGTAAAATAGTAGTTTGTGCAACAAGAATGGATATGGACAATCCACTCGAGTTGTACAGTATATTTTTTTACGACCCACTAACGACAATCTACAAATTTAAAAAATTATTTTAGGTTATTAAGACAAAATAACTAATTTTAAAATAATTTATAAAATTTACTAATTTATAAAATAAAATGAACATAAAAAAGATTTCATTTAATTGAATCGTTCATTTCAAAAACCACATAAGTCAAAATAGTTAATTTTTCAGTAGAGCGAAAAAACTGTTTTGCACAAAAAGTATCTTTATAAAGTGAAAAAACGTATTTTTTTTTAATATAAACTACATGACTATAACTAATGTTGATGAAATTACTATAAACATATGAATGGTTTTTTCATAAAAAAAAAAATTATAAAATGACTTGTTTGGTTTTTACACGGAATTCTATTTTGAGGAATTAAATTTTAATTTTAAAAATAAATAAACAGAAAAATATTAAGATAAATGGTTTATTTGAGTTTTTTTTTAAATATAATACGTCAGTTAAATAATTAAAAATAAAAAGATTATGGAACATAATCAAATTCTTCGTCGTTTTCGACATCTGGACCGTCATTTTCCTCTCCAGTTGGCCAGTTGAAAATTCCTTCATAAAATGGAATATGTTCTTGGATGACACTATTTTTCACTCGTTTGATATTTTCTATCTTTTTGGGATTTATGGGAACACTGCCGGCTGGATATGCATTTTCTGTGGGTAGTAAGATGGCACTTGCTTTGTTTCTGGTCAAGTCAAATGTATGTCTACGTAAACCATCTATAAACTCATGAACAACCACTACTCCTTTTCTATTTTTATCATACTGGAATGCCATGTAACAAGATAGTGAGAATGACTGTTTCAGTTCTTTTGGAATGTGCTTACCAAAGCTCTCATCTGACAAACATACTTTTTTATAAAATTTTGGCCACCATTTAGCAAAATCTAAAATTTGTTCTGTTGACAACATAAAGACTTTAAAATTGGGGCTTGCTTCTGACATAATCTTATAGTACTCATTAGGAACATATATACGGTCACACTTTTTAATCTTTTTTTTCACAACTCCGAAGTCTCGATCGTTGGGAAGAAAAGAATGTCCTCTTATAGGGAAATAATGCGTTACTTTCGAAAATCGGCCTGTGTCTGTCAATGATAGTAAAAATCGTATGACTGTATGATTTTTATTTTGGCCTGGACAGTTATCTGAGAAGAGTATTACTTCATTAATATTTTCTCCTAAAAAGTTGTCCATGTAATGTAGAAGCATTGAACAAACTTCGTTTGCTCCTTTGTTTGCTATGCCTTCATGATATACATAAAACACAGTCTCATTAGTCTTCAAATTTTTTATCCCAAAACAATTAACCCATAGCTGTCTCAGATAAAACTATTTCTTGTATGGGTAGATGCGGCAAAGGTAAATTTTGCATGAAGTCAAAGGTCAAGCATGCAACGTCATCCTGACTAGTGCAAATTTGTTTTACTGCGGCGATTTTGTTATGAAATTTTTTTGCCCGCCTATTGTGAACTGCCTTTTCGGCTTCAAATGCTTTCTTTGCGTTAAAGCCTAACGTAGGGCTTTTTATTTTTACCTCTAATTCTTCACATTCAATACATGTATCTATCTGGGGTCGTCCAAAACGTAGAGAAAATGTTGTTTTAAAATAGTTTGCATAAAAAGCATAGGTAACTTTCAATTCTGGAAATTTTTTTCTGAACATAGCATGCATTGTTTTGACATCTAGGCGGGCATCTAAATATTCAATTTCTTTGCCTGAATAGTGCGTTCGTTTTCGAGGAAAATCAAGAATGTGGTCATGAATAGCTTTTAAAACAGTAGGAGGTGTGGTGTTGACCTTTTGATGTTGGCCTCGTTTGTCGTGCGGTGTAATGGATTGTTGCAGTAAGGTACTAAGACGTCTAACTCGGTTTTCGGTGATGCCGTATATAGAAGTAAATGCTTTCTTACAGACAGTTTCCTTTTTGTTTTGAGTATGTACACAATATTTAAAATGATAAACCCTTGGTATTGCACCTTCTTTGCGAAATCGATGACATTTTACAGGATCTTTTTCAATCAGCTGTTGTAGATAGATGTCTTGTTCATTTTTATTTAAAAATCCATTTATTTTGTCAATACAAAAGTCTAGGTCTTCTCGAGTTAGTCGTTCAAAGCATGACATCTTACACCTAAAACAATGCAACATACGTACTATCAATAAGATGGACGGTTTATACCTCTGATAAATGAATAAAGGAAAATGATACATCTAAAACATTTTCCTTTATAATGATCGATATTAGTTGCAGAGAAAAACTTACATGCAGTCCGGTCCAGTAACACGAGCTGGTATAATATTTCCAGACCAGTTTATATGTTGGAGTCCTTTAACTTTTGACATTTTAATAACGTTCCTCTTATAAGTTTTAGAACGTCTTTGCCTTTTTTTTAAAGGTTCAGGTTCGCTACGTTCACTTGATGCTTCAGAATCAGACATATTTTCTACTGAAAACTACGCTTTATACGTCTAGAACAGTACAATGCACATACTAGAATGCCGGCGACTAGCAAATAATAATATGTAAACAAATGATCGCCATATTTGGTCCCCCACCACACCGCCCTAATAGTCCGCGTAAGAACAACGCTAGCAGAGACAACAGAGACGTGTAACTTAATAGGAAAATATGTTCGGTGGTCCATTTAAATTACATATATGACCCTCTTTTTCTTTTACATTGATCTTTACATAAGTCTATCTCTCTCCAATAAAACTAACACCATTTTCAGAGGGCGCTGGTGTTGCTGGTTTTTTGACGTCGAAATATCGATTAAAAGTATTAAAACTGACAATGTTATGAATGTTGTTATGAACATGTGCATTTTATTAAAATTAATTTAATTTGGGCCCCGTATATTTCTTTTAGTCTGATTTTGTTGTTTAATTATTTTTCTTTGCGGGGAATGTTTATTTTTGCATATTATTTTTTGCATGAAGCAATTTCTGGAACCAAACTCGCGTTTTTGTATACATTTCTTTCTAGAGGTAAGTAATTTCCAATTTATTATGTATATGTGTATAATGTGTGTGTTTAATAATATATTACACAATGACTATAATTATTTTAGGTGAATTGGAACAGAGATCCATTGTTACAGCTACTTGTGTTCATTAAGTAGGTAGATGAATGTCTGGACAGCTTTAATGGCAGCACAAAGTTCCTATCTACTAGAAAAGTTAAATGTATGCTGAGTAAAAAATCTGCACATGTAGTATTGGCAAAGGACTTTTGAAATGATTAGAGATTAGCTATTTCTTACATACACCTACCTCTAACAGCCACTCTAAAGGAAGAAAAAAAAATTGAATCACAAAACGGCAGAATTTTAAATCAGGATGCATTGGAAAATAAATTTGGGGACATCAGGTCGGTTTTGGATTTTATAGAGAGATCAATCTCAAGAAAAGTTAATTTATCCTGCAGAACAACCAGTAGTTTAAGTAGGATTTGCTATAACTTTATTAGAAATTTTCTTTGATAATAAATTGTAATATAGGTACCAATTATTGTTTCAAATGAAATTGAAAAAGAGTTAAATATGAAATTAGATTTTTCATGAGTAAAATGTTATATTAATTCGAACATTGTAAGGTAATCTATAATTAAGGGAATATGGAAAATAGGTATACCCTGGTGGTGTAAGAGAAAGGTAAGGGGCAATGACAAAAAAATTACCAAAATATATTTATCTTTAAATAGTGTTTATTATTAATAATATTATTTGCTATGTTTGAAAAGTACCTCCTGCTGCAGAACAGATCGAATAGATTAGACTACTAGTTGGAGAAGGTCCACCTAGTAACCAAATTAGGAGACTAGGAAAACTTTTACATTACTGGGGACACAACAGGAATGCACACACACAAGATACACAAACAAAATAACGGGTAAGCCTTCAGCAACGTCCTGTTTAAATGATAGTATGTCATCCTTCATTCCATTTTAGAAGGCATGACATATAAATCTATTGATCTTGATTACCCTAAGAAGAGTTAGCAGGGGGTGTACGGAATGGGTCTAGCAGGTTTCGATCCAGTTTACAGGATGGGAACTCGACTCAGGCCTTATACATTTGTGTTGAGTGTACATGTGTTTGTTTCATTTCCATGGTTTCTATTAAAATAAACAGTCATAACATATCGATACCTTTTTGCCAGACTAACATAAGCGACATTTGTTCAAATGGCACTTATGATAGTCTGGCAAAAAGGTATCGATATACTCTATGCTTTATAAAATATTTGTTACATTAGTTTTTAAATATATTATGAATATATAACAACTGTTACTTTCTTTGTAATTTGTCACAAAATGATAAGAGGTACTTTCTAAACATAGCAGTTTGTTTTTCTGTACCTTAAAAAAATATAATTTATAGAAAAAGAGTTTGGTGTATTATTTTTCCAAGTTTAAATATTTAATCATCAATAGAATTTTCAAGTTTTTTTAGCGAAATTTACAAGAGTAATAAAAACTATGTTCACTGCTTATATTAAACTGATTAAAACTTCCTTTATTAAAATGATTATTTATATGATAAAAAATTTGATGATATTGGAAGCTTTTATATTTTTTAATAAACAGTGAAACAGTTTTTGTTTCTCTTGTAAATTTGTTGTATACAAAAACGATTTCTGAACCATGTTTGAATTTCCCGCCCTAAAGCATTTTTAATTTTCCCGCTATTTACTAGTGGCGCCATCATAGACTGGTTGTGGTTACAATCGCCCAAATAAGTTTTACCGAACAAAAAAAATACATTGAGTTACACGTCTCGCTGGATTGTCTCTGACGCTAGTCACAGACTTATGTGGTTTTTGCAGCGAATACTGAAATTGAGAGCGAAGTAGGCAATTAACGGGCTATGGGACTTGTGTGGTTTTTACACTGAAGATGTATTTACCCCCGTAGATGCGGTTCGTAGTAAAAACTCAAATTGGCAAAAAAATGACTTATGTGGTTTTTGAAATGAACGATTCAATTAGTCTCCAGCCCAGATTCGAACCCGGGCTTTTCGCGTGGAAGGCAGACGGTCTGTTCTTACCTCCACGGCCACTTACAGGATTTTAATTTTATTATTCGTACTTAAATTAGTTTTATATAGTTTGACTATTTTTTTTTTCAAAATGTGAACAAATAAAAATGCTATTATTTATAGATTCTACACAAAAATAACTCATTTTAATGTATATTTAATCTCAATAACTAAAAAATATACTGACAATTAGACTTATTTTAAATTGTAAAAATAATAGTAGTTGGGTGGCCAAAATATGAACTGTGATTGGTGGATTTAATTTTTTTACAGTGTTCTCAAAACCGAGAATGGATATGAAATATATTCGTTTAGTTGAAGGCAATAGAGTAATTTTTCGTTCTGTAGTCTGTGCGTAGATAAGCTAATATCCATGTGGGTGTGGAAAAAAGTATTTTAAAGGTATGTAACCAAATTTTTTATCTTGAAAATAACAGAAATAAAATATGAATGTATATCTACTATGATCTATAATTTTTATTTTACCGTCATTGTCAGTGGAACGCAAATTACGTCATCACTAATATAGCGTTTAATGTGATGTTTGACAAATAACAAACAAAGGTCCTGTCAAACATCAGAATCGTCAGTTAAACGTCAAAAAATGACGTTTACAAAATAATCACGACAAATGCTTAAAATTTTCACGATAAACTTCGACATTAAGTAGATAATATAACATTGTTAATTAAAAAAGGGTCTTACCGTGACAGAGTCTAATTCTGCTATTAGTTTTTTGGATTTTGGACCTGGTATTTCCGACGTTACTATTTTAGGTTCTTTTGGTTCTCCTGATACAATTGAAGAGGCGGCTCGTGATGATCCTGTTAAAAAAAAAAATTATTTTATTACTTTCATTTAGGATAAATTAGCATGCTAAATTTCTGGTACATATGTGAAGGGGCGTTCTCATTGGTCTAGGAAATAGGTTAGTTACTGGCACTATATAGTAACTTGCAAGACAGCTACTAATCCAATGTTATCTGCATACTTGTAGTAGCAGTACTTGTTTCAGCAGACTGGAAAGGAAATTACTGCATAGGCTATTTTACTAGCCTTCCCCCACTACAATAAAATTTACTATCGACTCTACTAACCGAGAGATAAACAAATATCATGTTGTAGTGAATAAGATATATTTTAAGGGACACAGAAGGGTAAGATTATTTAATTAGGTATTTATAACTACAGATTGAATAATGAAATATATTGTTGTTCTTATGTTAACTATACAGTATTATGTTAAATTACTTATAAGGGGCTGGTTCATAAAGAGAGTAACTAAAACATTGTTAAAAAAATGCTTGTCATATTTTGAACATACTGTATTTTCGGGTGCCATTATGTATGTTAAAATTTTAGTCCATAGTGATTAAAAGTACATTATTAATCCCTAGGGAGTGTCATTTTATTTCTTGAAAATAGGGCATAAAAATAGTTTAAACTAAAAATGAAAAAAAAACGTGCATAGTCTAACGTCTAATTGAAGATGGCTTGATGCCGAAACCTTTCTGCTATTTCGAAAAAAACAAAATTGGTACAAGTTTTCTGTGCACACAACCGTTAACCTCTCTCAGTTGCTTTTAAAATTACAGGAAGTATATTTTTCCCATATACGGCAGTTTTGTGTAGGCAAACTAGAATAGCTTAAAATAGGATAAAATTAATGTTTTAATTTACAGTGATTGGGCGTATACATTCAGTCAAAAAAGAGTCTCACCAAATTTCAACTTCCGAAAATATATACAGGGTGGCTTATATTGCGGACGTAAAATTAAATATTTAAAAAATTCCTACTAGTCAAATAAAAAGCAGATGTGCTCACCTTTTCATTAGTGAGAGCTAGGTGCATAGGTTTGAAATACGATTTTAAACGATTTGTTTATCTGTATTTTAATTATAGTAAAATAAAACCATGGAAATCGTATTAAAAATAAAGTATTTTCAAAACCTATGCACCCAGCCCTCACTAATAAAAAGGTAAACACCTCTGCTGAATTTCATCTCCTTTTAATTTCTATTTGACTAGTTTTAGGAATATATTTTCGGACAATGTTAAAATTTGGTGAGACTCTTTTTGACTGAATGTACCTATACGTCCAATCATTGTAAATTAAAACGTCATTTTATCCTATTTTAAGCTATTCTGGTTTTTATGAGAATAGGGCAATATGTTCCCCTTAAGCAGACGAATTGTATGTTTCAACATGTGTCATGGGGTAACGGGATAGAACTGCTGAATAAAAAATGACAATACTCTTATCTTATTTGAGATTCATACAAACCTTTTGGTTCCTATTTTAGATCTATTTTAAATAAACGGTTTATTTTCGCCAGGTTGCATTTTTTCCATATCAACCCTTCCGCCGACACCAAAAAGGCTTGCAATATTATCTTAGATTCAGAAAAAAACGCATTTAAGATATATCCCATATTTTGTTGAAACAGATAATTATTCGGTCATGTGGTCGAAATCGTTACACCGGAAATAGCAAAACCGGACGACATAAAATGCTTGCAATGTGATTTCTTATTGTTATTGACATCTAGAAGCATAATGCCAGCAAAAAAAACGATCGATAATCAACATTACTTTGAATTTCACAGGTAACAAGACCGCTCCCACCACCGGGACGTACTGGTTGTTTACCCTCTTCCCCTGCTGCATCTAACTACAAATAACAAACAAAAAACGCGACGTGCCACATTTTACAGTCAAATAGGGGACTATAACGCATTTGCCTCTACTTACATCAACCACGATATTCACCGAATACGAACGACAAAATTTCTTGAAGGTAGGAATAGAGATAGAAAGGTTTGATAGCTAAAACAGTGATCGTATTTATGTATAATTAAAAACTCAGTGGTTTACGTTAAGTCTTAATATTTTAGGCGGATAATTCCCCAACTATTCTTTGGACCAGTATTTATTCTTATTTGTAATAAAACGACATTAAAATCGAGATGCCGTATGTTCAAATGCAAATATTTTGTAAAGTACTCACTTTATGACAATAAAACAAAAATATTATTAAAAAAAATATTTAAATAATTGACAAAAATCATTTACTAATTGTTTACCAACTTGTGAATACTTTTACTACCTACATTGATCTGTTAAAGTTCCCCTCGAAGGACCAAAATAGTTCATATTCAATCTCGAGTAATCGTTTAATTTTTTGTAACTCACATCATTCAAAAACATTTACGTATATAACCCGTATGCTTTTATTAACGTCAAATTCTTTCAATTAAATAACAACTTTTGATAATGGGCTTAAATTATACATAATAAATTTTAATCTAACTTAAATTATTATCGTAACAATATTGTTTATATTATCAATTGACAATAAAACGTTTTGTTCACGAGCCCCTTATCATTTGCGAATAATAATAAATTATAAAATATGTTTTAACGATTATTTAGCGTTAATTGTCGTTATTATTTTATTAGTTTAGACCGTTTAGAGCATAGTAAGAAAATAAAAAAATTTGAAAACAATTTAAAATAACTTTAGATGTAAATAAAGTGTTTACAAACACATCTTGACAAGTACATTGTTTTCGACAGTTTAACTTGTTTTAAATTGGAAAAAATATTTATGCAGAATAAATTATATTTTATTAGTTTATTTATTTATAAGTTATTTATCATAGATTAGATTATTTTGTCTAGTACGGCCTTTTCTAATAAATTAGTAGCCTTACTGTTTTTAGCTATTTGTCATTGATTTTTTTTTTCCAAGTTTAAGAAATATTTTTTTCGGATACCCCCCCTATGTTTTTGTAAAATAAACATATCATAGTGAAATTAGGAAAGAAAAAAAACAGCATTTATACTTGGGGTAACAATCTACCCCGCACCGTATTCCGAAGGTTAGCGCTAGTCCCAACGAGGTTATTATGCCTCTCCTAGCTAGCTGGCCACTCATCCAACAGGTGACCGGAGAGTTCACTGTAAGGAATTTTAATCTTGATAGACTTCGCCAGTAGCACAGTACTTGTACCCAAGTTTATACTTCATGGCAGAGTGCAGAAATAGGCTCTTGTGTCTTCTTTTTACAATGCAGGGACTAAAACTAAAACACCTCCGTATTTTAGGGACTAAACTACCACTTTTACTCCCTTAAGAAATGAAAAAATGTTTAATTTCGCAGATAAAACCAATATAGAAACCATCTAATCAATCTCATAACTGTGTAGTACTGCCACTTAGAAAATATATAATACCTACTATTAAATATAAATAATAGTGGAGAAATGTTATCGCAATTTTACTGTGCTGTTTCGAAAATTATGTAATTTATTTCCTTTAATATATATTATTCTTTTAAAAACTAGCGTCCCGATTTTTATTATACTTTATTTAACAGTTTTTTGATTGGTATACCTGATTTTTAGGTATTCCAATCTGGCAACATATTAGACAGACGCTAGGACCTGTCAATTTTTGATATATCATCAACTGTCATTCGTCATTCCTCTCCTCCGTCAGTTCCAATACAATTTTAATCGGGAAAGTACCATGTAGATCAGCCATACTCAACCTGCGGCCCTCTAAGCTTTTTTGCGGCCCGAAACAGTATTATTGGTCGCAACGCTAAGGTCAAAACGTATCTGTATTTTGGAAATCACATAAAAACTTTTTATTTCGGTGATCTCACTGAAAATCCTCCTTAATTTTATACGATGATCTTTTCTCTCAGTATTTACGGTTTTGAGCGACGAATTGATTTCGGCGATGATTTTCGATGATGATTTTGGAATTTTCGAGAAAATTTGTAGTGCTTTCGGTGATATCGAGTGAAAACGTACCAGTATTTCGGGAGTGGTTAGTCGCTACTTATTTTTGTTGAATGTGTTTGTTGAAATACTGCAACACTGTGCCCACGCCATTTGTTTTGTTATGACTAGAGCCGTCTCTGGCCTTTCTTTATTGTTCCGAAATCCATGAGATGATTACGTCACCCTCCGTGGTGAACGAGTGATTGGTCAAGCCGTAACGAGTCAATCTTTATTTATGTGAAAATTCATGAATAAAAGTATTAGTGATAACAGGCAAATTTGAATTTTAACAATACTTTCTAATAGACAATTTGTATTGAAAGATCAGCCATCCTAAATACATTCCACCAGAAAAATAGATTTAATTGATCAATGGGCGAGGGTGGCATTCGGCTTTATATGCCAAACTCGCACAATATTTATCCAGAGGGATGCATGAAAGGATGAAACAAAGTTTTGAACATACTTACAAAAAAATGCAAGAAGAAAGATTTACCAAAATTTTGCAAAATTAGGTGTTACATCTTCGATTGAAAATAGTGACACATACATTGAATTATGATTTGTATGTAGAGCTAAAATAAGCTAAGTGACGTTCTGTTTTTTTACCAATTATTGATAGATTCTCAGTTTATACTTTGTGAACAATGTTTTCAATACCTTCTTCATAGACAGTTTGAAGCTTTTACTGGTTTTTGATTCAATTTTTAACTTTTGAACAGTGTTTTATCGAAACTCTAAAAATGTGAGTTATCTTGTTTTTACAGTAACCCAACGGGATATATTTGTCTTGTGTTTTATTTATTAGAGGTCCCCACTAACTAATTTTAGATAGATGGTCTAAAAAAAGGTCATCATCCAAAAATATTGCAGCCTATGTCAGAGTTGGGTAGTATCTGGATACTTTGTGTATCCGAAAGCTGTACCGGATACTTTTTAAATTTTTTTATCCGGTATCCGTATCCGTGGCCAAATTTGTACTTTTTTCAGCATTCGGATACTTTTAAATTATTTACCACAATTGTAACTGATTCAATCCATATTATCTCTATTAAAATATATAATCGAAATACTTTGAGCTACCCTGTATAATTAGAAATAAAATACGTATTTTTCAATATTACAATATTTAAGACACAATTACAATAGGTACCTACTTAAATAAAAAATAGTAAAATAATTATTTTATTATGATTTGTAGTTTTGTTCGGTGCACCGTGTAAAAATTAAAATAACCCAAAAAAAAATTTCTCATCACCAAGGATGAATTCGACGATTCACCCAGTATACAGTGGTCAGGATTCAGCATCTTGCAGCACGTTTTTACAGGAAAAATCCTGCAAACACTTGTCCGGTGTTAGCGTCCTGAACTTGTGGAGGTTCCATTAGCCCAGTTATGTTTTAGTTGGCAAAGACAAGAGACGGTTTTTCCTGTGTTTTTATATAGTGCAATATAACTAAACTTTCTGTATCAGTTTTAGTACTTAACTATACGCAAAGGTAAGTAGGTGTAGGTACCTCGAATTTTTTGTTTTGTAAAATGTCTAATTACATTATTAGTTTTTAAAATGTAGTCGAGAAAAAACATGTATGACGTTGTTGCTCATAATGTTACTGATCATGTGTTATTTATGTCGTCATCAACATATATAAAGTATACAGATCTAACATTCAGCAATCTCTCTCTCCTCCGTCCTTTCGACGCTCTCGACTCGACCAAGTACCCCTCGTTGGAGGATCCACAAAAAATGGATTGTCGAATACATCTGACACTGACGAGAATATCGAAAGGTTGTATAAACATGGCAACAACGAGCTTATTTCGTTAGATTTATATGGACACGACACTGGCTGGTTTTTGGCGCGGTCAGGCGCGTCTTGTTTTATTTACACGCACCTTTATGTTTTATTGTTCATTTTTGTTTTAATGTTTTATATTCACAGAATAAAAATAATAAACAATTTATTGAGTAGTTTTTCCTGTTTCTATTATGTCGCTTTCCATTTTCGATAAATTATTTATGCCTAGTATTGTTTATTGTAATCAGTCTTATTGCATAATTATAACTATTGGTATGAAAACATTATTTTAACTCACTTTAAAAGTATTCCTAAAAGTATCTTTTAAAGTATCCGAAAAAAGTATCCGGGTATTTGTATCCGAGTACTTTTTAGGCGAAAGTATCCTAAAAAGTATCCGGATACATTGTAAGTATCCGTATCCAGTACTCGGATACTTTTTTCCTGTATCCGACCCAACTCTGGCCCGCGTAACATAGCACATATACGAAAGTGGCCCGAAGGAAAAAAGGGTAAGTATAGCTGATGTAGGTACATCATTGAAAAAGTAATTTTATGGAGAATTCGACAATATGACTATTCATTGCGTTAATTTTGATTTTAGCGCCCTCTAGCGGCTTAAAAAACCGTTACATATTGTAAAGTGTAACACTTCATTTGAAAGTAAATGTTTTTTTGTGTCATCGGCATCAACTGCTACGGTTATTAGGCTTGTGTTCTGTGTAGGCTTTGTTACTGTTTCCCAGCGCCACTTTGGGAACAACACTGTTAATTAGTACCCAACAGTGAATGGTCGAGTGGGGAATCCTACCAAGGCATCATAATTAATTTTAAATAATTAAATTAAATGAAAAAATCCCGGCCAACGGTGGGATTCGAACCGGGGTCCCTTGGATTCGCAGGCAGAGACTCTACCACTGAGCCACCCACCCCGTAAAAAGTAAATGTTATTAGTAATTTAATGCGTAGCACAAATTTTTTATTTTGGTTGATGGCGATTAAAATTTGTACTTAATATTAGAGCACTGCAAGGTTTTTCAATTATTGAAGTTAATGTTTCATTCAATTATCATTTGTTATGTTGTGCATTAAATTATTAATAAAATTAGCTTTCAAATGAAGTGTCGCACTTTACACATAACAGTTTGTGATACCTCTAGAGGGCGCTATAATTAAAAGTAATGCAATGATAATCATATGATAATGATAATTATACTTTTTCAATTTAAATTGTATTAGGCATTCCAAACTGAATGGCTACCAGTGGGTTATGATATGGCAAAATTATGGCAACCCTGTAGGCCTGGTGATTTAACAAGGTCAATGAAATAGATAGTTACATAGATTGATCATCCATATTTTACAAAATAAACATAAGCTTATGCCTTGAAGTAAAAGTGTAAGCAATTATTTTTTTTAAATATCTAAAGGCTAAAAATTGGTTTTAAAACACATTTTTGCTAAACAGATTCAAATTAATAAAAATTTGCCAGGCAATATGGCCGCTCGTAAACGACCAGCTTTGAGCAATCTATATAACTATATATGTATCATTGACCCTGTTAATGACAACATGACAACAGGGTTGCCATATCTAAACTGTCATTACCCACTGGTAGCCATTTGGACAGGTCGTTGGAATGCCTAATTAGGCATTCCAAACAAATGAATTACCAGTGGGCAGGTTTGGTATATCTAAAGGTAGCGACATATGGTGTATTCTATCTACTTTACGTAAAATCATGAATAATGGATTACATTTAAATATTTTATGTCAAACACAATAAAAATAATATTTAAAAAACCCACCTATACATTTATTCATAAATTGGCAGGCTTGGCGAGTACTACTTCGAATAAAAATAGCGTCCACGTTGCAAGACTATGTCGCTACCCCCTTAAATATACAAGAATTTCGCACTGGCACCTATTGTTTGACAGGTCGTTGGAATGCCTAATTGGAGGGAAGGGAAGTCTATGACAGTTGAGGAAATGATAGAAAGACGTCCTCTTTTAATAAAAAAATTGACATTTTTTGTATAAAATATCGAAGCAGTTCCTGATAATGGCTCTGTTTCGTTTTCTTCTGGCCATCCTGTATACACATCGTATTTTGATACTTAATAATGTTTGTAACAAGAGTGTCAAATTTTACTATTTTTAAAGGTATTTTTTGATACGAACTTTTAGGGAGGTTTTAACCCCTTGTTGTAAAAATTGCGAATATACCACGGGAATAAAGTGTCTTTTAATCCCGATCCCGAGGGTGAATATTTTTGTTCGAACGTCAGCAGAAGATCCTGACTTAAAAATTATTTTACTTACTGCCATCCCAACTTAAATATTGAATTTTTACAAAAGTTTGTGGCAAAAAAACACGTTTAGATGCCAATTCTAAAATAAAAAAAAAACAAATGACCCGGGGTAGTTATTAATGGAATTAGAGGTTAATTGGTATTCTGATTGTTTTGTATTACCCACTACACTGAATTAAAAAGATGGATCGTTTTGTTTGATCGAAAAATCTATATATATACAGAAAAAATTTTACACAGAAAAAAGATAAATCATTTAATTTTTTCAATAATTCGCCAGGATTTTCATGTCCGCTAATTTGCCGTACTTTTTCTGAGAATAAATTCACTAAAAACAAACTAATCATTCTTTAGTTAATATAATATTAATTTGTTATTGTCTAATTTTTCTTCTTAAATCAGCGATTTATTTATCATATACCTATCAGACTGTTAATAAACCGGTATTAAAATTTTTCGAATTCATATAAATAAATCAATATTTTTTTACCTGTTTTTATGGCATTTTGAGCTACGGTGGTCACACATCTTGTCCACATTTTGTTTTATTTTTAGAGACCAGAAAACAACTACATCAACTACCTACAACCTGCACACATGAAACAAAATTTGAACTGAATGAGTTCGTTTCACCGCTGGTAACGCGAAATATCTTAACAATCTAAATCAAACGTAATGATAACTTAACCTTGGTTATTTTTGATATGCGAACATCCCAATAATAATTTTTTATTATTGATTTTGTTTTATTAAAAAATTATATCGAATCTGATAGGAGTGATAGTATAGATTTTATGTTGTTAAGGGGTGCCGATACACTTCCTTGGTTATTTATATGCGGTAATCCCAATAATATTTAGTATTTTTGTTTTAATTAAAAATTATATATAATCAGATAGGAGTGATAGTAATTGATTTTGTTATGTTTTATGAGGTGCTAGATACACTGCGATCTAAAAGGTTTCAACGACTTTATCAACCGTTTCCTATCTTTTCAAGGAATTTTAGGATTTTAAGTGCCTCCAAGCTGTAGTACCAAATGAATATTTCATCCTCTTCTTCACATATTCTGCACTCACTATATTTTACTAGTCCAAGTTTTAGTGAGATGTCCTTTGCGTCGACAATGTAAGGATCTCCATTGCTATGCGTAGCTGTGTTACTGTTGATACCGCAAATGACTCAGATCTCACAAAGGGATGTTTAAGAGCCTCTATTCTTGCCAAAATATACAGTACTTATTATTTTGTAGCCGTGCTTTCACAGCGAACATGTGGCTACTACGATATCCCACTATCGCTATGCTCTCTGGCTTTGTGACTGATATTCAGTTCGGCTAATATCCCATCACCACATCTTCTAATTCTAGTCGACGACTGGCTGTTGTTGTCCTGTTGTCATTTAATTAACTTATATATAGTGGACGGCACAAATAAATTTTACTATTCCACAATTAAATATCAGTATTATTAATATATCTACATATAATTCACAAAGACATCGCCGACTTTCAGACTTAGAAAACACAGTTGTCAAACTGCACAAAAAGCTAAACGACTGTATACTTTTAGCGCATAGTACCCTTCGAGCAAATATAATCGGAGCTAGTATGTCATAAATATTTTATGCCTGGCATTGCTGTACGACTAGCCCGGCCGGTGGTCGATTATTGTGTACAGCTTAATTTTAGCGTCTTCTAATTAGCTAAATCGAGCCTTTCTCACATTTATATTTGTAATAGACTAAGATAGCCCGTAAGAAACGCTGGTCAACGTGGACTGGGATATCCAATCGTAAATCTATGGTTTTGATCAACTTATGTTCTAATTGGGGATAATATTAACCAAAAATTTGGTATGTAGATGTCACCCTCGACTCAAAAAGTTATTCGAAATATGTACCACTAATTAAAATTGGAAAATAATATATCTAATTACGGTGTCATAGAAAGAATACACATTTGAAAAAAAATTCAAACCTTCGATTAGAAAAGTTATTACGAGCCAGGAATGTCTTCCAAGAAAAAAGCGGAATCAAAGATCTCTAGTTAGTATAGATCACTGCATGAAGGAGAATATTAGAAAAAAGGTTTGTAATTTTTATTTTAATAATATCGTGCCGCATTTTTATATGATTAAGCTGGTTCCCGGTTTCCCTTACAAATCGGACAAAACCTTTAGAAAAGTGCTCCATTCTTTGGGTTTTAGATATTCTACCTTAAATAGAAGATAATATATAAGGGAATCTTAAAGAATTATGATTTTACGTAATGAATACCTCACTAAAATAGATGAAGCTCGGCAAGATAGATTCATAGTGTATTACTGAGGCCCTTCCTATGGGGCCTCAGTATTGCATTCGTGCAGACGAAAAAATTTTCTGATCCCCATAATTTAAAACTTTTTTTCATGTTTCTGGTCATTCTGAGGACTAAAATAAAAAAAAAAAAATTCGTCTGGTCGTCTGTGTGTATGTATCCCGGCACGATAACTCTAGAACGAAAGTTCTGATTGACTTGCAGTTTTGATTTTCTTGAATAATTACTTCTAACTTAGAACCCTATTGATTTTCAGAATTTTCGGTTCATCCTAACTACTTTAAATCCGCTTATGCATTCCTTATGTGACAATTTTAGGAATTTCAATTATTTCTAACGTCAAAATTCCTAACATTCTTTACATTCCATAAATTGCAAACATTCTCTAACGACCTGTCAAACAACAGCTGTTGATAGTAAAGGTGAAATTACTAAGGCGGGTTGCGACCTTGATACTTGCAACCATATAGCCATTTTGGAGGCTATTTTCATTCTAAATTAGTCGCCAAGTCTGCCAATTTATGAAAAATATACAAGCAGTTTCTTAAAAATGACTTTTAATGGTGGTGCTATTAAGCGTACTACTATTTCGCCCCTAGCCACAAGAACACCTTCATCAAATTTACTGGTTTTCTGTCGCAACCCCATAGAATAATTAACCGGCAATTTTATTTGGCAAAAATCAAAATAATGCTTGGATGTGCCTGTCAAGTATCAAGATTTCAACTGTGATATGTGAATGGCTCTTAAATGTCAAATTGTTTAAAAATGTATACTTCTTTTGATATTTATTGAAAATAAAAAATATCTCAATTCAGGTTTTTCATAAATAAAGGTACAGCAAGACAGATAATATAATGTTCTTATGCAAAGCACTTTTTTATTATATAAAAGAGAGGTAGGATATAATGCCCATTTCAAATTTGGATCAATTATGATACCGAGGTATTTTGTTATGTTTTTCATTTTAATTATAAAGTTGTCAATTAGTTGTATGTTGAAAGAAGGCCTTTGTAAATTACATTGCCCTCTATGGATCTACTTTAAACATAGTAAGTAGTGTTAATATAACTTTTAAAATAAAGTACATGATCTCAAAACAAATAATCTATAATAAATGCGGATAAAACTAGGGGTAAAATAACAATAAATTAAGGGAAATACTTAAAAAGTGCAGGTTTAAAGAGTATTATCACAAGAAAGTATATCCGTTCTGTTTGTTTACCAAGTATTGTTTGATTTGTTTGAGGTTACTTTTGAATACATTTATTGTTTTTTTTTTAATTTCTGTAGGCAGTCTATTAAATTTTTTAAACCTTTAATAAAAATTGTATTTTGGGAACTTTTAGTGATGGCTTGCCGTACATGACAGTCAGATTGGTTTCTTGTATTATAGTTTTGATATTGCGAATTATATTGAATTTTTTCTAATAGATCTGATGCGATGGTATTTATAAATAAATAACATTTTTTTTATTTAAGTGTCCTATGAAAATATGTTAGTTTATCATGTTTTAAGAGCCCTCTCCAAAGGACAGCTCAAAAAAAAATTTTAAAGGGTCGCTCCGAATTTTTAAAAAATTCCAAAATCTTCGAAAACCGGATTTTTTGTTTTAAATTTTTTTCTCATTATTTTATTTTTTTCTATAAGAAAAATCATAAACATCCTAAAAATTTCAAGTCGATATTTTAATATTGAAAGGTCGCTCCGAATTTTTCTAAAGTTTCAAATCGAGTTCTTTATATCTTTTCGAGCTACTTTTGAACATGAATATTAACGAACTTTATATTTTTTGTTTTCATTTAACTTTTTTTTCGTTTTTCGTTCTTCAATTTCATTTTTTAGTATGTAAAATTAAAGAAAAAAGTATAAAGTTCGTTAATATTGATGTTCAAAAGTAGCTCGAAGAGATATAAAGTACTCGACTTGGAACCTTTCAATATTAAAATTTCGACTTGAAATTTTCAGGATCTTTATGATTTTTCTTATAGAAAAAAATGAAATAATGAGAAAAAAAAATTAAAACAAAAAAATCCGGTTTTTGACGATTTTGGAATTTTTTAAAAATTCGGAGCGACCCCTTAAAAAATTTTTTTTGAGCTGTCCTTTGGAGGAGGATCTTAAAACATGATAAACTAAGATATTTTCATAGGAGACCTAAATAAAAAAATATTCGCTTTTTTTGGGCCACCCTAATGTATAGGTTTGGGTTGCATTCTCAGTTCGGTTATGGCGGAGCAGATCGGCCATATTGAGTCTACATAAGCCACGCCCAGTGATACCCAATGGCGTACGGTACGGATAAGTAACACCCTAATTTTAAGTCACTCTCTAAAGATCTATTTGGACTATAATTTTGAATTTTTTTATGTTTTCTAATTAAATCATGTATTATTGTTGGACATTTATAAAAAAAAATCCAAAATTAAAAAATACATGAAAATGAGGAATATCCCCCTTTGAGAGCATATAGCTCGAAAACATCAAAAAATGTAAAAATATAGTCCAAATAAAAATATTTTAGACATTAATAATTTTTGAATTTTCAAATTTAACACCCTGTATTTCGAAAACTAGTAATATTTTATCTAAGCATGTTTCATTTAATCGTCCTATTTTTAATCAGAAAATCTTCAGTTGTCTGTGTCCCAATCTTAATGTTACTCCTATTGAGGGGAGAGTCAACAACTGCCCATTCTCCTTTATCAAGTTCAAATTTACTTATCTAAGCGCGTGGTTGCAGTTAGTAACCAATAATTTATTTTCAAAGGTGCCAAGGAATTAACAATTACATCTTATCATCACTTCTGATAACAATGACATTAACATTGTAAATTTTATTCAAGTTCACCATAAATCATGATAAAATTTATCACCTAATTCACATTATTTTCAAAATTATTATTCCAACAATATCGAATTTCACCACCAAATCAGTTTGGTACTTTTACCTTCGCTTTCAGCGGTAGTACCTAATATGCTGCTTTTGAAAGTGCCTCGTTTTGCTTTTTTTACTGGATACTGTTCTTTTAATACATCCAAGCTGCGTTTGCTCCATCGTTATTGCTCGATGTCACGTGACCAAAAAATCTACTCGCTCTGCTCGAAGAGTTACATTTCAAACGTAGCAATTAGTATATTACGTACCGAGCGGGGGACTACTCTATTACAGCCGAGTAGAGGTGGGAAGTTTTTTACTGAATTAATTCATTTGATTCATTCACTTAAAAAGATTCGTTCTTCAAGATTCGTTCTCAAGTGATTCACTTTAGCGAACCACGAACGATGTTATTCCGCCGATCCGGTGAAGGAAATCGAACCGAACTTTTACGAATTTGAGTACTACCTAACCTACCTACTAGGTCGTCGAGTAAAATAATTATAACCACATGCCCAACTAGCCATTCATAAAAGTGTATTTGTTGTGAAGTTCTCATCATCATCTATTGTATAGTCCAGGAGACAGTGACGATTTTCGGTATTTATTTTCCCAGTCAGCAAGCACGAATAGAGAATTGTAGGATTAGCAATTCTAAGCAAAATTCATATATATTTAGAGGGGGGATCCGATGGGCTGAGGCCGAAAATGCGTCAAAACATACGAGAACACGGCCCTTTTTTTCCATTGATAAAAATAGTTTTAGTAGTAAGAGATGTATTGAAGTTAAGTAAAAAAATAGTCTGATTAATCTGTATGGATAATATATTTGGCAAGTCCATAAAATACACTTTCAAACGAGTTATGTACACAATTATTTATACGACCACAATTATTTAAAGAATGTTCCAGGTGTTTTGTATATTAAAGTGTACAATGTTTCACCTAACCAGTTGGTTTATTTATAGAAATTAAACATAATAATTGAAGATATTACAGAAGAAAATAGGGAAATAAATTACATTTCCTTTTACACTCTTATATAATAATTGTTTTATTTAGAATTCACGAATCACTTATTATTCTACATTAATTATAATTATTGTTAGTTTCGTTATGTCAAATCATTTATACTAGAGGTGTGAGGAAAATACAGTGAACTGTGGAACGCCAATATCGTTGGATGCGCGTGGTAGAAATGGTCCTATAATAATGCTAAAAACATAGCTAAATTTTCATGGAAACACTGTACTTTTGACATTTGCGATACTCCGACGCATATGCATTATTGATGTAATCTCATGATTTTACAGTAATAGTTTTTGCAATTTTAGTGTGATTTTTAGGTTAATATGGTTATTCATTTTATTTGGTTCTGATCTTTTGCGCTTTTAGAGTATTTGTCTTTTATATAGTTTTTAATTTGAATTTTAATATTGTGGTCTATTTATATTTGATTGCTGCTTTTCGACTAGTGCTTTATTCTTTTTGTGTTAAAATAAGCTTTATAACCATTAAGTACATGCTTCTAGTTGATATCTACCTAATCGTCATCGGGTGCTTGCAACAATGGGAAAAAGTGTATGGTTTCTTTGGTGTAAAGTTAGACGCCTTCATTTTTCAGGTAAGTTATTTGTAGTTATTTTTTACTTAAAAGGATAGCAATACGTCCTGGTTCGGGCTGTGACTTTTGGGTTTTAGCTATCTGAGCCAAATTGTCGGCTAAGTGTCTCTTTTTAGGGCACCCAGTACCGAAAACTATATAGGTATATAATATGTTTTTTTTTAAATTATATTTTAATATGTATGCAGCTTGGATGAGGGCTTTAGGAAGAGATCCTAAGACTGAACACTGACTGCTATAAATGCCGTTTTTAGAGCACATTTTATAGTAAGTGATTTCATTCTAGCAGCAATGAGGAAACGTATAAAAAACATGCTGTACCAGCTATTACTTTAAGACCTCGTCTCTTTAAGTTATTATTACCTCATTCTAATGCATATATTAAAATGGTTTTTAACTTATGTCCTTATGATTAAAAGATGTAGGTATTTTAGTTATGTTATAATAGAAATATATGATACTTTGTATTGACTAACCTACTGGCCACGGGTCATTCCACTTTTACTCCCTTTTTTCATAAATTATCAAATTATTTAAAAACAAATACATACCTAGCTATTTTCTGTAAATTACATTAAAATTTTAGTATTAATACTTTACTAATAAAACTTCAGTTAATTTATTTTATATATACACAACGGAAGAGTTAATTGGATTTTCTCCTTGTTGAGTTTCAAAAATAGTAATTTAACATGATTTAAAAAAAAAATACATGAAATGGGCAAAATAGGCCTGCAAAGGCACTTTGTAAACAAACTCACTTGTATCGATGTGACGTAATGCGCGAATTGAATCTGGCTTACTTTTGTTAATAGATTGGCGTTCCATTTTAAATATACAGTTCACCGGGAATAGATTATTTAACACGGACCGGGAAAACAAGTACGAAAAAATTCACTGGCTCCTGGACTAGTACTGTATCGAAGGAATTTTTATGAATGAAACAGTATACGACCCTCCACAATTGCGGTCTACTCTACTTCCGCTGTTGTCAGACATTTTTTTTTTTTTTGACAATTTAAAGATCTAACAGTAATTCAAGCAAACGCAATAACATTACTACAGTTAAAAACATCGCAAACTTGGCATCAATATTTTAATTTTATCCAAATATTGCATTTCTGTCGAGGATCATCCGCGTTGACTTCAGAAATTGTGTAATCTGTATTGGTTATATATATCTATAGTTAAAAGCACGTAAACTTGGCATCAATGTTCAATCCGATTATTGAGTTTCTACCGCGGACACCACCGTTCATTCTTCAAAAATTTTGTAAATAATCCTATCTGTCTTGGTTATATATCTATGATTATAACCAGATTTATTTTAAAGTAAAGCGAATTAATGTTTCATATTTCATAAAAAAAGGCAGCTGAATAATAAATACATCCTTGTCCGTTAAGATAAACAGCAATAACATAATTTTTTTAAATGCCAAATATATAGCCAAAATTAACGCAAAATTATATATTCACGATTCGTCATTTTTTGTTTTAATTTTACTTTGATTTAAATTTATTTATCAGACAACACGCATAAATTGTTTACCTAAGCTTAATACACACCTCCTGTAAAGTGAGAAAAACATTAAAGACACATACCGCCACCGCCTGTCAGAGTTCTCGTAGGTATTATGCCGTAGAACGTAGAATAAAAGCGACCAATTTCCCGATGCCGATGTAAAATACCAAATCTTCGAATCCGAAACAAATGAACGAAGCAACCAAACTCGGAACTCGGCATGTTTGATCGATCGCAGAGCCATCGAGCAATTGACTCAAAAAAGATTCGAATCTTTTAAAAACAAGGAATCAATTCATTCGAGTCAGTGCATTGATTCGTTCTTTTTGAACGAATCGTTCGCGAACGACACACCTCTCAGCCGAGCATCAAGATAAGGCAAGCTATTAGTCTGGTTCACAAGTGCCATTTCGTCATAAACCTAGGCTGGACCACCGAAAAGTGTGATTTTGGTCTCATTCGATTCGAAATGGCATCTAAAACAAACCATCAAGTGGACAATAGGGGCCGACAAAAATTGCAAAAGTTATTATCTCAAAAACTATTTGAGATAATCAAAATTTGAAACAGTATCGACAATATTTATAATTTTAATTTAGAGGGGAAAAATTGGACTAAAAACGGGTAGCGGCTGTAGCGGGCGCGTCAACCGATTAAATATAAATATTAAGGAATAAAAAAATGTTGGTATTACCCTTAGATTAAAGAGACCGAAGATGTAACATTGCACAGTGCGCATGTTGTCTATTTTAGCTCAAAGTAACCCACCAATTGAAAATCATTGTTTGCACGACGCCACCCAAATTGCTCCGATTTTTCCATTCAACACTCACCTCCGCCTGAGTTCAATCGCCATTGACAGCTCTTTTTTGATTTATTTGTTGGTATTTTAGCATTTTAAAGTGTTTTAGTTATTCAATTTCAAGTTCAAAATGCCACGATGTATCTTGAAAAATTATTTCCAATAATCGAATAATAAATTTTAAAAGAAATATGAAAAAAAAGGGTTATTAGAAAATAATCGATAATTCGGTTATTTATTGGAAAATCGATTTAGCTTAGAATCGGCTTCTTAATTAATTGATTATTTTCAATTAGGCGATATTTGGAATTATCGATTATTTTCGGTATTTCAAAGATAATCGATTTTAAAGGAGATACAATAAAAATATATTATTGATAATAATCGTTTGATGGAAAATAATCGATTATTTAAAATATTCAATAATTCTGTTTTTTTTTGACAATCGATTTATCAGTTAATCGATTTTTTAATTAATCGATTATTTTTGAATAATCTGTTTCAATGGACGAAAAAAATGGATTATTTGAAAATAATCGATTATTTAAAATAAACGATAATTCTTTTATTATTTTTTGTAAACACTGATTTATCGGTTGATTGGCTTTTTAATTAATCGAATATTTTTGATTTTTAGAAGATAACCAAGTAGTCGATTTTAAAGGAAATACGACAAAAAAAAGATTGTTTGAAAATAATCGACTGATCGAAAATAATCTATTTTCAATGACCGATAATTTATTTCGATAATCACCCACGCTTAGCGACCAAATGACTTTTAATGCATTTCTAGAGTTTTATGTGACTCATCCTCTATATTAATTAATATTCCTAAAGGAAGAAGCTTTAATGTACCGTTTTCTGAGGTTACAATACAAAACAGCATTTTCTCATTTTGACTAATTTTTAATATTATGTAATAGTCGTAGAAAAAATATAATGTTCAACTCACAAGGTTTGATTTGCAGTATTCTCCTTCGCACATGCTTTTTTCATAATATTCGTAGACAATGAGTATCATTTCTTGCTCTATCAACAATATTCTATTTTAACATTTTACTGTAATCTCTTGCAGAAAAGTCCGTAATAAATAAACGCTAACGAAATATTCTATAAAAGGTCTTATCTTTACATAAAATGTCGTAGCATCTGTTTGATATTAAAAAATCAAGTTAATTTTATTTCATGATACAAAATTCCATTAAACATCTTTTAAATAAATCTAATAGTTCATTATGATGCTAATAAACAAAGTCCGGTCCCTGTCACAGAATTCGGGTCGCCGCCCAGTTCCCCCCCTCCGTTAACTTTTCTTTAAAAATTGGCAACATTTGCGCAGGTTAAACACCGGTGTATGTTATATCTCTGGTCTCTTTTATCTAAGGTATTACCTAAACATGTTGTCAAAAATAAAGGTACTTTACTCTTGCACAAAATTTATATTTTTTGACAAACCTTGTAAACGTATTTGATATCCAATGATTGCAGAACTTGTTTATGGAGAACAAATTAATAATAAAAAAGTTTTCTTTATGATTCCAACTTAGATAAAGCAGACTAAGACCTTGCCATCTATCGGTAGTGGGGGGGGGGGGGGGTTATAAAAAAGTAAATAAAATATTTTTTTATTTTGTTCTAACATTTATAAATCTTTGGAAGACAGTTTTACCCATGGAAGTAATTTTTAAATATAAAATGTACAGTAATTGCACTTTAATATTTTTTTTATTTGCTTTCGCTAAGGTCCCGGAGAACTTTTCTCAGAATATCCAAATATATGTCGACATGATGTTCTTGGAATACTAGTGCTGGCCTATGACGGATAGCTTCATGTCCACAACCACCGCTTTGTACACCTAAAAAATAGAATATTTAATAATAACTAAAGCCAGCCGCCTCAATAATGACCACGTTATTACTCAGGGTTAGTACTAGAATGTCACAAAGCTTTAGCCGAAGTATCAACAATATGGTCACCTTAAGATCAATCAAAGGTCGCGCCAAGAAGGCAGTCAACCAAATACTTTTTGAACCTGGCCCTTCCATTGGTCTGACAACATCGGTAGTAACAAAACTAATTAAAGAACTGTTCCTTGTGAAATTATAGGAAATATGGGATGAAACAAGAAGCTTCAGAGTTGTCAGGGAGCTTTTAATTCATTCCCTTAACAGTACAACAAAAAAAATACTTAACTATGACTGACTAGACAGAATCTGCACCTAATCACAGCCAATCTGTTTGATTATTGGAAAGTACGGAAGCATCTCCATATCATGGGATTGTCCAGAATCTGCACTCTGTAAAGGAGTGCAAACAAAAAGATGAGGCCATCGAGCATATCCTCTACGATTGCCTGACGCTCTCATTTATTAAAAGATTTGTATTCGACGAGTATTGGCTAATACCTGTCCAAATAAGAGAAACGCGTCAACTACATTAAATATGTAGGCTGGCTGAGCTAAGATGGGCCTATCAATTTACAAAGATGCACAATATGGGCCTAGTGCGTAAATGTCTAAATGACGTGGGGTAACCCACGCTCCACATACAGACATAACCAATATTTAAATACACTGGCACTTAAAAATTGAGATGTTGAATACCCTTCGGGAGACATGTATCTGAACCCAACCTATATCTCATGTATGGCGATTAAATACAGTGCCTTTTCCGTCTATTTAAATGGCTTGTAGTTTTATCGTTTTCTTCGTCTCTCGACAATCAAATAATTGGAAGGTCATCACTCCATCCTTTCCGAGGTCTAGATACTTTGGTATTTACCCATAATAAATTCAAAGTATCCTTCATCGTATCTAAAACTTTCATTCAACAAAAGTAGTATAATAAGGAAAGTACTTACCATTTTTCTTTAAATTTTTGATAATAGCATCCCGCAAATTAGTTCCATGAGCATTTATCGCAATAAAAGTGCCACGACCTCTTAGCGAATGTAGCAATTCTGGAAATTCATTTTGCAGCTGCTGAAGTCCCGAATACATCCGTTTTCCGGATCTTTCAACTTGGTCTAGCAAATTTTGGGTTTTTATCACGTCAATGATAGTTTCTAAAAGAATGGTTTTTCCAGGATCGCCCATCCAAGTGTTAAAAATTCTTGACGGTTGTTGTACACTGAAAATTGTCATGTTTATGTACAATGAGTTTTAAAAAGTTTGTATCGAAAAGCCATTTAATTGATTTAATATTATTTATTCACAATCTTAAATAAAGTAACTTATTTGCAAACTTTTTAAAATCGGAAATTATGAGTTTTAATTTTATCTCACCCATGTTCGGGAACCAATTCTCTATACCTGGACAATTGACCGACACCCGACTGGCCGACACCCAATTAACCGAAATGACAATTAACCGACAGCACAATTGACCGACAGGACTATTAATCGACAGGCCAATTGACTGACAAGTCAAATGACCGACAGGCCAATTTGCCAATAGCTTTTTTCTTTATTTTTCATATTTTATGTGTAATTTTGCACAAGTCGCGATGACTCTAGGCCACACAGGTTAGGTTTTTTTTTTAATTTGTCGTATCGGTAAATTGTCCTATCAGTCAATTGTCCTGTCTGTCAATTGGGTATCGGTCAATCGGGTGTCCGTCAATTGATCCACACCCGTATTTAAGTCCATATTTATCTTTTTAAAAAAGTATGAACACCATAACTCGGAGGTAGTTTTACTAGCTTTAATAAATACATATGATTTTTAAAACAAAAATATCTTACGTCATTTCGTCAGAATGAAAGAACCCAGCCATTTGCATCTTCTTACTAAATGTCACTATATCAGGGGGATGGGGTAAACTAAAATGTTCATGACACCAAAATTTTCCAGTAGGTCCACAACCGGTTTGTACTTCATCTATTATCAACGCAACATCGTTTTTCTTACAGATTTCTTGTAGTTTTCGGAAAAATTCTGGAGAAGCGTGATTATCGCCACCTTTAAAATCGAATATTTTATTATATAATATACGAAGTGAATTAATTCTAAGTTGATACTTTTTGATAACTGTGTATAGAAATAGTTAAACTAAACATCTTTTTCAAATAGCCTTTTTAAAAAAACTCAAAAATAAGATATATAATTAAAAAATCTAAATCAGGGCCTGGTCTTGTGTATGGAAAGTTAAACTAATTAAATACGCCATTTTAGTGATAATGTAATTATGGTTCCACTGATAATTAAAGTGACAGTAGATTTTTTGAATACGTTTTGTTCGTTTTGTTTACCTAAATTATATCGTTTTTTTTTACTTTTATAAATATATTCCTAAAGTAAGTAGATAACATCAATATATAATCGTTTAGTAACCAATTACATACCTTTAAACTATTTTTTATGACTTGCAAACAATATTTAAAAAAAAAAAACATTAAAATAGTAAAAAAGTATATGTCAAATTTATTGATGTTTTTGTTATAAGTTTGGTTAGAAAGTTTGGTTAGAAATAAATGTCAGTGGAACCAAAATGACATCACACTAAACTGGCGTATAGTCTGTTTATTTTTTTGTGTGTAATTGGCATCAACTACTACATTAATGTAAGTTTTTATTATTGTTTTGAAAAAGTTATTTATTTTAAAGACTTCTACACACAGTTAAAAAAGTATCAACTTTGGATTCATCCTGTACAGTTATGCCTCTGTTTTGAGTTTTTTATAGTAATCAATTTATTACTTTACTAAATATTCTTTTAAAAATTATTGATAAAAAATTACCTTCTGACTGAATAGGTTCTATAATGACACCTGCGACGGGGCACACTTTTTTATTTTTGTCAATCAGTTCTTCAACTTCTTCCAAACATTTCCTATCTATTTCGTCATTTTCTCTTTTATTTTCTTCTAAGGGGTATTTGTATAATGGGTAAGTAGCGATAGGCCAATGTGAAAAACTTGGAATATCTAATTTGTGAATATACTAAAAAAATTGTATTATTTAATGTATCTACTTAGGTAAAAAAGATAGGTTGCCAATATACAGGGGGCTATTTAAAATTTTAAGGGCGGGGGTTGTCACTAATGAGTAAATATTTAGGGTATTATTTTTTCTGTCTTAAAAAATGATAGGTATGGATTAATTTTTATCCCACTCGAATATCTCTATTCATTTATGAGATATAACCTGAATAAATTAGTCTAAGACACCAAGTGTGATATAACGTTAAATCAGGGCCCCGAGGGGATTATAAAAATTTAAAAATATACAGGGTATTCCATTTAAAATAAAGAAGTTTGAGGTAATTAAGTGGCTGATTTAATAAAATACTTTTAAACTAGTTTTTCTCATTATTTTTCAGACAAAAAATGAAAATCGCCTAAAATATAAACATAATTAATTGTAATTTAACTGTTTCAACATTTATTAAATTGTAAATAAGATGTAAATGTTTATTTTTACTTAGATTTGAAAACAGATACAAAACTATGGTTAATAAAAAATATAACATATTATGAGGGTAGAACTTTCTTATGCCGGATCTTGTACTGATTTTAAATGCTTTCAAAATCATTAATAGATATGGCGATATGATTTAACCTTACGAATATTACCATTGAGTGTGTGCAGGATAACGTTGCGACAGTTCTTCCATGAAAAGCTCCTTTGAAGGACAAAATCGATAGATCGGGACATCCAGGACGTTGATTCATAACGCTGGAGTTTTTCTCTTCGCTAGTGAATTCTTTACCACCTCTGTCTCTCATTTTATGAGCTATAAAAGCTGACTTCATGGCATTTTCATTGGAACAGGCGCCACACATCATTGGGGTGATTTTTGGAAGTTTGGGAGATACCTTAAAGTGTAAGAAATAAAAATATTTTTTAATATAATAAGGTAGTTCCAAATTGAATTAAAGTGACTTATGGATTAATTTTAAGCTCAAACATCTACTTTACTATCTCTTATTGGAAGGAACGCAACCAGCTTCTTAAAATTACTGATCTCTTATTTTAAACCAACTAATTTTTGTACGTGTTTTACCATTTTTCAGAAGTAGGTACCTACTTAAAACATGCACTTTTTCTAACTAATGGAGATAACTGTTTTAATATAATTCTAAACCGTTATTAAAATTACCTGTCCAAGAATGTTCTCCATTCTTTTTGGCCAGTCCATCCCTGGATAAACTCCCAAAGCTGGTCTATTAACTAAACTTTTCTAAAAATTTAATATTACTATCGTACGAGATTATATTCAATTTTTTTCTAATTTTGACATATAAAGTGACATTTTGTGTTATTGCCGCAAGTGTCAAAATGATTTACTTTATGCAAACAGTTGTATAATGCTGAACATTATAAAACTGGTTTCGGAAAGAAGAGAAATAAAACCTTTTTTAGTTTTAAAATCAATAATATACATTATTTTTTCAAAGAAGGGTAGGGTGGACTTATAAAAATAGAATTTGGGCTTACAACTTAAGTAATAATGTTGTTTTGGTCCTTATTTTCATTCTAAATCAGGACAAAATAATTAAAACGCAATACACGACAAAATAACCCACTTTTTTAAAAACTAAATAACTTTAATAAGCTATATAAACACACTACAAGTCGTTGAAAATAAATAATTATTATGTTCTATTTGTCAATAAAATGATGAATATGCAACTACCAATACAAAAAAGTAGTAATATTGGTTGCCTAGATGTCAGTAATGTTTTGCCGAAACACAATTTTATAAATATACTAGTCAAAATTAGAAAAAATAATGTAACAGGTTACGAAATGCCGTTTTATGTAACTGGTTCCAAAAATAGCTATTATAATTACTATATTTTGTTGATCTTTGAATACTTCTAATAACGCAGGATGGTTATAACCAATTGGCATGGTAGAAATTTGTGTGAACGTATCCAGAAGAATATTATCATCTACATCTACTACGTAATTACCGATGGACTTCTCATAATTGACTATGTATTGGGTAGCGCCAAGATTCTAAAACAATTAAAAAACAAACATTTACACGCAGCTGAAGAATCTAAATATTTCAAAGTTGTGTACTTTATAAATGTACTTATTTTTTTCAAAATATAACAAAGTAACAATAACAACGGCTGTATCAATGTTGTCATAGATGGTAATATTTTAAATTAAATATGGTTAGGTTTGTGCTTACGTTGAATTGATCTTAAATTATCATTTAGTTTGTTGTGCTTCCTTTAAAAGTTTAGCTTCATTTATTTGTTTTTTTTTTCGGTAAAGTTTTGTCTCTTTAAAAGTTTCACCCCTTCTAAATTCATCTGGTAATACCGGTATAGGTATAAATTACCTTAAAATACTACTTATCCATGAAAATGAAACACTGATATAATCGGCGGCACAGATAAATTTTACCACTAGACAATTATACTTAATCGTGGAATAATAAAATTTATCTATGCTACAAACTATACTAACGGGAACGTTTACACATTTTATTTACATATGAACAATAAATGTAAAGTAAATTTAGTACTACATGTTAGTAGTTGTTACTTTATACCTCTAGCTATGCCAGAAAATGCGGTACAGTTACCCCACCTGCTCATTCTATAATGGAATTTTCTCCTTCGATACGGCGCGGCGTGTGAACACTGGGATTGGCATTTTTGTTCCAAATTAATTTTGGTTCCATGGGTTATTGTTACTTATAATGTAATGAAGTCAATTTTCGATATTTTTTTTTTAATTAATTCCGGGTATAAATTTGGCAACGATTAAAGCCCGTTACTTGTGGCCTACCATTACATGTGTCTAAGTGACCTTTGACCCCTGAAATTTTTCATCTCCATCTGTAGCTACCCAAGTACTTTCGACGCCGCTTCGAAAATTTGTGAAGTAAACCACAATCAAAAATCTGGCGCCCGAGAGCCGCCCGTAACCAGCGCCATTAGTAATGGGCAATTTTCTCAGAGGTGAAAAAACCCCTTACAATAAGATGGCGATATGTATGTCCTGGAATGTTCTCTGTTACTAGACGTGTTTGTGTACGTGATCTTTCTTTATATTTACAGGAAATATATTTTGATTCTATTATGTTGAAGCGAGAGAATAATTGTTGCTAAGAGATAGAAGATGTGTGTCTTTTTAATGTGTGGCCACAGGATAAAGAACAATACAGAAAAGAAACATAGGGCTAAAACAGGAACCTAGCAACCGAAGCCACACCTTCTTCATGGTGGAGCATTGTCAAAATTGAACCGTAGATTTGTTACTTGTTCGAAGTGCAACTTTGCACACTTTTATAGCAGATGAACTAAGCTGTCACTGTGTCGCTGTTTATTGAGGGTGAAATAGGAATTGACCTTGCCATAACATGGTAGTACAATGATTGTATGTATTTTTCAGACTTGAATTGTGGCTTAAGGCAGCAAATATAGAGAACTTATTGGGAAAGGGTGTTGGAACACTTCAGTAAAAATTAAAAAATTTGTGAACTACACTTCCAGGATAAATTCGTTTATCAGTCAGGAACAAGGAAACGATTATTTGCAAATGCATTCCTGACAGTATTTCCCCATTCAGAACCTACGAAAAAAATCACAGTTTTGCAAGGTAAATAAATACAATTTATAGTTAAATGTTACAAAAAGTTTGCTACTCGTCTTGTCATTTTTTTACATTACATTTAGTAGTTTAAAAAATAAAATGATAAGTACTAATAATCTTAGATTATCAACCCATACATTCCATTTTGTAGAACTACCTCGGAGGTAAACTACACTATGTCGATATACAACAACTTATGCAAATTAAAATATAGTAGTTTTATTAGTTAGGTTAGTAAAAAATATAAATATTGTGACAATAAATGGGTGTCTAAATGTATATCTAGTTGAAATTTAATAATTTAATAAACTATTGTTTAAAACTTTATAATTTTTATTTTTGAAACATCTGTCGGAAGTGCTACAAATCAAAAAATAATTTACCTAAATCGAGAATAGTTCCAAATGCATTCATGCAAATTTTCATAAAATATGACACATAATTATGTAAAAGAAAATTGTAGTTTTCGCAGTGTAGGTTCAGTGAATAGCTACGTTCGCGTGTACTGTGAATAATTACGTTTTCTCAGAGTATCTCTGTGGTGGAACTCAAGGTCAAATATTTCTATCCCATCAACTTCAAAGTTCCGACCATTACTTTCTTTTCTGTATTGTTCTTTCTTCTGTGGTGTGGCCTTCAATACAAGTGTTTTCTTAGGACATGCCCGGACTGGGATCGCTATGTTTAAATTGAAGAATGCATATTATGAAATTTAAACAAAAGGTTTTAATACACTGAGAAATTATAGAATAATTGTAGACTTTAAAAGCACACTAAGAAGAAATATACCTAGTTTTTCCAACATACGAAGACTTTTTATTATTAGATATTTAATGAAGTGAACTAAATTCAGGCTCAATTCAAAACAATGGTTGAATGGTCATTGATTTTGGGAGATAAACGGTTTGTCATTTCAGATGTTACCTGAAGGTGTACATTAGAACATCCTTCTATTTTTAATGACGGCACAATTTACTAACGAAAAAATTTTGTGTCTTTGTAGAAAAATATATGGCGATCGACACCTACAGCAGGGGCAGAAGTTGGAAAGGCTTTTGCCAGTTCTCCCACTTTGTACACAAAAATTGACAGGTTTGCGGTGGATCTAACCGAATTGAACGCGATACATTGGCGTACAAAATTATTTTATTTCGAGTAAATTGTTAATAAATTGTGAATAGCTGTTGAAATTTTGTAGAATTATGATTTGGATATTATAATACATGTTTAATAATTATTTATAGTCCATAAATACATGCGATTGTCCCGTTCCGCCGGTAACAATTTAAAATTACTTATTCTATGAAACGACACTGGCAGGTAAACATTACTGCGAAATTCTCCAAGCCGTCCGACGTGATTTGACGTTTACCCCCTCTCTATCTACCAAAAGTCTTTCCAACTTCTGCCCCTGCTATATCTTCAGACTATTCAGAGGCTGATTTACGAATGTGCCGCCTAGAGGCTGAACCAAATCGCCGCCTATGCTATATTTTTCAAAATTAAAAATACGGGAATAAGGAATACGAAAATCATGCTAATGTTTATTATAATCACATAAAATGCAACAAAAAACTGCATTTTAACAGAATATAGAAACTCATATGTACAGGGTGAGCCAACGAAAACGAAACGGTTCAAGTTTAGGGTTTTTAATGTATTTAAAAGAAATGCTCAAACACGTCAATACAGGGTGCTGTACACCCCTAAAATTTTAAATGGAAAGTTGGGTTGAGTGACACCTTGTTTGAAAGGTTTTTTAAATTATCTTATCAATGATGCCTCATTTGTGAAATGAGATGTCATTTTGACATTTTAAACTTTAAATTTATTTGTTTCATTCACAAAGACGCTTAAAAATCAAAAAGATAATTTAATAATTTTAATAGACTCTAGAATTAATTATTTAAATGAAATTTTGTCTTGTCCAGAGCCTTACTGTTAATTCCATATGAGAAATTTATTTTTACAACAATGATTTTAATAATAATTTAACTTACGTATACTTTTTTCAGTTGATCCATCAACTCTATACTTTTTGGTCCTGGAATATCTGTTTTAACAGAAGGTCCTGAAGGCTCATTTTTTATTATACTTTTTAAAACGGCAGTTTGGCTTGAAGCAAATCTGTTTTCTGCAAATAATCAATCTTTAAGTATCTCTAAATATGTATTTGATAGTTTTTTTAAAATATTGAATATAACAAATATTTAATTTTTAAACTTTTTTTATGGATATTGTAACAAACACTGTAAAATGTGCTTTTGAAGGTATAATGGTTGCATGTATTATGCTGATATGCAAATATTTACAACCATTTCTATACATATACATAAAAAAGTATTTTACAATTGTTTTATGCAATAACTTACCTATTTTGTACGAATTTTCAGCAACAGGTCGAAATAATTTTGAGAACATTTTAACCACAAAGTCCTCTACGATCTCTCCCAGGCTGGAAATTCCGGGAAATCGATCACCCACTGTCCATGTGATTTTCGCGCGTGCGTTAACAGTTAATCAGAACGATACGGTTATTGCCGCGGCAAAGATTTTTGAAATGTAGTTTTATAATAATTACTTTAATTGCTTTGTAGTTAAAGAAACAAGCAGAGAGATACAGAATCATAGATAACATAAAGATGCAATTATTATATAATAGACAACACACAGACAAATATAAATATTAAAAAAGTTAAAAAAAATTTAAATTAATCTTTCTGTCTGTCGACACCTCGCGCTATTTATACATATAAAGCCAGCTCTGTGCTAGAACACTCTAGACTTTCCACAATGAACGAGAACTGCTTCTCTATGACTCATCGGCCACGTATCGCTTTTTCTGGTAGTTTCGAGAAGCGGTGCTTTATCTCTATATCGCCAGCGGAAGACTTCATACTACGGGCAAGGAGTAAACAAAGCACTGAGTATAATAAAGTAAGGATCGCCTTGAATTTTTAAATATTTAGCTCTGAACCGAAATTGGTAAAAACCCAAACTACTTCTTGTAAAAACATATATTTTCCTGATAAACATAATGACCATTTTTATATCAATTCGGTGGCGACTGGTGCATAAGTGCTATGGAACTGCAGAACAGCCAAAAAATGCAAGTGGAAGACCTAACAAACGCCAGGGTATCTATTATTTCCAAATCCCTTGAACCCCAACTTGACCGACGAGAGGCTATGGTTTCAGCAAGATGGGGCCCCGCCACACTACGCTACTATTGTTCGTCAATATCTGGACAGAATTTTTCCCGGTAGGTGGATTGGAAGACGAGGTACTATTGAGTGGCCAGCAAGGTTTCCAGACCTTACGCCGCTGGATTTCTTTTTATGGGGGCATCTCAAAAGTAAAGTCTACATTCAAAAACCTAACAACATAGAAAACCTACATGAAAGAATAAGAGAGGAAATCAATAAAATAACACCGAAAATGTTGCGTAACGTAAGAGACGAAACATACCACCGACTAGGATGCTGCCAACAAGTCAATGGTGCACATTGAAAATAAAATAAACTTTTAAATTACGTTTTGATTTTATGCAACCCCCAAACCCACTAGAAACTAAAATTTGATAAGTACGCTCGTTCCATCAGCTGTGCAATGATGGGTCACCAGCCACAGGGTTTCATTTGAAAAAACATGTTGAGGGTGGTTTCAGCTACCCTCGAAGCGCTACATTTTTCAAATTGCTTGCAAAATGTAGGTAAATATATTAAAACGTTGACGTGTCTCGGGAATTTTTAGAAAAATTATTCACCTTCCCGCCTATCGAATTTATTCCAGTTAAGGTATCCACCCTGTTTTTGTATTTTCAATGACAGTTATTATCAGTTTAATGTATTTTCTCGTGGCAACTATAATAGTTGAAGTAGTGTTCCAGAAAAGTACGCAATTAATATTTAAGAGTGACAGAGCAGTGTAAAGCAAGCGTCATAGACCTAAATACTGATTCATTCATGTGCTGTTCCTCAGATAAACATACTCTCACAAACCATCCCCATCCAAATTAACAGTCGTCTCGTTTTTTCTAATTCGGCAGCCGATGTGACAGCTCTGTCTGCGTAAAATAAAATAATCCGAATGATTGTAATAAATAACAGCTTAATTATGAATAAATGGATTTGTCTAGTAGTTTTTCGTCGATGGTTATGGCCTACTATAAAAAAAAAATTCTAGATCACTCTAGATATATATCTAAAAACAAACAAATTTTAAACTTAAATAACTTTTTATTCAAAATCACTGCAGATACACAATCACTCTCATAAAATTAATTATCTGTTACGTTTTTTATACCATAAACATGAGAATATTTTTCAGCTTGACACTCAGATTTTGGACTGATCAATATTAATAGGCATTTTCTTCACTTTTTCACAACGTATCTCTTCCTAAAAAATAACTATTCAGAATCTCTAACGTAATTATCATATTCATACGGGGTGTTCCGCGAGGAAAGAACTATTTTAAAAACGTGTTCTAGAAGTCAAAAGTACGGCGACAAATACATTATAAAAAATGCGTTTGCCTTAAATTTTTTGAAAATGATTTAGGATATCGGTTTTGATAACATCAAATCTCACTGTACTATTATTAGAATGCAAATTACCTAAATTTTTGTCAGACGGTCTTCTATTTCCAATTTTTTTCTAATAATTATTCATTTTTCGGTATAAAGTTTCGTTTTTCCAACATTCTTACTTTTCTCTCAGCCTTTAAAATTTGATATTTTGTTCTTGCATTTTTAATATTACATGGCAAGGGGCATTCTGATACTTTTTCAATTTTTGAAAAGGAAGCAAATTCTGTTATTGGCACTGAAACTTTCTCTTTGGAAGGAGCACTATGCGCATCTATTTTGGTTATTTTTCTCTTCAAGCTCTTCATCTTCGGCTTTTTACATTTCGGACATATTGTTTCGGTGCTACTAGAACTTCCTAGATCTTCTTCATGTTTGTCATTTATCAATACTTCATGAGAAGTAGTATGTAAATGCTCCATGAATATTTTAGGTTTTGAACCTATCGGTTCCAAATTTGTTTCGGTTTGCCACTTTGTTCTACGTAAAAGTTCACTGTTCGACACTAGTTGTATTTTGGAAAAGTTTTCTTTACTATCAGCTTTTGAAATTGTTTTTATTCCTGCCCATACTCGTTCTTTTTCTGACATCCAATTCAATATACATTTATCGTTGTCTTCCCAGTTTAAACTTACATTTTCTTTGTTTAGGATAACCAGATCATTTGGTGATTTTACGCTGGACATTTTGGCAATTCCTAATGTTTCCTTCCTTTCCGTTAACAAATTTTTTACTAACATATTAGCTTCTTTTATGTCTTCAATGTCTTCGTTAGGACATGCTGTCTTTTCTGACGCCTGTGTTGTGTATTTTGATTTACGAGTAGTTTCGTTCGGTTTTAAATTTATATTAGATTTTTCCTTTAAAGAGTTTTTTAGTAGAGAACTCGTTTTTTCTTCTTGATCTCCCATTTTTGAAAATTTTTTCTCTTCTGGTGCCTCAGATTTTGACAAGTCTGTGTTTGTTGAATCATCTAATAAATCTTCGATTAGAATATTTGGTTTTGGTTTTTCAACGTCCCCTTTCAAACATTTTATTTCCGCTGATTCTTGTTTTGCTTGCCCTTCAAGTTTTGCGTATTTTCTGTCTTCTTTCGCGTTTGTTAATTGTACTGATTTTTTTTCTGACATCAATTCTAAGATTGTATTACCTTCTAATGAACCTTCTGCATCATTTGCCTCCTTTACTTGCTTAGCCGTCTGTACAAGTTCACACTCTGACTTTAAGATCAAGTTTGTCCTCCGAACTAATGACTCGTTTAATAGTTCACTCAACTGTGATTCTTGAACTTCATATTCCAAATGGTCAGGATCTTCCAAAGATTTCGTTGGATGTACTTCACTTTTTGCCATCACGGTCGAGCTATTTGGATCTTCTGATGATACTTTTAGTACCATTTTCGGTTTTTGATTTTTATCTTCTCCTTTCGGATCTTTTAATTGTTTTGAAGGATCTGTTGGAGATGATGTTTCATCACCAATTTCGAAATTGAAGGTGAAGTATAAATTCAAATTTGCGCAAGGTGGTTCACTTGATGAATCATTTGATGTCAAGTTTGACTTTTCTTTTGAGTGATATTTTGGAAATATACAGCTACATAAGTCACTTGCATCTTTTAATACATTCGTTCTTTGGTTGCGGTCTTCTTCTTTTAAACTCATTTCTTTTGTTGGTCTATCCATTGATTCTGGTATATTTTTTGAATTTGCATCAGAGCGCTTTCCAACCTCTGATTCTTCTAAAAATTGTTCTGTCTTCACAGTATTTTGATCTCTTGTTAGTAACGCAATCGAATCTTGGTCCTTGCCTTCCTCTTTTAAATCAGCTGTTTTACCTTCTAACTTTTGATCAAAGAAAAACATTTCTGGACTTTGTTCTTTTTGGTTTGTGTCTCCTGATAAATTTGTTAGTAGCCCAATCGGATCCTGTTTTTGGCCTTTTTCTTTTAAAACAGCAGTTATTTTTGACAAATTTTGTTCTTTTTGTCTTGTTTTTAATTGGTTTGTGTCGCCTGATAAATTAGTTCCAACTTGTGGTGAATCTTTTAATAAGAAATTTGGCTTTTGTTCTTCTTGTCTTTCATTTAAAATGTTTGTGTCGCCTGATGAATCTGTTAGTAGAAGATTTTGATCTCGTTTTTTATCTTCATCTTTTAGTTTAGTAGTTTCTTTTAACGACTTATCCACTGATGCTGTTTTATCTTCTGACATTTGGTACAAGTTTGTTTCAACTTGTGCTGAGTCTTTTAACAAGAAGTTTGGCTTTTGTTCTTCTTGTCTTTCATTTAATTTGTTTGTGTCACCTGATGAATCTGTTAGTAGCACATTTTGATCTCGTTTTTGATCTTCCTCTTTCAGTTTAGTAGTTTCTTTTGAAGACTTATCCACTGATTTACCTTCTGACTTTGGGGACAAGTTAGTTCCAACTAATGTTGAATTTTTTAACAAGAAGTTTGGCTTCTGTTCTTTTTGTCTTGTATTTAATTGATTTGTATCGCCTGATGAATCTGTTAGTATCACAAGTTTTTGATCTCTCTCTTTTAGTTTAGTAGTTTCTTTTGACGACTTATTTGTTCCAACTTGTGTTGAATCTTTTAACAATAAATTCGATTTTTGTTCTTTTTTTCTTAAGGTCTTTAATTGATTTCTATCGCCTGATGAATCTGTTAATAGCACATTTTGATCTCGTTTTTGATCTTCCGCTTTTAGTTTAGTAGTTTCTTTTGACGACATATCCACTTGTGCTGGTTTGCCTTCTGACGTTGGAAACAAGTTTGTTCTTACTTGCGTCGAGTCTTTCAGCTTCTGTTCTGTATGTCTTAAAGTTTTTAATGAGTTCGTGTCACCTGTTGAATCAGTTAATATAACTTTTTGACTTTTGTCTTTTAGGCCACTTGTTTCTTTTGGCGATTTATCTAACGATATTGGTTCAGCTTGTGACTTTAAATCCGTCCAAGGCCAATCTAATTCTGATATTTTTGATAAAATTTTTGGTTTTTGCTCTTTTTGTCTTGCAGGCTTTACTAGGTTTGTACTGTCTGATGAATCCTTTAGTAACAAGTTTGGATTTTGTTCTTGGACTTTCTCTTTTAAACCAATTGTTGACTTATCTATTGATATTGGTTTACCTTCTGACTTTAAATTTAGGTCTGACTCTTTTGGTTTCTGTTCGTTTAGTCTTGGTCGCTTTGCTGAATTTATTTCTGATCTTTTTAATACATTTTTAGATTCGTTTAAGTAAGACATATTGTCTTCTAATGGAACTTTTTTATAAAAAACTTCTAATTTTTGATTAAATTCTTTTGAAGATTCCCTAGACCTATCTGGAGAAAATAAAGACCAAACTGCCCTTTTCGCCCTTTGTATTACTGACTCTTTATTTACTGTTGGAACTTTTTCTTTCACACGCTCTTCTCTATTTCTTGTCGATGACATTTGATCCGGCCATTGACCATCTTTTGTCAAATCATCTGCTTTATTATTATTTTTGGTACTTTGGAATAACTTTAAAGACTGTTGTGCTGTATCTTGTTTATTTAAAGCCTTCAAACTAGGTGTTGGAACTTTTGTGTACAAAACTTCTAATTTCTGAATATTCATATTATTATTTTCTTTTAACTTATCATGAGACGTCAATTTTGATTGTGCTTCTATTAATTCAGATTTGTTTTGGTTTAATGTTATCGACGATTGTTTCAATTTACTGTAGTCTACCTCCAATTTGTTGCTCTTTTGTCTCAGTAATGCTTTAATGAATATCGTTTCTACGGGTAATTGTGATTCCCTTTTCCAAGACATTCCAGACTTCTTACGTTTTGGACATTTTGAGTATTCTACATCAAAGGCTTTTTTTCCTTTACCTTTACCACCTTTCTTACCACCTGTTTGGCCTTTCATCGGCCACGGCTTTAAAGATTCGCGTAAAGCTTTTTTCGAACATTCTGGTTCTGTTGGCCAAGGCATTACCAATGCGTTTTGTAAACCCATTGCACATCTGTAGCAAGGTATTTTTATAGCTGAAGACGAACGTTTTGGGCGCATTTTTCGCTTACATTTGGTACAAACTACTTTCACTGAACCTTTGGAGGCTTTAGCACCTGACCGTTTCTTTTTACATTTTGAACACACTATCTTTACTGAGTTTTTAGAACTCCGTCCTGTAGGTTTTTTTAAACACTTTGAACATATAATTTTTATTGCATTTTTAGAGAATTGAATGTTTGTTTTTGACGATTTTTTTTTACATTTTGAACAAGTTATTTTTATTGCGTTTTTGGGACTTTTAGGCTTTTTTCCCGATGGCGAGGTTTTGCACTTGGAACAAACAATTTTTACTGCGTTTTTTGGGCTTGTTCTTTTAGATGGTTTTCTTTTACATTTTGAACAAACTATTTTTAATGACGAGGTTCTCTTTGGCGTAGATCTTTGAGGTTTACCTAAGCATTTTAAACAAAGGATTCTTATTGATGAAGCACTCGATTTTCTAGACTTTTTTGATGGTTTACCGCATTTTGAACAAACTATTTTTATTAAATTTCCACTAGACTTGGCTTTTCTTGGCCGTTTACATTTTAAACAAACTATTTTGATAGCATTTTTTGAACGTTTTGTTTTTTTAGGTTTCTTGCATTTTAAACAAACTATTTTTATTGAGGATTTTGAGCCTGCAGACTTGGGTTTTTTCGATTTTCTACATTTTGAACAAACTATTTTGATTGAAGATTTTGACTTGAGCCTTGGTTTTTTCTTTTTACAGCCAGAGCAAACTATTTTTATTGCGTTTTTAGATCCCGAGGACTTTGGTTTCGATGGTTTTCTGCATGCCGAACAAACTACTTTAATTGCATTTTTCACAGACTTCGGTTTTTTCTTTTTTCCTGATTTGCATTTTGTACAAATTATCTTTATTGCGTTTTTAATTGATGTACGCTTTGACGGTTTTCTTCGACATTTTGAACAAATTATTTTAATTTTTTTTGAACTTGTACTTTTACTCTTCTTTTTTGGTCCTTTATCTGATCCACTAGTTCCACTTCCACCACATGGGCATGGCGCAGGTGGTTTTGGTTTTTTCGTGGATTTTTTCTTGGATTTTTTCTTTGAGTACGTTACATCCAATTTGTCTTCCTTCGATTTGGCACATATCGGTTCAGATTTTGATTTTTCTGATATTGACGCAGATTTCTTTGTTTTGGATTTTGGTGCCGACCCTCCAGAATCACGGGCACCACACGTGCATGGGGCAGGTGTTGGTTTTTTCTTGGATTTTGGCGGCGATTTTGGCTTTTCGCATATTTGTGAGCTAGATTTTTTTGGATCTTTAATCGGTAACAATCTCGGTAGCTTTATAACGCATGTCAGTTTTTTTATTTTAACATTTTTGTCTACTTTTCCAGATTTCTGGTCGCAAAAGGGCTCTGACCAAGGATATTTCTTTTTTGAACCACTACCTTTGTTGGAACTTAAGGACTGTGCATCCGTAATTAATGAACTGGACTGGCGTATCTTTTCTATGTTTTCGGATTTAGGATCTGAAATTGTTGATTCAGCTTTATTTTTAAAAACGGTTTCGCTAGGTGTTATTGCTAGGGTTGGTTTTTCTAAAGGTACAGATTGAGATGAACTTTGAGAAATGGTCTTAGCAGTCGTTGTTGTAACGGCTTGTTCTTCTGATGGTAAAGGTTCAACGTTGCTTTGGAATGTTGTTTCGTTAGATGATGCTGAGGTTTGTTTTTCTAAATGAAAAGGTTCAGCTGTGGTTTCAGAAACCGTTTCAGCAGTTGTTGTTGTAGTGGCTTGTTTTTCTAAAGGTAAAGGTTCAACATTGCCTTGGAATATTGCTTCATCAGGTGTTCTGGCTGGGGTTTGTTTCTCTAAAGGAAAAGATTCAGTTGGAAGGGCTTGAGAAACTTTTTCAGCACTTGTAGTGGCTTGTTCTTCAACGTTGCTTTGGAATATGGTTTCATCTGGTGTTGCTTTTGGGGTTTGTTTTTCTAACAGTAAAGGTTCAGCTGTAGTTTGAGAATCGGATTTGGCAGGTGTTGTGGCGATGGTTTGCTTTTCTAAAGATAAAGGTTCAGTTGTGGGTTGGTGAAGTGCTTCATCAGGTGTTGGTGCTGGAGATTGCTTTTCTAAGTGTAACGGTTCAGCTTTTCTTTGGTCAGTTGTTTCGCTTGGTGTTGTTATTGTGGTTTGTTTCTCTAATTGCATAGGTTCAGCTGTGATTTCAGATGGTGTTGTTTCAATGATTTGTTCTTTTAAAGGTTCATCTTTGTTTTGGTAAATTTTTTCGTCAGGAGTTACTGTGGTTTGTTTTTCTATAGGTATATGTTTACTTTTACTAGGTGTTATTGTTGTGAATTTTGTCTCTAGAGGTACAGGTTCAGCTGAGCTTTGAGAAGCAGTTTCAGAAGGTGGTGCTATGGTTTGTTTGTCTAAAGGTATAGACTCAGATTTGCTTTGAAAAACGGTTTGTTTTTCCAAAGGAGAACTTTCAGATTTTCTCTGAGAAACGGTGCCAGTAGATTTTGTTGTAGGGCTTTGTTTTTCTGTAGGTGAAGTTTCAGCTTTGTTGCTATAAACAGTTTCACTATGTGCTATTGTTGAGGTTTGTTCTTGTAAAGGATTTTCTAAAGGTACATGTTTAACTTTACTAGGTGTTATTGCTGTGGCTAGCTTTTCTAGAGGTATGCGTTTAGCTGAGCTTTGAGAAACAGTTTCAGCAGGTGCTGTTGTGGTGGTTTGTTTTTCTAAAGGTAAAGGTTGAGCTTTTCTTTCAAAAATGGTACCAGTGGGTTTTGTTGTAGGGCTTTGTTTTTCTATAGGTAAAGTTTCAGCTTTGCTGCGAAGAACGGTTTCAGTAGGTGTTATTGTTGGGGTTTGCCTTTTTAAAGGTAGCGGTTCAGCTGAGCTTTGAGAAACACTCTCAGCAGGCGTTGTCGCAATCGTTGATTTTTCTGAAGGTAAATGTTTAACTTTATTAGGTGTTATTGTTGTGGCTTGTTTTTCTAGAGGTACATGTTTAGCTGAACTTTGAGAAACAGTTTCAGTTTCAGAAGGTGTTGTTGCGGTAGATTTTGTTATAGAGCTTTGCTTTTCTATAGATAATGTTCCAACTTTACTGCGAAAACCGGTTTCACTAGATGTTATTGCTGGGGTTTGCTTTTTTAAAGGTAATGGTTCAGTTGAGCTTTGAGAAACAGTTTCACCAGGCGTTGTTGCCATCGTTGGTTTTTCTAAAGGTAAATGTTTAACTTCACTAGGTGTTATTGCTGTGGCTTGCTTTGCTAGAGATGCATGTTTAGCTGAGCTTTGAGAAACAGTTTCAACTGGTATTGTTGCGATGGTTTGTTTTTCTAAAGGTAAAGGTTTAGCTTCGCGGCGAATAACGGTTTCATTATGTGTTATTCCTGGGGTTTCATCTTCTAAAGGTAATGGTTTAGTTGAGCTTTGAGAAACGGTTTCACCAGTCGTTGTGATCCTTTGTTTTTCTGAAGAAACTGCTTTGCTACGAAAAACGGTTTCAGCAGGTGTTGTTGAGTGACTTTGTTTTTCTAAAGCTTTGCTTTGAGAAATTGTTTTAGCAGGTGTTGTTACTTCGGTTTGTGTTTCCAAAGACGAAGGTTCAGCTTTGCTTCGAAAAACGGTCTCAGCAGATGTTGTGGGGCTTTGTTTTTCTAACGGTAAAGGTTCAGCTATACGTTGAAAAATGCTTTCAGTGGGAGATACGACGTTTTTACATTTACAAGTGATGAACTCTTGAGGATTTGTTGGTTTAAATCCGGCCTCTTTAATTACCTTCTCAAGGTTATCAACAAAGATTTCAGCATGTTTCTTGTTAAAAGTTAGAGAGGGTCTAATTGCAATACCTTGTAGCCCACATTTCCCGCACAGTATTCCTGAAATAAAATGGGATTATTAAAGCGAACACCAGTTCGTTGTTTTTACTTGAAGCACGCCATTTCAAGAAATAAAAAAATTCTACATCGAGTATAGTATCAAATAATTTATAAAAATAAAAACTTAATAGCGTACCTTTGTTTCGTAATCTCAAAATAAGTTCGTCGGTAAGTTTTGGAGTTTTAACGTCAAACGCCAAAATTGTACCCAACCCTCTTGTCGAATGGATCAAATCGTTATACCGGTTTTGTAGCTCCAGTAAATCTCCTTTTAGAACGTCTCCGGTTAATTGGACGCTTCTCATTAAATTGTGCTTTTCAATGAAATCTATGATGGCTTCAAAAAGGATAAGTTTGGATACGCTAAGGGAACCGGATGATAAAAGAGGGTTGTTTTGTACCGGGCTACAAAATATTAGTTATTTGAGCATCAGTTTAATATTTTGACATATGGAAGTCCCTACTTACTTCAAGTCTGTCTTATGAAGGAACCCCGAAATCTGAGTTTTACCACCAAAAGTCAGAATGTCTGGAGGACAATTCAAGGGATAATGTTCGTGTGCCCAGAACCGACCTGTTGCGCCACAGCACGTTTTACTTTCGTCAAACATTAAATATATACCATGTTTGATGGTAAGTCCTTCTAGGCCTAGCATAAAATTTTGGGAAATGACATGATTGGTTGTAATTTGAAGAGGTTCAATGATGATTCCAGCTACTGGTATGTCTAAAAACAAATTGATTTGTCTTATTATAAAGATATGTATACCAGAGAAGGAAATATATTTATGAAAGGCAAGAAGTGATTTAATATGTTGTTGAAAAAAGGTAAGCAGATCGAATCAAGTGGATTAAATAATAACCCAATATTTACTTTTGTTCTGCCATGTGGTAATCAGATCTTCAACCATGGCTAAACTTTGATTATCCTGTATATCATTGTATTCTACGTTCTCATCCAATGGATATTTGTACTCTGGATAATCGGCGACGGGCCAATCGAAGGTAGCGAAGTCAACTTTTTTCCATGGATCAGCGTTAGAAACGTTTAGAGCCCCAATGGTGCTTCCGTGCAGCGAATTTTTGAAAGACAATATGGAGAGCTTTGGAGAACCTAAAAAAATATTTACAGACTTGATAGTGAATTAATAAACTTCAACCAATTTGGGACAAATTCTTAAATATATTTATACAGGGGTTGATGACAATTATTCTGGGGTGAGTAGATGGGATTCACATGATATTAGTACTTCACAAAATATTATAATACGCTTAACATTTAAAAAGTTGTCGTGAGTTTTTAAATTGTTGATATACAGATCGTTAGAAAATTAACACTTTTACTGCCGTGGGGATTTTGCACGTGGCACCCCTCAGGCCAATAGGTTTTTTTCTCTAAATTTCCCTGTTACATTACTTAGAAATGTCATGTATTACTTGACTTGATATGATTTGTTTTTGTGATATTTTAAAAATGTGTATCGCTTATGATACACGCGACCAGTCCAGGTTTTTTTTTATCCCAGGCCGCGTGTATCGCTGGAGATACATCATAGCTAATTATGTCTTTTGTTTCAGGTTTTGAAATATTTGGTTTTCTTTTTACTTTTATGTAGTTTCTTCATCTGTCAAACTTATTATTTGTTCCTTACTGCAACAAAAACTTGCTTTGTATAATTTTGTTTTTTTGTTTGTGCAATAAAAATCTAAAATATAAAGATTCACTTTCCCAGGCCATATAAATACCCTAGTCATTGCCTCAGGCCAAAGTTCGCTATGGCATAGCATTCACACAGGCCAGACGATGCGATTCTTACTGTTAAAGTAATGATCGCATGGGATCTAAAGATACACAGACGACAAAACAAAATACAGTAAACGCCAAATCTAAAGAACCAAGGACGCGCATTTATAATGCTACGAATACGCCTACCGATGAATAGAATTGGTAGCTTACTTAGAAAGTTGTAAACCAGGGGCGCGTATATTTTAAGACACAAAATAAATGGAAAATAGTGAATGATGCTTGTTCATACATATTGCTTAGTGTTATTAGTACATAATTCTATAGTCAATTAAAAAATCATTATTTTTAGATAAGCCGACTTTAGGTTAAAGAGAGCTCTAGTGTTTTATATTTTAACTGACATTAATTTTTTTATAAACAAAATATGAAATAATATGTGTATGAAGTAATATATACTTCTGATTTTTTATACCGGGTCTTCATTTCAAAACTGGATAGTCCAAATAACTTCTGATTTTACGTAAATTTAAGAAAAACAAAAACATGTAGTACCCTCTGTGTATCGACAGAGATACACGCGGACTGTATAGGAACAGCCGTGTACACACGGCAGTGAAAATGTTAATAAATGAATTTACTATTATTCTGCCCCGAATACGGACCAGCAGTTATGTAATGTAGGACAAGTCCAATAAAGATTGAAAGGCTCTGATCCAAAGTTCTGAACACTTGAACACTTGATATATAGGTACAATCGACGTGAAATATTCTTAATTGTTAAAATTTTATTTTTTAGATAATGATTTAGTTGTGTGCGAGTAGTTAGAACATGAAAATGTCATATTGTCGTCTTTCAACGTAAGACAAAGGATGCTTGATGCTTCTATTGGTGATGTAAGAAAAATAATGCATGTCCGGTTATGGTTTTAGTTTTATTTATAACCTCGCTTACCGGAGAGTTGCTCGATTTTTAATTCTGTTAGTTAGATTTAGCGTCGTGTACCTAACTGACTTTTAAAATGAACCTGTTCTAAATTATATTGCTTGCAATAAGTGTGAGTAAAAATAATATTGTGTCAAGAGGGAGAAAAAAGATAGTACTATTTTATCTTATGTCTGATTTGATCACTGCGCTTAATCGTATGGTTAAATGTTTTTAGTCTATACACTATGTCAGCTTTTAAAATGCTGCAGTTTCTAAACTGGTTACTTGTTTTACAGACTAAGCATTTATTTATTGTTATATAAAGTGTTAGAATACTAGGGAATGGTTATAAAACAAAAATGATTCTCTTAATATATTTTTTACTCATTTCAAAAATTATTATTGAATGTACCTACAAATTAAATATAAAATAAGTGTATATAGATACTTCTACCTTTATTTCCACCTTGCTTTAATAATGCCTCTCCAAGAGCTTCAGAGCCTAAATTTTCTTCATTGATCTGCATCTGATAAGCAGCCATTATGGCCTTCAGTCCTTCTTCGACGGCAGTCGAATCGCATGGACATACGCAAAGATTTGGTAGATTTGGAGAAACCTATTAATAAATGAAACGATGATATTATTGATATCCTAATAAATGTAAAGCCTGTTACATAAGTTTTGGGACATGTTTTTCTATTTTCTGTGAAATATACTAAGTGACATAGGAGGATGGGGTAAATTGAGTAATCTTCTTCCCATAATGTCCCAGACGTGTTCTATGGGTGAAAGATCGGGAGATCTAGGGGGCCAAGGCAACAAATCGACTTGATTTTCTTCAAAATGGGCCAACGTAATTCTGGCTACATGTGGTCGTGCATTATCTTGTTGGAAAAGTGGGTTGGGGAGCGTCCGAATATAAGGCAGAACATGTGGTTCCACCACCTCCTGGATGTAACGCACGGCGGTCATGTTGCCTCTGATGAATACCAAAGGTGACCTACTTCCATAAGTAATGGCCCCCCATACCATAATACCGACAGTGTGGTGCACATGCCTTTCCACGAAAAATTGAGGATCTCGTCTTTCACCACGCCGCCTTCTCACCCTTGCACGTCCATCATGCATGCCCAAACAGAATCTGGATTCATCACTAAAGACAATGGTATTCCATTCATGGTCCCAGTTCAGCCGTTCTCTGCACCAAGCCAGTCGATCACTTCGGTGCCTAGGAGTGAGAGGTAGGACAAACTGAGGACGGTATGACGTAAGTCCGAAACTTCTGATACGGCGATAAACAGTTCGCATTGTTATTGGCCTGCCATGTTCTGCAAACCATTGGTCAGCAATTAATAACAATTACTAGAGGCTTCAGATAACTATTCATTTTGTATGTTTGTTTATCAAATAACGACGTCTTTAATTCTCAAAATCGCCCTATACATTTTTCCCAAAAGTTATGTAACATGTGTTAATACAGAAATAATTTTACCCTATCGATAATTTTTCCTATTCTTGAAGGACAGCAAGTTCCGGGAAATGCATTCAAATTGATGGCGTCGATTATATAATGCTAAAACGAGAGAACATTTTAAATTATTAAATTACTCCAACTGTAGAAAATCGACGAGAGAAATACTGAAAGATGCAATACATCTTAAAAATATAACATGGAAAACAAAATGAGATAGATAGCGTAAGAAATAAGACCATTAAAGCAGAAACAAATAAAAAAAGGTACATTAACATAGATACATAATTGGACAATAAAAACAGATGCCGACCAAGAAATAATAGAAAATAAATCAATGGAATGGATGAAAAAATATTTGATAGATCAGCCAGTGAGAAGTGAGTCAGAGAGGACATTGAATGAAAATCCGTTGCCTGAAATGGTAAAAGATAAAGAGATAGAAGAAAAAAAGAAGGTAGATTTGATTGAAAGGAATAATTACCAAATATTTCGGACCAGAAAATACGCTTGTCAATTCCTTAAAGTTGTATCCAAGTGGTATCTTCGATCCTTGCATATTTAGATCCAAAAAAATATTACCGTCTGCATCTACTAAGTAGTTTCCAATCGACTTTTCGTAGTTTCCAAAAAGTTCTGCGTTTCCCACATTCTAAAACAAATATTTTTTCCAAAAGTTTATTTTTATTTCAAGTCTATTTGTGATATTTAAAAATATAAAGTTAAAATGTTTACAATTGCAAAGTATTAGAGAAATATCTACATATTTACTTCGGGATTGGACATTGTAAAAAGCGATGGCTATCGAATTTCTTGATAATAGTGAAGATTTGACAGTTCTTAAAATACCCGCAGTAATGAGGAAGTCGTAAGACGATATAATATGATATGAATGTTCTCCATATTTTCATTGAGGATTGAAGATTTCACATGCTATAACCAGTAGAGCTGTAAAAGTAACGAGAAAATCAATACCCGTATGTATTCGTTACTTCGGATCTGACTACCCGTATAAAAATATTCGTTACTCGTTACTTTCGTTACTGTGATACGAATCTACAGAACACGCATCGTGTGGACCTCATACACGTCTATGCGGATGCGGAATTGGTGTCGGTAACTAATCGTACGTACGCATTGCTTCGGTTGTTAGGTTTTGGTACTGTCTAACAGAGGATGCGGATGAAATTAGATATCGAATCGTTGGTTAAATAAATACATAGCGAATTTGGAATTTGTAATTAGTAACAAAGTCGTGTAGTTCACTGAGCATGAGCAATGAGAACTGATGTGAAGTTTTGCAAAATAAAATATCGTCAGACAGGTTGAACAGAAACATATATATTTTTCTAACACACTAGTAGAAACAATAATAATACTCTATAAAATCATAACTTTAATAAACAAAAACATATTATATTCTTGCAACACGCAACAGAAAAACAACTATTATACTATTCTTTAAAACTGAAATAAATAAATACATAAATATGAACAAAAGTACGTTTCGAGTCCCAGTCGACGTGCGGTTCGATAGTCGATTCGCATCAAGGCCACACTCGCATTTCGCATCGCCCATCGGGCCATCTCGCATCTTGCACACCGAACCGGTGGCGGTATGTATTCTCAAGTATTATTATTGTGCGTTATGCGACGATGCGGATGCGAGTAACGAAATTTAAAATGCAGTAACGAATTCGTATTTCGTATCTGACCGACTACCCGTTACTGAGTAACGAATACATACGGTTTGCCACAGCTCTAATAACCAGTATAACCCAAAGAGCCCCAAATAAGACGGATTGTAGATTCGCAAGAAACAATGATAAAAAAAATGGGAGTGATTAGACAATAACTGCAACTAGCCCAATCCATGATACATGGGATGTCCTATAATCCATTTTCGGCATTTTAAAAGCACAAGGAGATCTAGGAATGTGATTAATATAATAAACGAAGCGCTACTAGACTCTCGTTCAGTCTTCTAAGACCCCCATACGAGGATCGATTAAGAATGGCGAACCTTGCCACTTTCCAACAACGACGTTTACGAGATGACCTAATTATTGCTTTTCAAATTATGAAATTAAATTTTGGTGGACTAAAGTCAGTATTTTATTTCTAAGTAACATAATTTTTGATGTTTGGAATAATATACCCCAAGAGATAGTGGACTAAGTGTTAGTTTCCTTCAAAAACAAAATAGATTTGCATCTTTTTAATAGAAACTAATAATTATTCAGAAGATTTTCTACACACTTATCTCAAGTATTGTTTTGTCCGTTTTGAAATAACTTATTTATTGTTATTACATATAATTAAGACATCTGCATTGGAATTTTCATCGTTTAATACGGTACGTGTTGAGACGACTATCTTCGTTCCACAGAATGCGATTTGTATGTAATGTCTCTCTCTATTTGATTCGCTACGTGTTGAATACACACATCTGCTCTTATCATAAAAAATCACTGCTCTAAAGCATGTGTTTTTGAATTTACCTGATAAAGTTTTAATTGTTTTAATAGTGCTTTTGATTTTGGACCTGGAATTTCAGTTTTTACATTTGGACTCTTCGGTTCATCACTTTTTTCATGGAAGTTTCTAGTGCCTAATGCTGAAAGTGCATAATCAAATTAATTATCAATATTTTATCAAGGACGCTTTTCTCACCTGGAATTTTTATACCTTCGTATGACAATATTCTTGAAATGTACGAAATCATCGTGATAACACTTAAATTTTGAACATGGATGAGGTTTTTTGGTAGGAGATCGACTTAGCTACATGATTTAACAAGTTGTAATAATTTTACAATGAAATAAGTACTGTCAGAGGGACATGTCTAAAAATACGAATGTGTCATTGTAAAATCTAGTTGACCGCATTTTTCAAACATTCTGACTCATAAGGTGCTTCCAGACCGGTAGTACAACCACAAATCAGGGAGTTCATTGGGTGCAACAAACAAGGCAAAACGTTCGTGAACATTTTGCAGCAAAGATTCCGCTCAGCGCTGATTTACTCTAGACTACTGGAACCACGATACACAGACTCACGGTATGTTCTTGCGCATGCAGCTGACTGACGGTGACGTCACGTGGGACGGAGATTTATTAGCATTAAATGGGAAATAGTGTAAATGTCTACAGTGGACTTTGAGATTTTAATTAAGTATATTACGCTTTATTTTACCAGCGATTTCTTCACAGGCATTATATACCTCGTCAACGACTTTCACCACTGTTGGAGAAAGATGGTCCTATTGGAGCAACATATGAATGTTCCAAGAATGGTTGGATAACAGAAGAACTACTCATCAAATGGCTTAAACACTTTATTATTTATGCAAAACTATCTGAAAATGAAAAAGTGTTACTAATATTAGACAACCATTCTAGCCTATGGCATGGTAGCCTATGATTTTTGTAGAGCGAATAATAATATCAAGGCAGACTCAACCATTGGACGTTGCGTTCTACGGATCATTCAAGTCATATTATAGAAATGAGTGCAGTATCTACATGAAGTCCCATGCTGGAGTCTAACGCTGCATCAGTAGGCAAACAAGAGGCAGGCTTTAAGGTAACAGGGATCTATCCGATTGACCCTTCTGTTTTTAAAAAGGAAGATTTCTTGGCTGTTGATGCCTTAAATGAGCTAGACGAAATAACAGTCTTTGACAATGGAATTGACACTAACCCTTAACGAAGATATTGCGCCAGCCTCAACGAATCCAAGATCCGACCAAGAACAGGCAGGAAATTCGAAGCAGAGTTGTTCTTCAGAACATAAAGGCCCCGCAATTCCTTCGACTTCAAAGCCAGAACCAACTCTAAATTGCAGTGTTGAATGCCTACTTCCAAAACAAAACAAAAAATACTAAAATGACAAAGCCGAACCGGAGATCTAAGCAGCATTCGGCTATTTTAACTTCTACACCCCTTAAAGACTTATTGGAAGAAAAGGAAGAGAAAAGAAAGCAAAACTAGAGAAAATTAAGGGTGGGACAAATAAAAGGTCTTAGCCAAGCTAAAAGAACAATACTAAACTCGCCTAAGGAGAGAGTCGCCAAGAAACCAAAGATGATGAACGTCACTACCCAAAAGGAATATAGAACAAAATCTAACTTCAGCAAAAAAAGAACCGATTCAACATCCTCTGACTCTGATATTAAAATGAATTTGTTCAGTGATAGTGAAAACAATGAGACAGATTTTAATTTATGTGTGATTTGTGGAGAATATGGGGCAAATAATGAGATGTGGTACAGGTGTACCATATGTGGACAATGGGCACACTCCCTACCCAAGTAACACAAGAAGCCATAAAGAAGCTTGCAAGTGGATTTCGGTGCTAATAGCAAAGCTAATAAGCATTTAAATCTGGACACCAAGTCTTCTAGAAGTAGTCATCATTACGTAACCGTGGCCAAAAGGGAGCGCGTGATTTGGCACGCAAGAAGAATTTGTGGCTTATTAGATTTTATGCTATTAAGCCACGGTGGCCAGAATTGGCACTTTATGCGTTTCTGGTGCTTAAAAGCATTAGCATTATAGTCGATTTTATGGCTAATATTAGCATTTAGTGCGATAACGAGAAGCTCCTGTTTGGTCAAGATTTAGCTTTCACTGCTTAAGGCGCGCATGCGCAAATAAAACTTAATAAAAATATGCCTGTTAAAATCCAATTAGAATTATAATGGTCATATATTGGCAGTTTTGTTTTTCGTTGACCAAAACAACTGTCCTTTAACTTATTAAGTATAGTGATGGTAGGCCATTTTCAATAAATGATAAATAGGTCATTAATAAAAATGGAAATTAGAAGTTTGAGTCACCCAAAATCATTGCGAATCTTACTTATTTGTTAAATATGCATGAAATAGTTCTTATATATAAATGGGCCATTACGTTTTTAATAAAAAGCTTGATTTATAAGTTAGCTTGTGATATTATCAAATGCGGTGTTGTCAAAATTAATTTATAATTTTTTTTATAATAATTATAGTATAGTTGATATTAAACATAATATTTTGTGTTTCCTTTTTGACAAACATATTAGGTAATTCATGTAATGGATACCTAACTAGGTATACTATATCCATTAAATCAAGAAACGCAACTATAGGATAGTCGATGAACTCTAGGATAGTTGAGGAGAATAGAACAAATCTATAGTAATTTACTTAATAGGTATTAAACAAGTTTTGATAATTGCGAGTTCAAAATAATTCCGTCGCTCATTAGTAATGAAAATTCTCACAAATCTATCGCAGATACTCTACTCTAAAGTAAATCGGACTAAAACCAAAAAAATATTTTTTTGCGAATCTTTGTAGGTATTTATCTATTTTTACCTCTCTGTATGCCGGATATTCCATATTAGTACGTAATTGTTGGAAATATACTTATTAAATACGAAAGGTGTACTTATCGTTGACGACTATATTTTAAAACTATTTCTAACGATACACGCTGGTCACTGTCACTGTGATATACCCAGGGGAGTAAATTATCGACTATAGAATTGTTCCTAGGTACAACTATGACATATTTGACATGACATTTTTGACTTCATTCTGTCATATTAGCAATGAAAATATAAAATTAACCAATGTCAAATTAGCAAAGGAAATATGACATTAATCAATATTAATTCTACTATAAAGTCGAGAATCGACACCTTGATGTTTTGGAAATTGACGCCACTTTTGTATTAAATTCACACTAACTTTAATTTACACTAACATGCCGTCAAACATGATGAGACTTTTAAGATGAATAAAAATATATTGCTTCTGCATTTTTTTTATCCTGTATATCTGAAAATAATTTTAAAATAGATATCGTCAACGAGATACATAACGTGACGCATATCTCGGCATTCTTCATCATTCATTTTAAAGACAAGGAAAATATGTTTCACGAAAAAAATAGGTCAAAAATTAAAAAATATTTTTTTCTGCACCCACATGGATATTAGCTAATCTACGCACATAATAAAAAACGAAAAAGTAGGCCATTGCGTTCAACTGAACGAATATATTTCATATCCATTCTACCTTATAAGAAAACTGCCTGAAAATGAAATCCGCCATCACAGTTCATATTTTGGACACCCAACTACTATTATTTTTAATATTTTAAATAAGTGACAATCCTGTCAAACTAATTGGCACTATATTTTTTAGTTGTTGAGATTAAATGTAATTAAAAACTAGTGATTATTGTGTAGAATCGATAAAAAAATAATAGTTCACAAGATATTTCGTCCATATTTACAAATAAATCATAAATTTTAATTAAACTATCTAAAAGCAGTTTGATTAGCAGTTTTAAATAATATATTGTCATAAGTGTGATTGGCTCAGATATTAGCGTACCTGTCTGGCATGCAAGGGGTCAGCGGTTCGAATCCCGAATAGGTAAAAAATGTTTTTTTTTTCAAAGTTATTTTATTTTATAAATTAGAAAAAGTTTTAAATTATTATTCAAATTCTGATTTTATCTTATTAACCTCTAAATTAATTTTTAAAATTTGTAGATTTTCAAGTGGGTTGTAGAAAAAATATACTGTACAACTCGAGTGGATTGTCCATATCGCACTCAGACGATTGAGCACTCTGTCATCGTGCTCAAATTTCGTCTTCGTGCGATATGAGAATCATATCCTCTTGTTGCACAGACTACTATTGTATTCATTTCTAAAAAGCCTTCTTCGTTTATACATTTTTTTGGATTTCACGATAATAAACTGTTATCCAGTAATTATGCATTAATAATGGGGCACCTCGTAGGGTTCAATTAAAATATCTAAATTTTTCTTGGTACCTATATATTTTCAGACGCTTTGGCAACACAGTTAAAGTCGTAAATGAACGGGTCATCCATGTTTGTCTGGAGTGTCAACTAAGCAGTCACCGATGCCAAAATAAAGCTCACTGGCATTGTATGCTAATTGGCTACCGAATGTGCTGCTTGGAAGCTTGAAAAATTAAAATTTGTGAGGTTATGTTAAATATTAGAATTTTAAGGTTGCGTATAAGATTGCGACCTAGCAGGAGTGTCACAAATAAAGCATCTGATTCGAACTGAAATTTTTCGAGAACCTATTATGATTCCATTTTGGAGAATTGATAATAATTCTACAGTAAATTTCTCTAAAAATTCAGTTGCAGACGGTGGTTTCGTTTCACCATAAAAAATACCAATGCTCTTTGGGGGTATGTCCATATTTTCCACTGAAAATAATATTGGCCAAATTTGTTTCTTAGAACTATTATGTATGGGCAGTCCGTCAATGTTAAAGTTTAAAAGTACCTCATCAGGAAAATGTTGATTTAATTTAAATATTTCTGTCATTGCATTACCAAGTCCCCCATGCCAATACTGACCATTTCCCATTGGCTCAATGGTAATTTTTCTTGGTGTTTCCAGTAGAATTCTGGGATCGTTTGGTATGTTTTTTATATTCATTTTATGTAACACTCCCAATAAAGCTTTCAGTGCAGTATGTGGTATGTTTAAATTCAGAGCCCATTGCCGCAAAAGCTGAACATTACTTTCCACTATATTATCATTATTCTCAGAATTGTCACTGTCCTCGTAATCAATAAATTCAAAATTGACTTCATCTATAATTTGATTATCGATTTCCTTAGTAGATATTTGACGAGTATTATCCTGGCGAGACGAAGAAGGAAGCTGGACCATATTGAAACCCAATTTCTTATTATTTGGATGCACACTTTGTTTACTTTTATTTAGGCGCCTATTATATGCACCGGTCCGTCCAAATTTTCTGAATTTTGATATTTTACCAAATAGCACAGTATTTTTTTCCATGACACTGTTTAGTCCACAAAAAGGATTTGAGGTTAGCAATATTTGGTGATTTTTTTTTTGATTTTATTGCCATTTAAAATCCAGATTAATGCCAATATATGACTTCAAAGCATAGTTGTTAGCAAGCAGTAAATGAGGCATTAATGTATGCAATAATTCTAATTTAAATGCCAACTAGCCGCGCTTTTATTTGGCATTTAGAAAAGCAATTAATTCTACTTTTTGATGAGTGTCTGTGGCCTGTTGGCAATAAATGCCAATTCGCTCTTATATTAAGTAGTCAAAGCGATTTGACTGCTTCAAACGAATTCTCAAATAAAGCCTTAATCACATGCTAAAAACGGGCTAATCTTTGGCCTTTTTTTCGCATTTAATGCTTGTGCCAGCATTATTTGCTAGTAGTAGAGTTTTGTGTTACTTGGGTATGTTCTGGAAAAGATTTTTGTTTGTGACCGGTACTGCCCATGTTCATAACCGGCATTACTCGAATGTTAGGGTAATACCGGTCAAAGATATATTTTTGTAATTTTGGTATGTTTTTTGAAAAATGTAAGATTTTTAGTTTCATTTGTATTTTTTACTACATAGAGTAATTGTTCTGTTTCATTTTTCTCTGATCAGAATATGTTTTTTAGTTTGACTTTTGTGTTCAAATTTCGTTAAGTGACCGCTATTACCCCATTCTACCCTATACTGGAACATGTGTTTGGTAATATTTGCCCAAGCACGTTAATTGTACAAGCGACACGGGACTTTTGGAAATTCTATTTTTTTTTATATGTGCATTTGGAAATGAGCGTGCGTATGTGAAAGACTTGTACAAGCTTGGAACAGTTGAATTTGTCTCAAATATGATATAGGGTGTCTACCTCATCTGACTGCAAATAGTGGTACTTCATGTTTTGTGCTTGCTAGTACAGTAGAGGAGGGTGAACAACATGTACTATGTCCCGGTGGTGGGAGCTGACGTGCAACCTATCAAATAATGTTTCTTATCGATGGATTTTTTCGTTTTTTGCTGGCAATGAAATAATTTGCTTATAGACATCTATAACAATAAAACAATCCCTTTGCAAGCATTTTTTGTCGTCCATTTGTGCTATTTTCGGTGTAAGCGTAGGAATTTCCCATCACCGGGACATAGTACATGTTGTTTACCTCCCCTGTATCCAACTACAAATAGCAAGCAAAAAACACGAAATGCCACTTTTTTGCAGTCCGATTTTGGAGTAATATGATGTTTCAATAGTCATGTGCCGTAAAAATTGCCAGACTGAAAATGGCCCATCGTAGAAAAACAAATGATTGCTTAAAATCCTAGACACTCGAAATAATTATTTAACCTACACTTTACTATACAGTCAACAAACTTTTATATTGTAAATATTTAGAACAACTTCTCCACATCCCTTAATATATCAAAATTGTTGTGAGGATTTTATAATATAGATATTTCTCCACGGCTACCACTGAATGTAGTTCTTCCGAAACTAGTTGTAACAACAGAAATAAAACAACTCGCTCTTGAGAATAAAAAAAAATTCTGAAACACTTGACTCTTCTGTATTGTATAGTTTTTCATTATAATTCTAGAGACATAATGTTCATTATGTAAAAGCTTCTGGTGAATGCCTGTGAATACCACGCCCGCATCGTAGATAGTCTTTTAAGAAAATTAAAAGATATAACGGTAACATATAAAATAAAAAGAAGAGGTCTCAGAAGAAAACCTTGGGAACTCCAGAGGTAACAAAAGAATCGTTGGAATAGTGACGTTAATTAATTTTTATTTGAAGATAAATTTTACTCTATTAAATCACGTTTGCCTAATTATGAAGTTAACCACTCTATCGAAAACTTTGCCACCCATTTTCAGGGCTTCCGAAAAAAAGTTAGCGGAAACAATAAAACAACAAGTGCAGAATGGGAATTTAATGGAAATTTACAAAACCAACAACATATTAAAGTAGAACAATTTAAATTATATATTTTTTTAAGCTATATAAATATAATTAGTGGGGTCGTCTTTGTCACGCTCCATGTATTCCCTCTCTATCAATAATTCTATTCTCTTCTTAAGATCGTAAGGCTTGACAGGTATGTCCAAATTATTGAATAATTCAGATATCAGCTCGTTGTGGCTAATCTTCTTTTTGTTTTTCAAGATTCTTACAATAGCCGCGTCGATCTGAAATTGTCTATCAGCCAGAACACTTTTCTCAATTGCCTGCTGATCCTCAACGGTTTCCTTCAGTTGTATCTGGTTTATTTTAACTCTGAACAGTTTATCGCTAAATTTATTATTAATGCAAAACGTTTCGTCAGCTTCAATCTCTCGGTTTTTAGATTGTTTGAGTAGAACTCTGTTCTTTGTACAGGCCAAAGATATTAAAGTTCTCTTTAATTCTTCTATATCTATATTGGTAAGTTCGTGAATCTCGCTGAAAGTCAATTTATTGGATTCGTTAAAGAGTAAAAGGACTATGGCCTGAAATAAGGACACTTGTAGTTCTTTATTACCGCTTTCGAAAACCGCTTTTACAATACAATGACCAAGATTTGGTTGCCATACGAGCTTCCTTCCGTTGTGATTGATAGAGTAAAATTTTTGGAAAATTACTTGGTAGTTTACCAATTCCGAAGGTAAGTTTACCTTATAGATGGGATAATTCGGCCAGAAACTGCTTGTTAAAACATTTATACAGAGATCAGAAGTAATGGTAGAACAAATGTGAAATAAATGCTGTTTAAAGGCGTTGTTCATACTTTGACTGATGTTGATATCTTTAAACATGCCTTCTATTTTAGAAGTAAAACCTGCACCGCACTCCACTTTTAGTTTACCAATCATACTGTCTTCGGCATCTTGACTTGTAGATTTTCCCAACAACAATCTTTTAGCTAAATCTTTCTTATAAAATGCTTCGAAAATATCTTTCCCCTGAATGTATCTGAACAAGACCATCACTTTATTTAAAATATTCTCCAATTCTTCTTCAGACAAATCTTTAGATCTAAGTTTGATGTCGATGTATTTGGCCAACAATTGTGCTGGTTTGTTCTGTTTGCTATTGATGAATCTTACGAAACAGTTTCTTATAATGTCTGTAAAAGATTCGTTGCCTTTGAATCCGCGTTCAACCATATTGTCTAACTCGTCTTTGAAATCCAACAGTTCTTGTATCATTGTCTTTTCGTTATCTGGTCTACTGACAATATAGGTTCCTCGTTTCATAATATATTCAATAAAAAATTCTGTAAGGCTCTTCAAACCCAATAATACTTTTTTAACCAGATTATATAAAATCAATAAATCTGTATTACCAATCTCTTTTTTGTCTAATAGCTTAAAAACGTTTTCTAGGATTTCCTTCAGATGATCTTTAATTAAATTTTGATTGAGAATTTCCAATACAGCCGAAGATGTGTATTTATTTTGATAGAATTTAGATTTCTCTTGTTCCTCTTTAATTCTGGCTTGGCAATGTTTCAGATAAGTTCTTACATCAATCATATTTATTAAAATATTACCCTCATCTGCGTAAAAGATATTGGAATTTTTCAAAAATTCTATTTGAAAAATATCACTATAAACTTGTAAATCAGACAACATTTCTAACACCGATTTTAATAAATAAGTATCAATTTCGTTACCTCTTCTTTGATATTGAATCAAAGTAATTATGTTGTCTGTTAAAGCATTCTTGACTTTTGGGTTTAGAATTATTATAGTCTTGAACAAACCTGTGGTTAGTTGATGAACAGTGTTATACTTATTAAGGTTTTGTGAAGATCTATCACAATTTAGAAAAATATTTTTAATTGTACAAACATTTTTGCAAAACTCCGTCCAAACATTATTGATGGTTACCAATAAATCTTCGCCATTTTTATTGAGCTGCTCCAGTTTTTCCATCAAAACATCTTCTAAAATATCCTTTAGTTTATTATACAAAAGGTTCCTATGAGTGCTGTGAAGATTTTCAACAACGCTGAACAATTCTTGAAGAGATAATTTTCTTGGTTGCGATTTTAAAATACTGTTTAAATCGATTTGTAGAGAACGAATAGCAGTATGTATGGATTTTGTATTATTTTCATTTTGGTGAAAATTCTTTATAACTAGTGTTTTACGAGTCAACGTCATTTTTGGTGTTAACAGTAACATTTTGACAACACAATTTGGAATTTATTGTTATGTCAATGTTCAAAGGTAACATGATTTTTAAATAATTTTCAATTTACTTTACAGGACTGGGTTAAGGGACAAAATGGACGTGAGTGCCTTTAGCCCTTCGAGCATTAGCCTTGGTTCCGAACAGAAAGAAAATATAGCTTACAGAATATATTTTGGAGTCTTTTTAAGCCCTCATGTGTACTGAATACCTATTGAAAATTGAAATTACTTCAAAAATGTCAAGGATTTTAGTAAAAAATATATAATAAGAAATACATGAAGTTTAAAAATATGGTGCTGTATTTTTTCTGATCTATTTTTTGGTATAAGAAAAGTATATCTAGATAGAGTAGGTTTTTGAGTAGGGGTAGGTATCGTAAGTGGGGTTGATTTTGGAGCGTGCATGTCATTTCGAACAAAGTTTACTTATAATTTAAATTGATTTAGGAACGACTTTATTAATGTATGTTGTCCACATACTTTGATTTTCTCTTACTATACGGAGAATGGTCGCACTGCGAAGCTTTCTGAGTGCGTTTTAAAAGGAGATAGAAAACTCCGCCATTTTGATCCCTTATTACGTGTTGCCTACATCTTGGCGCAATATTTTTAATAGGTGCGTTTTAATCATCCGCTTCTGCTTCGGAATTGTCGGTTTTCTTGTTTTAATCTAACAGGTTAAAACGACTAAACCGACAATTCCGGAAGCAGAAGCGGATAATTAAAACGCACCTGATATTTTGCTTGCTGCTGTCAGTGTCAGTGAATATTATTTTTGGAGTCACAGTTTATTGCTAAAGAATCAGTTAGCTCACTCGGACCAGTTGAAAGTTCCAAAATAACATCCACTCCAGGGATACAAATTCAGGATACGCAGAAGACTGCTGTTTTATTATAGGCGGTTGTCATATATTGTATTATCCGAGTTGCGCAGTGTATAAACTGGAACATTGAGATCAAAAGTGCCGACGCAGAGTGAGCGATCTGATTCTTTAGCTATAAACTGTGGCATAGGAATCAAAACGGCCGCGCCCTAATATGTTGGGCGCACATACTTTGATTTTCTTTTACTATACGGAGAATGGTCGCACTGCGCAGCTTTCTGAGTGCCTTTTAAAAGGAGATAGAAAACTCCGCCATTTTGATCCCTTATTACGTGTTGCCTACATTTTGGCGCAATATTATTAATAGCTGCGTTTTAATCATCCGCTTCTGCTTCGGAATTGTCGGTTTTCTTGTTTTAATCTGACAGTTAAAACGACTGAACCGACAATTCCGGAAGCAGAAGCGGATGATTAAATGTAGAACATCTGTAAAACATTTCATTTCAGAGATTTTTCAAATGTATGTAGGTAGTCCTATTCAAACATAAAATTTATTGTTTTAGGCATGTTTATGTTTAGAGCGTCTTATATCAATATTCTGGCTTCTACTGGCTCTGATGCTGTCATGCTAGTACCGTTGTATGAAGATACAACGCTAGTACAACTACTACCCATGCACTATAAAACGCTTATACATATTAATATATCAATTAATATCAATATCAATTAAATCGACCTTTATTTTAATTTTTTTTTATTCCTATAGTAGATTATTATTTTTATATTTAGTTTTAAAATATTTTCCTTAATAGTATGCAACCAATTTTGCATTTTAGTACCCTGGATCAGATATACTGAATCTGCTAGGATTTCAGAAACTTTTTTTTAAATTTTGACATACATTCTATATACAATGATTCTATGTAAGACAAAGTCAGTCTCATTTTTTAATATTTCTACAATTAATTACAAAACTATAAGATTTATTTTAACTTTAAGGAAAAATATGGCCTATCCAGATTATTATTGTGGTGATATCTTCAAATCTTCATACAGACATTTGCCGCGTTTGAGAATCCACATCGGATGCATTTTTTACATCTTGAGCGTTTTTTTATCCACATCGGACACATCTGTCCCATTACATTTACGCATACTGAAACACGTGACACAGAGTATGTATTAGCAAAGTTTGCGGTTTGGTCGTGGTTTGGTCTGTTGCTGGAACTCTGTGTTATGTAGAATTCTACTTATCGCTTTCTACAATAGAAATCGATTACTTTCTTTTGTGATAAATACCTACGTTATCAACCGCACGGGAAATATCGCAATGTGGTTTCTTATGAAACTAGTTATCCTGTAGTAAGTATATACTCGTTGGTTTTCCACTATGTTACACAGAGTGCCACAAAAGAATCTATTGTAGAAAGCGATAAGTAGAATTCTACATGACACAGAGTTCCAGCCCTGGTCTGTTAAACAAAATTACAACAGCTGGACTACCACTACAAAGAGTGTAGGGTTGAAGACTTCCTATTTAGATCGTTCAATAATAATTATAGTTGTCAAATCCACGAACAACACCAACAAACTTTTTTTTATCAATGTGATTGATAGTTAGCATTTATTTATTCGATATTTTTTCCCTCCATTTTTTTTTAAATCTACAGGTGCCGAAATAATTTCCAGATCAGCTGATCCTTTTCCAGATCCAGACCACCTCACTGATCTGTATTTACAGATCAGGATACCTATTCTCTAACTCATGGGAGCACTCCCACACTCCCATGCTCCCATACTCCCATGCCAACGTTGCCAAGTCGACAGAATAACTTTGATCTACTATTTAAGGACCGATCCACCGTTGTGTTAAACGAAGTTTAAAATGACATTTTTACATTAACAATGTCATTTTAATCTCCTTTCAACTCAACGGTGGAATCAGCCCTTATAGCGGATTCGACTGGCTGCATTAATGCGCATTTAGTTCGACTTTTTTAAGTGGTGTCTGTTCGACTGGCAGAACCTAATTAATTAAAAGTCAATTATTGCATTCGACTCAAATTGCTCGGTACCAAGGCATAGTGAAATTTTTATTCGACTGGTAGGCGCTCTTGCTCAAAGTTCGAATTTTTTGGAACTGTACTTTTTTTCAGTGCCAGTGTCATTTTGGAGGTTAGGAATTATTTAATAATTTTAAATATGTTACCATCTTTATCTTTATTATTAGTGAGAATGGAAAATCTTTGAAATTATAAGAGATTTAATTTTTGGTTTGGCAATTATAAATAAATATCGTTAAAAATTTGTTAGAAGCCTGAAATGTCAAGTGCTAACTGTGCCAGTCGAATAACAATAAAGATGCGCTACACCAATGTCGAATTCTAGCTCGTGTTTGCTGTGTGCACTGCTAGATATAAATTTGAATTATAAAAATGCTGCCCAAAATGAATTCAGAACTAAAAGCGCTTTTTCATCGAGCAAGAGCATTTGAGTCGAATCCACTAAGTAATTCAAATTTGCTTTGTGATAAATACGGACCTAATCTGGCAAGCCCGCAATTCTCCCTCCCATAGTATAAAATCTGACCTTACTACGCATGTACCTGGGCTAAAAGTGAGTAAGCACGATATACCCACCTAAGAGTAAGAGAGCAAAATATATGGGAGCACTCCCATGGGAGCGCTCCCATGACTTAGTGAATAGCTATCCAGGGTAGCTATTCACTAAGTCATGGGAGCGCTCCCATGGGAGTGTTCCCATATATTTTGCTCTCTTACTCTTAGGTGGGTATATCGTGCTTACTCCGATCCACATCCTCTGTGCCTTGGCTAAAAGTGAGTAAGCACGATATACCCACCTAAGAGTAAGAGAGCAAAATATATGGGAACATTCCCATGGGAGCGCTCCCATGACTTAGTGAATAGCTATCCTGTGGACCGATTTCTCTTGAAACATTCTGCGTTAGGATACATCATATTTGTAGTGAATTCACACAATTCCATGGCAAAATTTAAGAAAAATGGCAAGTTATAATTTGCGCTGCCTTTAAATTTTCTTCATACAATAATTATTATATTTTTAACTTGCGCCATCTATACGCGAACAGTCCAAACTCATTAACGGATATTATAGGTTTCTTTAACTCATACTTGAAGCCATCTTGTCATTTAAGTTTTAAAAAAATTGTTAGCTCTTGTGTTGACAGATAAGTGCATATTTGTAGTGCCGGGATATTTATTGATATAAATAATCTTTAATTAGGTAGGTCTTTTTAAATACTAATGTTTTCTTCTATTAATTAATTGCTAACTATTCCGCATTATTTACTAATTTAAACCTATTTATTTTGTGTAATATTCGCTTTAAAATAGGTTACATGTTAAGTATGCATATTCCGTTATATTTTTCTTTTTGTGTTATCTTTAAAATGCAGAAATACGTGCCAAAGAAGTAGGAGGTTAATAATCTCTTAGCCCAGCATCATTACTTGGATTTTATGATTGTTTCAGCTTGTTCTTAAATATTTTGAATGTATCTTATTGTTCTAACCACTGGACCATTATTTGAGTTCTGCTTGAATACATTCCAACGTAATTATATATAAATTCTGGCACTCCCAAGTACAACAAGTAATTGTATAGTTAAATTGTCAAGTAAAATAATCACTGGTTTAGAAGTCGGGATATCAAATTCAGGGTTAGGTAATTGTTTGGATTGATATAGGTATGCGGTTTTTCAAAGATAACTTTATCAATGGAAATAATAAAATATCGCGAAAGAAATTTGTTCAAATAACATTTAATTCCGAGAAATGTGATTTGACCAACTTTCTCTTATCCGCTTTTACCATTTGCTTTTTTCACCTGTACCTATCCTTATAGATATACCTACCTATTGGGAAATTCAGAGGAAAAGTAACTATGTAACCATTATCCGGGAAAAGCTATGTAAAAACCGGGAAAATTTAGAAAGGCTGAAAATGTTTTACCATTACACAAACATTTAATCACTCATTTTTTTTTATTTATGAAGACAACTGTTTACCTACTATTAGTAAAAAAACAAGAGGACAAAATATATCAATTTAACTACAAATCAAATCAAAATCGCTTAATTGTATGAAGATTACATATCATTGACAAACCAAATAACATTTTATAAGAAGCAAAACAGTGTAAAACATACAGTTTAAAAGATACAAGAAATAGA